TGTCCTAAAATGCGTAATTTCGTAGATACAGGGTGTAGAAGTTTCAATTTTATATCGATTTTTTTAAATAATTTCTGAAGTAACGTCAATATTTGGATTAAAATTGGTATCTGGGAGTTTTTTGATATGAGAGATTTGATTTTAATGCCAATATGAGTCCTACTTGTAGAGGGCGCTACCTAAATATTTTTAACTGGTTTGAAGAATAATAACTTTCGTCCCTACCTGTATAAAACTAGTGAGTAAAAAAATAAAAACATTTACGGCGTTTTTTACGTAAAAAAGGTCTCTTGGTAAAGATCGCTACGAGTAATGGTTCTCGAGATATTTGGAATCAAAATTATCAATACCTGTCATCATTGACATAAATTAAACATGTTGATTAAATAGTTATTAGACTGAAACCATAAATTTGAAATGTTTTTTTTGGCGAAACTTCAACAAAAACTGTTTTGTCATAATTTTTTCGAAGAAAAATTTATGATTAATTTAAAAAAATAAAAAGTTCCCAAATTTATCATTTCAGTCAAATAACTATCTACTCAACATGTTTATTTTTTTTGTCAATAATGACATGTATTGACTATTTCCATTCTAAATATCTTGAGATCGGTTGCTAGTAGCGATTTTTAACAAGAGACATTTTTTACGTAAAAAATCGCGGAAATGTATATTTTTTCACTCAATACTTTTATACAGGTACGGACAAAAAGTTATTACTCCTCAAAACAGTTAAACCACATGTAGGTGGTGCCCACTACAAATAGGAGTCATATTGACAATTGCTTCTGTCAAAAAACTCTCAGATACTAATTTTCACCCAAATATTGACGTAACTTCAGAAATTATTTGGAAAACATCGAAATAAAAATGAAACTTCTACATCCTGTATCTCCGAAACTAAGCATTTTAGAACATACATTTATACGAAATGTTTTACTTATTTTTACCTGTAGAATATACTGCCGAAGTTTCCGGAATACAGTTCCGACCACCCTGTATAGGGTGTCCCATTTAAAAAACATATCTTTCATATCTCCAAAAAAATCCTTTATGGGTATTTCGCCACTGCACTGCAAGAAAAATCTACAAAATAAAATAGTTATTTTTTGTAAACACTTCTGCGTTAAACCTAAAAGGACACCGCTTGTCAGAAATTATGTTTACAGTAATAAAAATTTGCCTAACAAAGAAAAAAATGCTTAACGTTTCGGAAAGTTTACAGCTCCGAGAGAAAAACTAGTTACACCACTGGATTCTACGTGAAAAACTCTACGAAACTCAGTTTTCACTTTTTCGATAAGTTATAAGATAACCGAGATACAAGGGGAGTCGAAAAATGCTACAATTTCAAATTCGCCTTGTATTTCAGGAACTAAGAGGGATAGGACAAATCTGTGTGCAGCATTTTTGGTTTCATAAAAAAGTGGAAAGTAATGTGAAAACCGCATCTTTGTACCTCGTCCCATAGACGAGAAACCCCGTAAAACTTACGACACTCTGTATATTGTAACTTTGCTATTTACAGCAGCACTGTTTTCCTCAGAAGAGAATTAACAATAAATTCAAACAATTTAATATTAATACGGTATAAATGAATAAAAATGATGTCACAGTAAGCTTAGAAACGACATTTAACTTCGACCTGATATTCATGTCAGGGACAGCTGAACATTAAACGTTAAAACGGCATATAAGAGATATAGTTAAATCTAAAAAACAGCGTCACAGTGGTCTTTGACATAACAAACGATGCTAATTTCTGTGGTCATTTATTAAAAATTGACATAAAAACTTGTCAAACATTAATATATTAAAGAAAAAAAGGTAAAAAATATCGAAACACGCTGATCATTGGTACAAAAATCTATTCAATTAAAATTATTTTTTTTAAACAGATTTGTATTAAATCAAACATTAATTTTTGAGGAAGTTTTTATGTCAATTTATAATAAATGATAACATAGAAATCAGCCCAGCAGAAATTAGCAACGATTGTCATTTGAAAAGCCACTGTGATACCATTTTTTTACGAACAGAATAAAATAATAAATGGCACATCAATGGATGACCGTATTTTGAAACTACAAAAAAATATTAAAATTTTAATATCTACACTATTTACTTTGTTAAGAAACAATTTATTAATAAATTATGATTTTCTAATAAATATAAATCTAAACATTCTTATTGAAAGACAGAAAGACTTAAAATAAAATAAGTACTTAATAGGTAACAAACCTTATTTTATTTTTCTTGTTCTGACCCATTGATTAAAAAAACAACCAACTAAATTATTTAGTTCACCGTACTTTATATATTTTACCAAGTTTTAAAAAAATAGAACGCCACTGACAAACCAGAATTCAAAGTCAGCCATATTAATCTTTCAAACATAGGAAATCTCAGGCAAATTTTCAACTGTTCAGATATTGGCTGCCTTATTAATTTTACAGCGGAATTGTAAATAGGGTTTTTGAAGGTATTAAAAAGGATTTTAATGGTTTTAAAAGTCTACGTAACAAGTAGTTATGCAAAACCAGGCAAATGCCAATGTACTTTAAGTTGTCATTGTACAGGGTGGTCAACAAATTGTATTATACCACTCTTACCTATCTTCAAATTTTCGTAGAAAATGAATTTTCTTCTAATTTAGACTTTGTTTATCACTATACCCATGGAATATTGACATTTTAGATTTTTTAAAGCAACATATGTACCGGGTGTCCAACTAAGAATGGACGCCGGCTGTATCTCAGAAACTACTTATCATATAACTTTGGGAAAAAAATTCTAATAAGTAAATCGACTAAGAGAAATCGCTGGAAATTATTTTCAAGTTCGAGAAATGCCCGCTAGGGGGCGTTTCTCTAATAGCCAATCAGAAAACAGAGTTTTTCTCAAAAATATGCAGGTGAACAGGTATTTTAAATATTACTATTGTAATCATCGAGAAATTTGTAATTTTTTTGATATAAAGTATTTTGCTCTATCTCATAAAATAAAGTGGTGGGGGAAGGTTAAACTTGCTTTTATTAAAATAAGGATAACTCTCTGGTTTAGGTTACGCGATTTAAACAAACTAGGGCTCGTTTAAAAGAGCTTTTCTTCCTTAATGATCCCCAGTATAAATTTTGTTTCCACAATTTTTTTCGTGGTAGCTAGAGGGCGCTGTTTGACATCACAACAGATATTGCGCTTTTGCATAAAAAATTTAAATAGGAGGCATTATTTCTCTTTACACAGTTAAATAGAGCACAAAATTTCCAAAATATCAGCGCAAACCGCAACTTTCTATCTGATCTCTAACTGAAGATATTAAGAGAACAAAGCATGTTAGGCTGCCGCTTAGGATTATATATTCTAAAAATTATAGTAGTAGGCTAGGAAACAAAAAGTAATATCTGTTATGATGTCAAACAGCACCCTCTAGCTACCACGAAAAAAATTGTGGAAACAAAATTTATACTGGAGGTCATTAAGGAAGAAAAGCTCTTTTAAACGAGCTCTAGTTTGTTTAAATCGCTTAACCCAAACCGAAGTCAACCTTATTTTAATAAAAGCAAGTTTAACCTTCCCCCACCACTTATTTTATGAGATAGATCAAAATACTTTATATCAAAAAAAATACAAATTTATCGATGATTATAATAGTAATATTTAAAATACCTGTTCACCTGCATATTTTTGAGAGAAACCCTGATTTCTGATTAGCTATTAGAGAAACGCCCCCTAGCGGGCATTTTTCGAACTTGAAAATCATTTCCAGCGATTTCTCTTGGTCGATTTATTTATTAGAATTTTTTTCCCGAAGTTATACGATAAGTAGTTTCTAGAGATACAGCCCGCGTCCATTCTTAGTTGGCCACCCGGTACAAAATGTACAGGTGGTAAAAATAATAATATTGCAAGCCCATTTGTTTGCAAAAAGAAAACTATTTAAATCTTTGTAAAAGAGTATATAATTATTACTAATTAATAATATACCATCATTATTATCGCCCAAAAATTAGTTAATTACATACTTAATTGTTTTATTTAATAAATCATTCTAAATAAATATGGATTTGACTCAGAAATCAATACAATAATAAGTTATGAAAATGAAAGCCTCTGTTATAAATAAGTATTCGTCAAAAAATGAAATAAAATTTATAAGGTGTTACTTTTTACCACACTGTCTAATACACACACAAAATTCAGTTTTTTAGTATTTGCAGCAATTATTATTAATGAACGTAAACAGTCAATTAATGTAGTTTGAATACTGGGATCATATTAATTGGTCCCCTTTAACAAAAAATATTTAAACAGTTTTTTTTTATCTTTTAATGAAACAAGCGAACCATATCGACAACATTAGTATCTGGTACTCTTTGAAAATTTATTACATCGTTAAAAATAATCTAAAATATCAATATTCCATGGGTATAGTGATAAATGAGGTTTAAATTATAAAAAAAAATAATTTTCTACAAAAATTTGAAGAGATAGGTAAAAATGGTATAATACAATTTGATAGACAATTAACTTGCGCATCTGATTCTCGTAAAATATACAGGATGTTCCATTTAAATCAAACAAGTTATTGTCGTTTAAAGCTAGTAATTATTTAATATAAATTTTTAGACACTCTGTATAACGTAGCATTTTGTTTATTATTGCAATACAACATCTGATCAATAAATAAACTTCCGTAAATATTTAGTGTTAAAAACTTCGATACCCTTGAAGAAATGAAGCCTTAAAATTTTTACTGCAATTTCATAAAATTAAAAACCTTTCAAAAACGGTAAGGTTTAAGTGTGATAAACCTTAATCAAATTTACCTTTATTTCAATCGTAGAGTCTAAAAATAGAATAATATACGTTCCATTTAAAAAAATACAACTATAATAATTTTTACTTATTTGGGACACTCTGTCTCTTGTAAAAATATTTTTAAATTGTAGCTTTAATAGTCCTTCAACCAACCCAAAACTTAGAATTTGTAAAAATCTAATCGTTTAGCTACAATACTCCGTGTCGTATGTGGTGAACACCCCTGTATATCTATTCACTGTTAAAATTTCACCTCAATCGGTGCGGGTGTCAGGAATTCGGAGGTAATACCTTTAAAAAACCTCTATACGAGTTAGCTGTAACATTAATAGAGGACCAAATATTTAGACGGTTCAAAATTTGCATGGGATTTGTTTCCAACGACGATGCACCACAGGTAGAAGGACAGGTATCCCCTACAATCGAACTCACTTATTTCATGTTATTCTTAGTTTAGTTTGTAACTGTGTTTGAAACAGCCTTAAATGAACGAAGGTATAGCTAGTAATGTCACTTCCTCGCTCTATCTAAATAACGAATGAGTTCTTCCTTTTCTATCTCGACCATAGTCGGAATAGTACTTATTGCTTTTAAAGAAAAAAAGTGTCTTAAAAATGTTCTCACTACCCCGTTAATACACTGTAGGCTTCTACAAGACTCTAACATTTGTAGGTTGTTGTTCTCTACGTTGCCTGAAAAAAAAATCAACAAATAGGTAATTATACTCTCTTTTTTTTCTCAGGTAAGATTTCGACAGACGATGGCAGAAAATCAGCAGATGACATCCATACCCATCTATTTTTTAATAAAATTATATAAGGATTCTTGCTACTTAACTGCTTATATAGAAATTTAATTGTGCGCTGTGTTTGTCATAATGTGGATCAACCTGCTCTCACTACCGGTTTCGGAGCCCTACTCCATCATCAGGTGAGCTTGGGCAGATCCACAAAATGACAACCACAGCGCAGAGATGTTAATTCCGACTTGTCGAAAAGTGTCGGTTAGATATTAAGTCCCGAACGGGAGATAGCGGCCTGCGTGCAATGGTAGTACTTTCGTACTACCGGGGCGCAACTATCGATAGTAAAAGGATGGTAAAAGGCTTTTTTTTCAGGCAAGTCAAATAATAAAATAGAAAACAAATTTCTTGTAGTATAGGTATATAATAAAATTATATAAGGATTCTTGCCACTTAACTACTTATATAGACTTTTATATAGACGTTCGGGACTTGATATCTAACCGACACTTTTCGACACCTTTCGGAATTAACTATCTCTGCGCTGTGGTTGTCATTTTGTGGATCTGCCCAAGCTCACCTGATGATGGAATAGGGCTCCGAAACCGGTAGTGAGAGCAGGTTGATCCACATTATGACAAACACAGCGTAGAATTAAATTTCTATATAAGCAGTTAAGTGGCAAGAATCCTTATATAATAATATTATATACCTATACTGCAAGAAATTTGTTTTCTATTCTATTTTTTAAGTTAACTATGGATGGGTTTATACATAAATCCGTCGTGCGTCGTCTCATGTTGTTTTTAACCAGTTTTATTGGTTTATTTAAAAAAATGACAGATCATATTTCAATATTATTGGATTGACGCAACGATGAACGATATACGTACGCATATGCGTATGAACCCGACTTAAGGCTTGTCAAACTCTTGCCAAATTATAGGTTATAATTTTGTGTCGATTGTAGATTCTCGGGAATGAAGATATAGACTCTATATAAGAAGAACCTAGTTCTGCAATAGACTTTGCGAATGGTATGTATTCGAACAGCGAATTTTTGTCACTTATACATAAATTTTTTAAAATCCCTGCGTTTAACGGTCTAATGAATTCACACGAAATTAGTTCAAAAATCGGCCCAACAATTAAATTGACGAATAGTTATTTTTATGTAGTTTTATAACGTTTACAATTATTTTTCGATTTATTATCTGTTATATCTGTTAATAGAAATATTTTTTATAGTTTTCTCGGACACATTTTTATAACTTTTTTACAGTTATTTCTTGATTTATTATAGTTTCAATAAAATATTTCTTTTTATTTAAATCATGCCAACCCTGTTTTGAAGTAATCACTTGTCACTCAAATTTTTCGATTGTACCAACTTATTTTAACAAATTGAGTCACACACTGCGAAAACACAGACTGCGGAAACTACCGAGGAATTTCACTACTGGCTATCGGATGAAAAATTCTTGCAAAAATTATGTCAAACCGCCTGCACCCACATATAGAAAAAATCCTCCCAGAATCGCAAACGGGTTTTCGCACCAACCGCGGTACCGTCGATTCCATATTCTCCATCCGGCAACTACAGGAAAAAGTAAAAGAGCAGCAGTCTAAACTTTACGTTGCATTCATCGATCTAACAAAAGCCTTCGACTCTGTCAGCAGAGATGCACTTTGGGCAATTATGAAAAAGTTCGGAGTGCCCATCAAATTTCTTACAGTGTGTAAAAGCCTCCATAACAACAACAAATCAAGAGTGTCATATCATGGATCACTGAGCGATCCCTTCCTAACAAATACAGGCGTTAGGAGGTCTTAGCGCTTCTCCTATTCAATATATTCATGGCAGCGCTCTCCATTATAGTGGACAGCAAACTGTAGGAGAGAGGTTTGGGCATTAGATACAGATACGACGGCGGTCTGTTCAACATAAAAAAACTCAGGGCAAAAACACGTACAAAATTCATCACAGAACTTCAATACGCTGATGACTGTGCTCTAGTTGCAAATACGTTACAGCAATTGCAAGGAATGTTGAACACATATACATGAGCATACGAGACCTTGGGACTTAAGCTGAACATCGATAAAACTAAAATCATGTGCACTCCCCCGGAAGATCATAATAATGCTATAAAAATCGGAAATGAGCTGTTGGAATATGTAGCGGAATTCAATTACCTCGGCAGTTTGATTTCGGGAAAGGCCAATATCGACTCTGAAATTCATCATAGGATTAGCAGCGCCTCAAGAGCATTCTGGAAATTAAAAGACAGGGGTTTCTACAATCACTTGAGCACAAAAACGAAACTTGCGGTGTACCGAGCGATAATAATTCCCACGTTATATGGAAGCGAAACCTGGGTGCCGTACCGCCGACACATGAATGCATTAAACAAGTTGCAAAAGAGACATCTTAGACAACTCTTAAGAATAAAATGGTTCCATCATGTCTCAAACGTATCGGTCCTTGAGTAATGGCGGTATGTATGTATGTATTTTAACAAATTAATTTTTCAACTTATTTCCTTGTAACATAAAATAAATTAGACCTATCATTTTGAAGTCACCTATTGTTATTCGATATATCAATAACTCGATAGTTATCGCTATATTTTTAAAAAACCCATCCCTAGTTATGTGATATAAAAGGTATATTATACATATTTGTGTCTTACCTGGCAGACCAATACAAAATTTAATTGTTTCCGACCCCGGGGGTAAGTTTCTCAGTTCACACAACTTGCCAAAATAATATCTAATTATTATTTCTATTTCGTAGTCTAACATATTGGTTTTAATATCAATTTTATGCTGCATACTCTGGAATGAACAAAAATATATAAAAATACAAATTATACAAAATAAGTGAAACAAAGGCTGTATTTCCGTTGCAAAACCAAGCGAACCGGTAAACTACGGTAAAGAGCGGTTCCTGAAAAACATCGGTTTGATACGGAACGGTTTGGTAAAATACTGGAAACGTCAAATGTTGACGTTTTCTAAATTTCAATACCTCTATTATAAAATTTATCTTTTATGCATTTTTAATACGATGTACTTAAACAGCCGTTAAACGGTAGCCTACTAAAATGCTGTTAATAGATATTGTGACGTCGTTCATGTCGGCGGAAAGTAGTGCCTACCTATAAGCATTTTACAAGAGCACCTGTGGCGCCGTGGCTGAGGCTATCGCTTCGTGAGCGCATGGTCCGTGGTTCAAATCTCACGCCGACCAAGACTTTTTTATATTTTTTTTTGCTTATAACGTAATCTTATTGCATTGGTTTCACTCTTTTTGGTTGGATTGGTTTAGTTATTTGGCGGGTTGGTTAGCGTAGTTATTTGGAGGGTGTTAATTCATTGGTTAGTTGATTATTTGGTGGGGTTGGTTGGTTTTTACTAATTTATATTTGTTTTTTATATTTTTTTATCAGTGTCGAGGTTAGTTGCGTGGGTTAAGTTGGTTATTTGGTGGGGTGGATAACGTTGGTTAGTCCTTATAAAATTCTTATATTTCATAAAGCCCGTCAAGTGCATCACATCAACGACGTCATACCTATTAACGGCATTTTAGTAAGCTACCGTTTAACGGCAGTTTAAGTACAGCCTTTTTAATATACCTCTTCTCTGCTTTTACGTTTGCTTCTTCTTTTCAATGGAGTTTAATATTGAAAAATACTTTATTAATAAACTGTTAAACCCGTTAGACAGCTCAAGTGAAGATTTGCAGGTCCAATATTAAAACAGATCAATAATAAATAAATAAACAAATCTAATCAATATTTATATTTTTATAGCTTATAAAACATTCACGATTACTTGTTGTCTTGTTTTTCATGTTTTCTTTAAACGTTCCTGACTTTAAGAAACAATGGCTGCATAAGTTTAAATGGTCCTAAAAAGTAATTCTATTTAGTTAATGAAATTTATTTACCTTTACTGCCTACCTCCATTGCTTTTGGATGTAAATACAAAATATTATTACAAATTTTAGAAATTAAATGAGACTTTCACTCGAACTTCCAATATTTGCTTGATTTCTGTCACATAAATGACATTGATTGACAAACAAAACCAGAAAAACCAGCCTTCTCGCGCTGGTTAGTTTGGTGACAGTTATAACCGAATTTTTCAGGAACCGTGTTCCGTAATAAGGAAACTTTCAGGAAACCGACAGAGGAGGGGGGACCAAGGTAAGCAACGGAATACACCCTTATTTAAAGTTAAATAATACAAAATAGTTCTCACCTCTTCGTGGAACATTTTTGGGTAAATGCCCTTGTCCACGCATTTCTCAAAGAACATGAAAATATTCGTTATGCTCGTTGCATTAGCAATACTGACTAGGAACCCTCTTAAAGTATTTTTTGCCAGATAGTTGAAAAACAGATCTATTTCGTTCAGGACTTGCTTCAAGCCAGAGACTCGTTTCCTGTTGATTAGATCTAACACCATGTCATTGACGAAGCGCTGCACATCTGCAAAAAAATCAAACATTCCAATGTTTTACCATATTTTTTATTATAAAAATACTTTATGTTGCTATGAATAAAAAGATTAAGGAAGGAGTATAATCTATCCAAGTATTCCTTCCCCTAGGAGATGCAAGACATCGTCGTTGGTGGGGAAGCTCCTGGTCAGGTGCTGGGGGAATCCCCCTATCGCCTGGCTTGGTCTAACAAGCATCTCACTCATCGTCTTGTCCCTGGCTGTAGTGTCGTGGCCAGGGAATTGCACCAAGACATATAACGATGCCGGACGAGGCTACCCCTGTCCGTCATACCAGGCAGCCTCTACTGAATGGTCATGTCTCGTGGGCAGAGAGTGTGTGGGGGGGGTCTTGGCTTAACCGCCTGGACCAAGAGGAGACACCCTCACCAAAAACTTAAATGCTACGATGGTGGGACCAGGTTAAAGGGATGCGTGGCTAGATAGAGGAGAAGCCATTACTGGCCTCAACCTTGGGGCATCAGGGGGCACCCCAATGTACTTACCCCTTACTTCTACATGCGGGACTCTGTAGAAGTGGACCGACTATCCATAGCGACTCGTGGGAACACTATGAGATCTAGCATTAAAAACACCACCGGTGAAGCTGTGGGGAAGCCCCCTAGCGACACTGGGAACATTACAAATGAAAGTTCCAAGGGACCAAATCCAAAGGAAACTACAAGAGGGGCGACTGACACTTGCTTGGGATCATCCTCCACAAGTGGCATACAAGCTACCACCTTCTCCAGCAAGGGTCGGGAGCCTACCTCTAGACCCAATAAGCGACACAAGCTACCGTTTCGTCTACCCGGCCTGGATCAACCAGGCGGGCTAGACAATCCTCTGAGAGTAGGTTTTAGCGGAGCAGAAGCACGGAGATACATCCGACTGCTCCACGAAGGACTTGCTCCAGAGGAAGCAAAAGCGAAAACACTCCTCCGAAAAAAGGAGAGTAAAGAAACCAAGAAACAACCTGACTCATCTCCATCAAAAGGCAAGAGAGGGAGCAAGAACCTCTCACCTCTTCTCCGGCAGGGAGAGAAAAAAGCCAGGATGGAAAGCCGTCCAACACCGGGAGGCAAGCAGGGACGTATCACTGGACACGCCGCTATTGGTGGACAAGTGAAAATGGCGGTGCTGCCAAAGGATTTCCCACAGGATGCTCTGACCACCGACCAGCAAACGTCTCTAGAAGAGGCTATACTGGACGAAGTAGTGGCGATCGGATCGCAACACAACGATCTACAAAATGTGGGTCAGCTGCGTTTTGCGGGGATACACTTTCGGGTGGGCATGATCCTCATAGATTGTGTATCTCAAGAATCGGCGAATTGGTTGGTGGAAATCGCACCTAAGCTTAAAAATTGGCAGGGGTCGGAACTGGTAGCAGCGAAGGGAGAAAACATCCCTAAAGGGCCATCACGGTCTTTCTGCCGAGGAGCAAGGGGAAAGACACCACCTACCTACTGAGCCTTATCCAGAGTCAGAACTTCAATGTAAGGACATCGAGTTGGCGAGTTATCAACTCGAGGGAGGAGGGTCATGGTCAGGTCCTCACAATAGGAATTGACCTCAAATCCAAGGAGGCAATAGAGAAAGAGGGACACATCCTCTATTATAGATACGGGACAACACCGGTATCAGGTCTATGGAGAGACCAAGTTAAAGAGGTGCAGAAAACGGAGACAGATCCTCCAGCCTCCACCCCACGGGTTCTTCAGCCGGAGGCAAGCTCCTCGACTGTGAAGGGCGGCACGGAGGGCCAAACTCCAACCGTGGAAGGGTGTGTACCCTCGCCTCGGAGGAAGAACTGTTGCCAGGGGAGGATGGGAAATACCCTGTCCCCTCACAACAAGGGTATCATGGGTTATAGACTGTGTAATGACTTAAGGAAGGGGGGCACAAATAGATCTTTAAGGTCGCAGTGGTTAACCCCTTCCCCTCTTACTCATTCTACATTCTACATCCATGTATTCATGCAGGGTTGACGGACAAAGGACCCTAGGATGGGGATCCTTGACAGTTCTGTTTGACGATTCGTTTGACACATTTGAATTATTGATTTGGTATTTTTTAGTCTTTACTGAGCTTATTTTAGGTTATTTATTATTTATTCTTGTTTAGAGGTAGCAAATCTAGAAGAAAATATTTTTTCTGGCAGAACCTAAATTAACAGTGACACTATTGCGTTTTATCGAAAAAGACTGCAAAATAGTTGGTTATGTAGCTTGCGGTAGATCTCGGTAAAAAATCGAGGGAAATCATAGAATAACTTTTCACTAGTAATATACATACGGGTAGTAAACCGATTATTTATAAAATTCACTTAAAATTAACTAATTATGTTCATATCAAATCAACTTTTAGTCACGTGATTAAGCTTGCTAAATGACGAACTCCACTACCGTTGAACGAAAATATTTTAGTACGGTTCCGGAAACTCTAATTAATACTACCAATTAGGGTTCAGATCTTTTTGGCCATCACAGAACCGGTTAATAATAACAATAATTAAAAAGTAGATCTTGTTTCTTTTCTCTTTTGAAGTTCCTATAATATTTATTATGTTGTTGTAATAGATATTTGCATTTTGAATTCAATATTTTAAGGCTTTTGTCTCAAATTCAACTAAGTTGGTTTATTTTGTTTGATGTGAAATTTAAGTTATAGTCTATAAAATGAATAACTTTGAATTTTGACCGTTATCTTTTACCAACATGGCAAATATAAAATTCCTCTGTCCAAAAAGTTACTGATATTCTTTAAAATGAGTGCCTGAACGAATCAGATAGGTAACTCTTTTTACTTTCGTGAAATAGAAAAGGAAAATAGTAAAACTAGTGACAGTTCTTCCTCTTTTTGCAAAAATCAACGCGAAATGTCATAATTGACAAAAGTAATATGTCATCAGCCTTTGACATTTCTAAATATCGGACCAATGCCGTCTCTAATAGAACAGCCCTGGAGCGAGATTTATGACGTCACGCTAGTTAGATACTACGGATTAATAAATATGTTGTAGAATACATGGAAAACATAATTATTCCTCGTACTTTTGGTTTGTATTTTAAAAATGATATAGTTTACATGAAATATACATAATATACAGTTAATAAATACACTTACGTTTATATATATATATATATATATATATATATATATATATATATATATATATATATATATATATATATATATATATATATACCTATTTGTAGTAATAAATACTTTGGCAAATAAACTATGAACCATACAAATGCAGCAAATGTTTTACAATATACAAATAATGAATAGGTACATAAGATAATGGGTAAAATGTAAAATATATTTTAAATTTTGGGGTTTGAAAATCGATCTAATTTAACATAAAACATTCAATATCTACTCATAGTGATATATTATTATTTGCATTCACAAAATTTATATGTATATTTTGCAAGCATCAATGTTCGAAAAATTATATTTGCAAATAATACAATATCATAGAAAAAAGGCATCAGCGATGGCTATGAAATAAAGATCGCTGTCATTTTATATGTAAAATTATTCTAAAATTTTTGATTTTCTTGGGATTTAGGTTCGGGAAAAACGTTGACTAAGTTTTCATTTGGTTTTTCATTATTTTTTTGGTTTAAAAGAAACGTTATAGGTAACGTTTATAGCCTTCATCAGTGTTGTGTCATATGAAAAAAATAGTGTCCAATATAATCCAAAAAATTACATATACGAGGAATAATTATGTTTTCCATGTATTCTACAACATAATTAATCCATAGTATCTAACTAGCGTGACGTCATAAATCTCGCTCCGAGGCTGTTCTATTAGAGACGGCATTGCATCAGCATGGCCGCAAGTTGCTAACCTAATAAAATTTACACTAGAAAAGCCCGGGGGAACTGTCAAATTCAAAGTTATTCGGTTCACAGACTATACCTATACTTTTTGCTTTACTTGTGTTCATGTTAATTTTCTCACGATTGATTACTTAATAATTCGATATTATTTTCATTAAAAATCTTAATTTTTTATCCATATTATTTTGAAAAACCATTCCTTGCTTTCTGATTAATGAACTGCACCACCATTGAACAAAAATTAGTCAGTATCGAAAGTACCGAAAAAAACGGGAAATCCCGGTTCCTAAGAGGCGCGGTACCCAAATTCCGAAAAACTAAACTCTGTTTTTTTTTCTCAAGAGAAACAGAAACAGATTTTTTCAGAAGAAAAGCAGATGACGCCCATACCAATCTATTTATTTTACTAAAAAAAGTTTCTAATATTTTTTAAGTTAACTATGGATGGGTTTAAAAATTAATCCGTCATGCGTCGTCTCTTGTTGTTTTTAACCAGTTTTATTGGTTTATTTAAAAAAAGACAGATCATATTTCAATTTCATTGGTTTGACGGAACGATGAACGACAAACGGGCGCCGATGCGTAAGAACTCGCCTTTAGATTTTTGAGGCTTGCCAAAGTCTTGCCAAATTATAGGTTATAATTTTGTGTCAACTTATGTCAAATATATGCGTTTTGGAAGATGATGCATTTTGATTCGTGTTATTACGTGTGTTTTGTGTCTTTTGAAGTCAAGTGAAGGAAAAATCAAGGGAAAATTAACTGTAGACCTAAAGCACAGTTTATAGTTAATACTCGCTGCCCAGGCAGAAAGTCTTATACACCAATAAAGTTACCATCAATAAAGTTTGTAACCCATTTCGCAATAGATAAGTGCATCTCGTATATGGTACAAGGATCGTAATTGTACTAAACAAACATATACTACTGGAGTAGCTGTAAAATATCGACATCACACGATAGGTAAATAATGGATTTTAGTACTGCAGAAAAATATGTTAAAAAAGGTACTGGGTTAAAAAAATTAATATTAAAGTTAATTAATCAACCTTTAAGGTATACAATTTCGTATGGTGTTATTATTAATAAAATAGTTTGTTTTATTTATTCATGTGGAGCATTACAAATTGTATTTGTACATAAGTTATTTATAAATATAATAATTAAATGCAGGAAGTTTTTTGAAGCTTGAAAGTAAGAAATAGTTCTTTTTTGTATTTTTTGGTATGTGGTGTTTTGTTCTTGTTTGTTTTTTTATTAACACATGCCGTTTTTTTAAATAAAATAACTCGATTAAATTTTACAGTTTTTTTTCACAATATTTTGAAGTAACTTATCAGTCATCACTTATCAGTCAAATTTTAAATATATTAATTTCCTGCTATGCGTTCCAGTTGTACCAACTTATTTCTTTGTAAAATAAAATAAACTACTTTAAAATTAAATTGACAGACACATCTGTCACTGTCAAGGATATTGTCGTTGGACAGACTATAATATACCAAATCGCGTTTTTTATCTCAAAAAATAAAAACGTTACAAAGGGTAAGCCACTTTTGTAAAACGCCCGGTATAACTTACCGAATTCCCAAATGCCCTTCGTTAACGCCCTCTTGTACAGTTGTATAACAACCAGGGAGTTGAGCAAATACGACTTCTTAAAAAACTCGGTCAGAATATTGTTCCTGGCCTGTAGATCGCTATCCGGCAACCCCGGAACGGGCCCGACGGGGGCACGTGGCCACTTATCACAGTGTTCTAACAAATGAAATGCTGCAAAAACAGTAAAACATTAAACCAGTCAGTGTACGCGTACTAGAAAAACACATAAAACTTACTGGGGCACACTAAAATTTCATAGGTTAGCTCGGGTTTGGTATATTGAAGTAGTTTGGCTATAAACAGGTATCGTCCCATCAAGGACACGTTTTTATTGATAAACAGCTGAAAGAAAACATGTTAAAGCTAGAATAATTAGAAACTAATTTTATCAAGGGTAGTTCCTCAATAAGTGTACAGGATGCCGGAAATTAGAAGTGATACGAGGTCAGTTAAAATGAGGCAAAGTTGCGTAATTTGATTGCAGCATAACGAGTTCCTGGTAATATATCCTACCAAAAATCTGTTCGCTATATCTTTCTAACACGTTAGTTCTTACAAAAAATGCCATTAACATGATTTTTTTTTTAAAAAGCAGCAACGAGAGTGTGAAATTTATTTTATTATATTCCTGCTGACAAGGTTTATGTTTGGGTCGAAATTTCTGTATGTAAGAAGAGTACAATGCTTTTGTAATGTACTAAACAAAGAGAGAAGAGTACAAACGTTGCCAAATATATTAAATAAACCGAGTAACTGTGCACATTGCTAAGAGACGTGGAAGGGGAAGTATTCGCAAGTTTTAAGGTGGCATTTTGAATTTTCAAATTGTGCAACTTTTTCTCCATTTAACCGACTTTGAGACACCCTGAACCAATTTAGAATACACGTTGTATATATCAAATTCCATCTAAAAAGGCGACAGACAATATAAAAAGTGGCGGTTTTTGTCTTTGTCTAGAAACCAGCGTGTTATTATTGTAATTTGTAATATTGTGTATTAATTAGTTGAGAATCAATATAGTTGATTAATAATATCGAGTGCATTATTTCTAAAAGAAAATATTACATGTAATATATTACAGAAATATATTACAGGATTTCAGTCATATCGCTGAAAAAAAATCACGTTAGGGCAGTTTGGTGTTAATAAAAACTCAAATTATAAAACAACCTAGCTTTTTGTATCGTTTATCGCGTATAATGTTTGGTTTAATCAATATAAATCAATATTTAAATCTTTAATATCAAAAAAAAAAGTTTTAGTTGCCGTAGCTTTGTCGTAGCCGGGGGTTTGAAATGCATTCATAATTTTCTGGTTCGGGATAAATGATGAACTCTTGTTAACTGATTCTGGAATAGATATTTTCAAATAGACAACGTAATATGGTGTTTAGTTTATAAAGTCGTGCGGTTAAAAGAAAACAATTGCTTAAATTTCGAAAAACGTTTAGAGAAAGAATTGACTTAAAATATAAAAAAATGTGAAATAAAACTTTTAGAAATGTGTATGTGTATATATGTATTTATATTTTTGTGACATTATTATTTAAGTGTCTTTTAAATCCTACCGTAGAAAATTTGTGTAAAGAACATTGACTGGATTTTTAGTGAAATGGCACTAGACCATTGCCTGGAAACTTAAATGGTGAAATTTTGATAAAATAATTTAGTACACACTAAAAACACGGTATGTCGCTAGTGGTAGGAAGAATAATTTTTAGAGGTTACTAGTTTATTTGGTTGCCTGTGATATGCATATACAGGGTGTTTCCTAATTAATCTAAAAAATAAAAAATCGTTAGAAAACGGATTAAGGCGGGCTCTTAATAAGTATATTTATTTTTTTCTCGACAACCGTTTGATGAACAAGAAAAACTCAAAAGATCAATCTTGTTGAAAAAGGATGGCCAGTCAAGAAAAAATATATTTTCTTTAAAAAAGCAGTGGTGTACCATTTATGTTAAGCAAAAAAATCGTTTTTTTTTAACACCCGCTAGATCAGAAAGGAAGTACTGTAGACCCAATGGTTATATAAAAATTGTTTAAAGAACACATGAGGAATCACACCACAATTTTTTTAGACTAATTAGAAAATACCCTGTATATTGTCAACTTGACAATGATTGCTGATAAATCAAAAAATACCTTTTCAGTGAAATAAGCCCGATTTTCGCAGGAAAAATTTTGATTTTTATTGAATTTGGGCCCGCGTCTGCAAATACCGGTTTGTTATTTAATTTTCTATCTATCTAAATTTTAAATATAGTCAGAAATAGTTTTATTATTTATTAACTGTAAAAATGGTGTTTTCTTGTTGTGTTGCATCTTGAAAAGAAACTAACGAAACTGCAAAAATGCACGTGTTTCCAAAAGACGATAAGGTGTGTATCTTGGATAAAAGAAAAATATATGGTATGTATTCGTTGTTTGATTTTTTTTCGTTCGCTTTAAAACCTATAAATCTCGGTCTATTCATTAGACAGCCAGTCGACTTACGATCATTTACATGAAACTCTGTAAAATAAATAAAAAAATAAACTGTAAAATATACATATTCTTATGTTTTATTAAAGTTACCCTGATATACTAATATATCAGAGTAACTTTAAAAATAAATCCTTTGAATTCAAGTATAAACATAAAAAACATTTACAGCAGAAAAGGTGAAGGCGCTGGGTAAAACGTAGTCTCTACTAAAAACACGGAGGGGCGCTTTGACCCAAAATTTTACTATTAAGTTTCATATCTATCTTAATAGTAGATTATTTTCTTTTATCTATGGCACTAGACAACCTGTTTAAAAATGTAACGTAAGGGTAGGTTTCATTTTAACATAATTCGTATTTATTTTTAGATTTATTTTCCTGTAACTAAACGTACAAGTACCTTGTAAGAAACCAATTAAATTTGGTCGCGTGTTAAAAAAAATCGACGCAATATTTTTAGATATTAACCTCCCTAGAATAATAACCAAGAACCGCCACTGCATTCTATTCAGAATGTCATTTCCTATCATATAAAGTAAAAAAATACCGAGGGTGCCATTTAAAATTCTTCCTTTCCAAAATCCACTTTTGAAAAACATCCGGCATCTAAAATTATTTAATAATAGGTATACTCACCCTCGACGTAACCAGACTGTCCCAATTTCGAAATTTTAACAACAAGTCTGTATAAGCCTGGACCAAACTATGTGCGTCTAATTCAAAGAGAAAGTTCATGGCAATCACCTCCAAAATTACCCTGAGATTGATGTCAGCGAAAATATCGTGAACTCTCGTTTCTAAAATAAAAATCGGTATCAATTTAATTTTCTATACGTCCAAGCCAATTTTTGATCAAGTAACTGCTTTTGAAGCATTCTTAAACAGCGTACACACTATACCAGAAACAACCCGAAACATGTCAAAGAAAAAAAATGAAAAGGTCGCATTTCGTCGCCCAACTTTGTACGCATTTCGATTTATTTCCAGTTGTCTTGACCAACTTCGCTTTGCCTCGACCTTTGAATAAGAAGACTAAGGAAGGAGTGTAATGCTATCCATGTATTCATGCATGGTGGGCGGAAAAAGGACTCTAGGGTGGGGATCCTTGACAGTTCTGTTTGACGATTCATTTGATACATTTAAATTTGATTTGAAATTTTGTGGATTTGTCAGTCTTTACGGAGCTTATTTTATGTTATTTATTATTTATTCTACTACTGATAGTTGTATAAAGGTAGTAAATCTAGATGGAAATTGTGGCAGAACTTAAATTAACAGTGACACTATCGCGATTTATCGAAAAAGACTCTAAAATAGTTGGTTGTGTAGCGTGCGGTAGATCTCGGCAAAAATCGAGTGAAATAATGGAACAACTTTTCGCTAGTAAGTGACTATATAATATACATACGTGTAGTAAACCGATCATTTATGAAATTCACTTAAATTAACTAATTATACATTTTTTCTTGCATTTTTGCTTTTATTAACTACTTGTCAAAGATTAGATGTCAAAGAATTTAGATACGTCAATTTGACTTAAGCCGGAGTCTCATGCATCCGAAATCCGATGACACGACGATCCGACGGTGCTCCTATTGGTCGAAATATTTTGACAACAATTTTTATCCGATAATTTTAACTAATCATCCGACGTCGTATAAAGTTAAATTTTGTTTAACTTTTGTACGATATCGTGTGTTTTTTAACCTCACTTTTTTTGAAAACATTTGTTTTTAAAAACAAGTTTAGTGGGAAGTGGGCAATTTCGGGATATTTGGCGAGGAAGTTATTTTTATAAGTGTTTCTCCAATAAAACATGACATGAATCTCTATTCAGCGCAGCAGAAAAATGTTAAAACTGTCAAATTTCGGAACGAACTTTCGGATGTATGTGACAGGCTTTTTTTATTTCACACGATAACTTCAAATTTCGGATGTGGTACCATCGGATTTCGGATGCATGAGACTCCGGCTTTACCTGCTTCAGTAGCGTATCGGATGTTTATGGTTATAAATAATTATTATAACTTATCTATTTTTATTAGAATTTTATATTTTTATAACAATTTTAATAACTACCAACATTTATTCACAACGTAAAATAAAAAAAAATATTGAGTCTACCCCACGTCCAAGCCACGTCTACCCTACATCATAGTTTTACATTTTTTAAATAAAATTAGAACGGCACTGATAAACCGGAATTTAAGTCGGCCATATTTGAGGCCCATCGCGGTGGACCTAAGATTTTTGATATGCTCCTTCCTTAGTCTTCTTATTCAAAGGCCTCGACCTACTTTCGATTCTTAAAAGCGCCTGAAAACTACCTGTGAGGAGAGCGAGGGGGATTTTTTAGCATTTTTTTGTCGCCTCGTTCAATTTTGTTTTGTTTTGAGCTATTTCCGAAACGTCGCGGTATCTGTTCCGAGGCAAAGGGTTTTTTCTCATAAATCTCAGTAAAATAAGTAAACCTCACGTTTCTAAAATAGCTGTTACGATGATATTTCGTTAATTACATCTCGTCTTAGTCTTATGTTATATTGATATATATTCCACATTCCACAGAATTAATATTTCAACACGCGTTTATTATACCGGGTGCGTCTCAAAAGTGGCTCACCACTATAACTTTTTTATTTTTTCAGATAAATAAACGAGATTTGGTATGTTAGTATATGACTTAAATTGCAATTGATTGATGTATTCAATTGTTTTTAGTCACTTCCGGTTTCACCGGAAATGACTATAAATTTTGATTTTTAAATGGCACCTTCGGTAATTTTTTACGTTATTCCATAGAAAATGACATTCTGAATAGAATGACATATCATATGTCAACTTTTGACATTCTCGCTTAATAAAAAATTGTATTTTAAAATTCAATCTAGGGTGCCATGGCTATGTTAAAAACACTAATTCTTCGCCAAGGAGCCTTGGAAAAATAGATTCTTAGAAAATGCTCTAATCGTATTTTTAATCATATCTCAATTTTTTCAAATGGAACAAGGGTGGCTCATTAGCATATTTGGAAACAGCATTTTTTTACGAATAATTTGATACCACACACTTGGTATTTCAAGTCAAATTTTCGTTACGAACCACAAGTTTTAATTCCAAATCAACCATATGCGAAAATGTCAAAAGTTGACATATGATATGTCATTCTATTCAGAGTGGCATTTTCTGTCGAATAAAGTAAAAAAATACAGGGGGTGCCATTTAAAAATCAAAAGTTATAGTAATTTCCGGTGAAACCGGAAGTAAAACAATTGAATACGTCAACCAATCCTAATTTATGTCATATACTAACATACCAAATCTCGTTTTTTTAACTAAAAAAATAAAAAAGGGGTGAGCCACCTTTGAGACGCACCCGGTATATATAGTAGATATTTAGGAACAAAACTTTTCACTTCAACTAGAATTACAATATTTTTATGATTTAATTTTATTATATTGAATTAGTATATAAAATTGTATATATGTTTGTTTACGACCTTAATTGATTAATAAGAGTAGTATTGCCTGATGAGTAATACTGGTACTTAATCATGTACTTACTCATCATGATGAGTAATACTGGTAACATTATTAACATATCCGCTTGGGAAAATTATTATTTGACCCGATGTCAACAAAAGTATTGTCCACGGACATTATTTAAAAGCAATGTTCTTTTATTGTTCTTAAGAGAAATCTGTAAACGATACTTTTATTAGCACCCAGCATGGTTTGATATACATCCATTGAACTAGTATTGATTATGAGGGACTTTGACAATTAAAACTAGAAAAACAAACCAAATTAGTAAACCAAACTTTGCTACAGACTACAGTTTAAATGTTACTTAGTTAAATATTAACTGTTACTAGAAATCGTCTTATTGCTGCCAAAAGTAACTAACTTACTTTTTATTACTTCCGAGAAAAACGCGTCTAAAGAATAATTACATTGCATAAAGTTGTTGTTAGTGACTATTCTGTATTAAAATACAGCATAAATAGCCAGAAACCGTAGTTAATGACTGTTTCGATGGATTCTCCGCTTCAATATATAGTTAGTTATTAAATTTTCAGGTTATTCGGAAAAATGTCAGTTAATTACTTTTGGCAGCAATAGGACGAAATAATAAATAATTAGACGATTTTTTAAATAATTGTGTGTATATTTTGTTTTGGTTTGGTTAGTTTATATTTTTTAATGCCTTTGAATAAAAAGATTAAGGAAGGAGCATAATGCTATCCATGTATTCATGCATGGTGGGCGGAAAAAGGACTCTAGGGTGGGGATCCTTGATAGTTCTGTTTGACGATGCATTTGACACATTTGAATTTGATTTGAAAGTTTGTGGATTTGTCAGTCTTTATTGAGTTTATTTTATGTTATTTATTATTTATTCTACTACTGATAGTTGTACAAAGGTAGTAAATCTAGATGAAAATTGTGGCAGAACTTAAATTAACAGTGACACTATTGCGATTTATTAACAAATTATTGAGTCTAGCCCACGTCTACCCTACATCATAGTTTTACACTTTTTAAATAAAATTAGAACGGCACTAGTAAACCGGAATTTAAGTCGGGCATATTTGATTCCCATCGCGATGGATCTAAGATTTTTGATATGCTCCTTCCTTAATCTTTTTATTCAAAGTTTAATGCTAAACTTATGGCGTTGATTTATCCACGTCAGTATATATATGATCTAGGAATATACTACAAACATTACCTATATCTCGAAGAAGGGCGAAAAAAACCCTAGCCATCGTCTGTCGCATTGCTCTCAGGTGAGCCAACGTCATAGAAATGAAGTTTTGGACGGTCGACGGGCTCTTGTACCTGTAGACCAAATCCAAAAACGTCCTGCCGTCTGCGTTCCTGATCGAATTTTTCAATATATAGACATCCTCTTCATTGATGTCTACTTGACTGATTTGCTCGAGGTAGAGATTGTGTAGACTCACGTTGAATTGGTACCTTTTATTTAAAGGTATTTTACCAAAAACTGGATGTTCGGGTAGCTGAAATTAGTGAAAAAAAAACATATTATCTCAATCAAGTGGCTAAAGCTTGATTTTCATGCATCCGATATCCGACGATACGATATTAATTTTATTGGTTGAATTTAAAGACTTTCATCGGATATACGATTTCCTTGTGATTGGTGCCATTTTATATTTTCATTTCCATAACGAGATTTCGCTGTTTTACTTATAGTCTAGGAGCTAGCAACGTTTTCGAGTGTGAATTTTAAGAAAGTAATATGAAAGTAGTTGCGAAAAATGTAATAATACTCTGTAAGCTCCGTCGCAAGAGATTTCTTGTCTAACCTATACTATTTTATACGATTGATGAGTCGCTAGAAAGAAAATATGTTTATAGAATCGCACTGCAGGCTATTCATTTAAAATAACAAAGATGCTCTACTACTTTAAGCATAATAATTAAGGCGGTTAGAGCAGGTGCTGTTATTCTTTAGTTTATTATTAAAAAAATCCTATCACCTGTTCTCCATAAACGTCTAATGTACCATGGCCGTGAATCGCCCTATACAGGGTTGTTTACCACATACGACACGGAGTATTGAAGCTAAACGATTATATTTTTACAAATTGTAAGTTTTGGGTTCGTTGAAGGACTATTAGAGCTACAATTTAAAAATATTTTTACAAGATATAGAGTGTCCCAAATAAGTAAAAAAATATTATAGTTGTATTTTTTAATGGAACACCCTGTATATTATTCTATTTTTAGATTCTACGATTGAAATAAAGGTAAATTTGATTAAAGTTTATCACACTTAAACCTTACCGTTTTTCAAATATTTTCAATTTTATGAGATTACAGTAAAAATTTTAATGCTTCATTTCTCCAAGGGTATCAAAGTTTTTATTACTAAATATTTACTGAAGTTTAACTATTTATTGATCAGATATTGTGTTGCAATAATAAACAAAATACTACCTTGTACAGTGTATTTCAACATTTATATTAAATAATTACTAGCTTTAAACGGCAATAACTTGTTTAATTTAAATGGAACACCCTGTGTATTTTACGAGAATCAGATGCACAATTTAATTGTCTATCAAATTGTATTATACCATTTTTTACCTATCTCTACTTGTTTTCGTACAAAATGCACTTTCTTATAATTTAGACCTCATTTATCGATATACCCATGGAATATTGACATTTTAGATTATTTTTAAAGATGTAACAAATTTTCAAAGAGTACAGATACTAATAGTATCGATATAGTTCGCTTAATTCATTAAAAAATAAAAAAAGAATTTCAATATTTTTTGTTAAAGAGGGTCAATTAATATGATCCCAGTATTCAAACTACATTAATCGACTGTTTACGATGATAAATAATAATTGATTCAAATACTAAAATAACTGAATTTTGTATGTATATTAGACAGTGTAGTAAAAAGTAACACCTTACAAATTTTATTTCATTTTTTTGACGAATGCTTATTTATAATAACAGAGACGTTCATTTTCATTATTATTAATTATTTATTGATTTCTGAGTCAAATTTTACCACATTTTTGTGGTAACCAATCCAACAAAACAATTTTAAGTATGTAATACCCTAATTTTTGGGCGGAAATAATGAAGGCATATTTAATTGGTATACTCTTTTACAAAGATTTAAATAGTTTTATTTTTGTAAACAAATGGGCTTGCAATTTTATATATTTTACCACCTGTACATTTTGTACATATGTTGCTTTAAAAAAATCTCAAATGTCAATATTCCATGGGTATATTGATAAACGAGGTCTAAATTATAAGAAAATTCATTTTCTACGAAAACTCGAAGAGATAGGTAAAAAATAGTATAATACAATTTGATAGACAATTAAATTGTGCATCTGATTCTCCTAAAATATACAGGGTGTTCCATTTAAATTAAACAAGTTATTGCCGTTTAAAGTTAGAAATTATTTAAAATAAATTTTTAGACACTCTGTATGAGGTAGTATTATTTTTATTATTGCAACAAAATAACTGAAAATATTTAGTATTAAGAACTTTGATACTCTTGGAGAAATAAAGCCTTAAATTTTTTACTGCAATTTCACAAAATTGAAAATATTTCAAAAACGGTAAGGTTTAAGTGTGATAAACCTTAATAAAATTTACCTTTATTTTAATCGTAGAAACTAAAAATGTAATAATATACAGGGTGTTCCATTTAAAAAATACAACTTTGATATTTTTTATTTATTTGGGACACTCTGTATCCTGTAAAAATATTTTTAAATTGTAGCTCTAATAGTCCGTTAACGAACCCAAAACTTACAATTTGTAAAAATCTCATCGTTTAGCTACAATACTCCGTGTGGTATGTGATGAACAACCTTGTATAGTCTATAAAATGAATAACTTTGAATTTTGATCGTTATTTTTTACCAACATGGCAAATATAAAATCCCTCTATCCAAAAAGTTACTGATATTCTTTAAAATGAGTGCCTGAACGAATCAGATAGGTAACTCTTTTTTACTTTCGTGAAATAGAAAAGGAAAATAATAAAACAAGTGACAGTTCTTCCTCTTCTTGCAAAAATCGACGCGAAATGTAATAATTGACAGAAGTAAATTGTCATCAGCTTTTGACATTTCTAAATATTAGACCAATGCCGTCTCTAATAGAACAGCCTCGGAGCGAGATTTATGACGTAACGCTAGTTAGATACCACGGATTAATAAATATGTTGTAGAATACATGGAAAACATAATTATTCCTCGTATTTTTGGTTTGTATTTTAAAAATGAATAGTTTACATGAAATATACATAATATACAGTTAATAAATACAACAAATATACCTATTTATAGTAATAAATACTTTGGCAAATAAACTATGAACCATAAAAATGCAGCAAATGTTTTACAATATACAAATAATGAATAGATACATAAGATAATGGGGAAAATGTAAAATATATTTTAAATTTTGGGGTTTGAAAATCGATCTAATTTAACAAAAAACATTCAATATCTACTAATAGTGATGTATTATTATTTGCATTCACGAAATTTATATGTATATTTTGAAAGCATCAATGTTCGAAAAATTATATTTGCAAATAGTACAATATCATAGAAAAAAAGCGTCAGCGATGGCTATGAAATAAAGATCGCTGTCATTTTATATGTAAAATTATTCTAAAATTTTTGATTTTTTTGGGATTTAGGTTCGGGAAAAACGCTGATTAAGTTTTCATTATTTGTTTTGGTTTAAAAAAAAACGTTATAGCTAACGTTTATAGCCTTCATCAGTGTTCTGTCTTATGAAAAAAATAGTGTCGAATATAATCCAAAAAATTACATATACGAGGAATAATTATGTTTTCCATGTATTCTACAACATATTTATTAATCCGTAGTATCTAACTAGCGTGACGTCATAAATCTCGCTCCGTGGCTGTTCTATTAGAGACAGCATTGCATCAGCACGGCCGCAAGTTGCTAACTTAATAAAATTAACACTAGGAAAGCCCGCGGGAACTACCAAATTCAAAGTTATTCGTTTCACAGACTATATTTGACGTGTGTTTGTAATCTTTAGACCTGACATGAATAAGAAAAATAAATAAATAAATATCGACTCTGACCTTACTATCTTGTCGAATGACATCTCTTCTGCTGGACCCCGACGCATTACTAGTTCCCGGACCATTTACTGGCTCTATTTCCACAGCATTTCTCTTTTGCACTCTTAACTGGTCGAACGTTTGTACACCGCGACCGTTGGCCAAGTTATTTCCCCTTCCTTCGTTTCCTCTGTTTTCCGTTGGACCATTTTCTTGGACGTTTGCCGCGACAACCTGATTCGCGTCTTGAACCTGAGCCGTCCTGCGCTGATTCTGATCGATGGAAATGGTGAACTTGTGCTTCCTCTGGGCGCTGACGTAGTCGTTGGTAGGGTCGTACTGTAGCCCTTCCCGTTTATAAGATCTTTTGGTGGGGAAGTGTGGGCCATGTGGCGGATGGGGATACGGGGAATCCAAGGAATAGTCGGATCCCGATTCGGAAAAGTTCGAGCGGGAGGAATTTTCAGTGTGTGTGCTAAAAAGAACGTGTAGTAGAGTGTATTAGTGGTAGAGATGAGCAATAATTCGCAAACTGGCGATTTAAGCTTGATTTTCATGCATCCGTTATCCGACAATACGTTGATACGATATTAATTTTATTGGTAGAATTTATAGACTTTGATTGGTTAGAAAATAACGCAGTTTTTTAACTTATTACATTTTCATGCCTCCGTTTATCGGATATACGTTGGTGTTATTTTATATTTTCGTTTCCATAACGATTTTGCTATTTTACTTATATTTTTATTATTGTTAGATTAAATTTGTCAAAAGAGTGTCAAAACGTCCTTTACCGTATGAACGGGTCCGTTGGCGGGCCGAAGTAAAATATTTACGGATGAAAAGTGGCGCGAAAACGCTATGACCAATCAGAGCACCGTCGGACCAACGTAACAACGTATAACGGATGCATGAAAATCAAGCTTTAATCGCAGCGATTTTAAAATCGCAATCGCAACCTGCGATTGGCTCTCATAGGAAACTGCGACTGCGATTTCTTCAATTTGCGAGTTTCAATTTAGGCAACCAATATTACTATAGTTCCAAGTTGCGATATTCCTACGATATTTTTGATAAAAATATTTTTTTATTGTGAATTTTGAGAAACTCTTCATGGCTTTGCAAAACTTTGTTAAAAATTATATATTCAAATAAAACTATATTAGTTATTTCATCTTTTGAAAACCCAAGATTGCCTTTAGTAAGGTTTTTTATAAGTGAATTTTGTTCAATATCAGTGTTGTCTGAAAATGTTAAGTTATTCTTACATGCATCGCATTTAATTTCCTTTAAGACAATATAACAGCAATATCCTCCTAAATAAGCAATAACAGGCCTTTCTTTCTTCACACTTTCGATATCTTGTTCAAAAATAGTAATGTAGCCAATCTTATTCGATGATACTTGTATCGCGTGGTATTTCTTTAGACAAGGTATTGTCATCATAAAATCATAAAAAGTATCGATTTTTATAGAACCAAAACAAGTAGATTTTTACATTAATGACTGAATCCTAAGTTTCTTTTCGCCTTCATATAAATGTCGAACACAAATATTGTACTGACTCCCAGCTAACTGTCTATATTTTCCAAACCTACTTTCAAGAGGAACAGTTTGCAAGTTCTCTAGTAAAACATACCTCACATTTTACTCATTAAAACAATATTTTATTACTTCAAGCTCAACCTGTTACTCAACTCAAGTTAATAACTTTAATATTGAACAGAGAGAAAAGTTAGGAATTTATTATTTTCATCGCATTTTAAAGAATTTAGTAAATAACAAGCATTACTAATAATTTGATCAGTATTACTATTACTATTAGCTTTGTAAAACTAGTGAATAATAAATCTTTCAAATGGTGTTTTTAGTTCATTTACCTGGACTGTAGTATTTTGGCCATATAAATAGGTTTCTAATTTCAGATCTAAATGTCCTATAAAATATTCCTTTATTAAACTTGATTGATAAAAAGTATAAAAAGTGAGAGATAAACATTTGGTATGATTTTTTCCGTATTCTATTAAAACTATTTTTATATACTATAATATTTTTAAAAACTCAGATAAAGCCATTTTAAAACTTGGGAATATATCTACTGAGTGAAAAAAGATCCACAAAGTGAAAAAAGATCCACAATCTGAGCTTTTATCGGGTAATTATCAACGCTGCCAAATAGAGTTACGCCTCCAGTTGGTGACGTCACGAGATTTTTACGTCACAGCTGGATGGCCTGGTTATTACGGTGGTTACGGTGCTACTCCGACGAGCTGACACGCCAATCAAATATCAGCAAGCACCAAGGCCGCAGACGCGGCAGTTGACTGGGAATGGGGAACCATTGGAACTGTTCCAGAATCACTGTTCCTAGTATTTTATACCAACTCAACAAGAATAAAGAGAGATTACTTACCTCGCTGTGGCATTTCTTTCTTGTAAATTGCCAAAATTGGGTGGTGGAACAGAAAAATCAGTGGGAATGATCATTGGCTGTTCTGGTTCATTATTTTCGAAACCTCCCGCCTCAAATAATGACCATTCTTTATTCAAATTTTTTTGAATGGTCGTCTGCAATTGATTGCTGGTCGCGGGCCTGAAATAATAGACAAAAGAGCTCAGACGGTTAAACTTCAATCAGAACCGCGAAATCAGTAGAATTAGTAGAAACAGTTAACAAACTTTTAACTTTTTCCTCTAATTACACTTCAAAATTTGCGAGTAATGTCATTTTGGCCTTTAAGCTTCATTCAGAACCTCCCAATTAGTGGAATAAATTAGTGGTTTCAATTAGCATAGAAATTTGGTCACCTATTTTTAGTGTAACCATTCAGAACGTCATAATTAGTGGTAGTAATTTTCAATTAGTCGAAAAAGTTAACAAACTTTTGACTTTTCCACTAATTATACTCAAAATTTGCGAGAAATGTCATTTTGGCCTTTGATTATCATCCGCCAAGAAAAATGTTGGTTATAAATCAAAAGTTTATTGTTTTATAAACTAAATATTATGCTTTTTCTATTGATACAACAGACTAGGTCCAGCTGTTGCCAGGGTTGGCATGATATACAGACCGGACCACCGTAGTAGTAACATAGGCAGAACCGGACGAATTAGGGTATACCCGTCCGCCGGATAAAAAGCAAGCGAAAAAATGCGATAAAATAAAAATAGGTAGATATGTGATAAGAATGTTACAGAATTTATATTTATTCGTGTTTTAATAGCCAAAACGAATACATAGATTCCCGCTGCAGCTTTCGTGTAAAATTTATTTTTTAAGTAAAATAATGGATGTTTACGAAGTTCGTGAGAAAATTCAAAGTGTAAATTGTAAAATGGTATTTCCAAAATAGGTCTTATCGGGATATACAAACAATTTTTCCACAAACTTTTGTAAACAGGCCAATTCCATCTTTACCTACTATATCAAGAGTTATTAATAATTTGACCCCACAAAACATAGCGATGTGTTGATTAATGAAAAACAGGAGTTAAAGCAAGCGGTGTTTGGAGGGGTGGTTTAGCGAACATATGATTGGTCCATTTTTATAAAGTGTTTAACTGTTGCAAAGTATTTGGACTTGTTACAGCAGCAGATTGTCCTAAATTTGTGAGTTATTGGAGAAAGATTCCACAATGTCTGGTTTCAACAAGATGGTTGCCCACCTTGACCCGTATTGTTCATGAGAATATTTGAAGCTATACTTTTCCCAACCGTTGCAATTAGTGGACATGAAACTGTTGTGGCCCCGCTAGATCACCAGATCTTCTCCAATGATTTCTTTTTGTAGGGTTATGTAAAATCCAAAGTGTATGGTCATAATAGGGCTAATAATCTGGATGAGCTTCAAGTAAAAATATGAGAGGCTTTCCAAACTATTAGCCCTAATATGTTAGCCAATGTCAGACGGGGATTTTACGACCGCCTAGGCTTCTGTCTAGCACAAGAAGGTGGTCTTTTTGAACACTTATAACTTTTTTTATTTAGAGTAATATTTTAGTTTTTTTCGGGTTTAGAGAATTTATTTATTTTTAATTTTGGTTTGTGGTTGTAAACACACTCAAATAATAAATATTTTTATTTTAAATGTTACCTTAATGAAGGTAAACACTTCATTATTCACATTCACGACCGACCCGTCCAAGCACAACTGCAACTGCGTACTGCCTGACCAGCCGACTAGCCGGCAGTGAATCTCTAGTACGAACGCAAATCGGGTAAAAGTAAATTCGTCCGGCAACTTGCTATGTTACTAGTGGCCTCGTCTTCTCTGTATATCAATGATATATATCATGATATTTATACCTTGATATATATCATGATATTTATAAAAAAATAAAACTCAACAATCAGAAAGGAAAAAGCAAAAAAGATAATATTGATTGGATCTGGGACAATTCAAATGTACCAAAAACTTTGCCAGAAACAGTATCAATTGATTCTGTCTCTGACGAATCTGACGATGATTTACCATTAATAAAACTAATAATCAAATATAAATTTGTTTGTTGTTAGTTTTAGAATATCTGTTTATTTTTTGAATTTCCGTTTATTTTTTAGAATTTCCGTTTATTTTTTAGAATTCCTGATTATTTTTTAGAATTTGTGTATTGTGGTAAATTAGTGTTTTATTTTTTTGATATCAACTTATGATATATTTTGACTTTTCTCTGTTTACTTTCCCTTCATTTTGTTGGGTCGTGGTTTGCAAGTTATTGCTGGACGCGGGTCTGAAACAATAAACAAAAATATACCCTTATTTTGTTTCATATATTTTAATTCTCTGTAAAATTTCAAAAATTTTGATATCAAACACTCTATCTCAAAAATTAGCAATTTTTGAGAAAAAAATAATAGTCTAAGATCCGGCTGCATGATTATTACGCTCATCGTATTTTTTATCAAAACCTAATTTTTACGTATATTTATAAATAGGAGAAAACACTTTTCAGAGGGTGCCTATAAAAAAATTGTGGCAACTATGTTTACTTAATAATAATAGTAGCAGATTTTGGAGACGACATTACGCTCATAAAATTTATTGATCATTTATTTGTGAAATTAAAGCTATTTTTATTTAATGATAAATAAATAATAAAAATACGATAAGCGGAATAATTATGCGGACAGATCCTGTACTATAATAACCGTGAAAAAGAAAATAAATTAGTTATTCTCGGCGATGAAATAGTTTATTTGTAGTGTTAAAAATAGGGCGCAGTCCGTAGGATTAACAGTGTAAATAAAAAACCGTGTAAACAAAATGCTCGGTCCAGATTAGCCCTGTGCCCTAGTGACATTAGAAATGAGATATTAATTAAAATTTTTAATAAACGGTTTGTGAAAAAAGGCCCAAAACCCATTCATTATTCTTCCACCTACTATGAAGGAATAATGAGAATAATTTGTATTAAAATTAAATAATGGCATATTGACCTTGTGACCTGGGGGAATAACACCTCTTCTACTGGACCCCAACCCGTTGCTGGTTCCTTGGCCGTATCCCAATTGTTTCTCATATCGTTAAATTCTCTATAAAAATTCAAGAATTTTGATAATAAACATTCTATATCACAAAGTAGCCATTTTTAATAAAATTATTATTTTTTTTAAAAACAGTAAAAATAAGCAGTAACAAAAAAAAACGATTCTTTTAGAAAAAAAAATAGTAATGCTTGGATATTGCGTCCTTAAAGTCTGAATTTGTCCTTAGGCTTTGTCCGTCAAGAACAAAATAAAATAAAACAATACTGTTGTGCCAACGTTTTGCGGTATTTTCATGACCAGTTTTTCAGGTCGCACAACAATATTTACTAAATTTAATAATAATATCGTCAGTGAAACGTGATAACCTGCTAACTCCATTTTTTACGTTAATAAGTTTTTTATACCATTAGAGCGCTTGCACACACACCGGCAAAATCGGTGCCGGACCCGTTACGACAGTTGTATTTAATTCTATTGTATTTGCCGGTCCCGACTATTTTACCGGATCGGAGTATATGTGAAAGATCTAATTTATTTATATTGCAATCGACTTCAGGACCGGCACCGGCACCGATTTTCCCGGCGTGTGTGTAAACGCCCTTAGAAAGAGAAAAAAATACTCTATAAGTAGAGAAAGCAAATACATTTTTTCCCATTATAGAAAATTTTCTATTTTAACGCAATAATATCTGCTAACTCCCAATGATCTGAAATTGCCACCGAAATGCTGCTATCTCCGTAATTTCCGTTACGATCACGCTAAAGCAAACACACGGATTCTTATTCGTATGTTTCTTTGGTACAGTACGTAGATCCAGGGTCGCACTAGGCCAAAGGGGCCCGGGTGGCAATGTAAGGAGGGGCCCGTGTGAATTTTTTTGCGTATTTTTTCGCCTTACGTTTTGGTAAATTTTTCCCTATTATATACAGGGTGAGTCTTAAATAGGCGCAAATATTTTTAGGGGTAGTATATTTCGACCCAAGAAACACGATTATGAGGTTTTTTGCGCCAAATTTTTTTTTGGAAAATTTGGAATTTAAAAAAAAAATTTTTTTTTGAAAATTAATATCGACTTATAATATTTTTTTACCTTTCTCTGTTCATATTTTCTTGGAATGGGGTTTCCAAGTTATTGCTGAGCGCGGGTCTGAAATAATAAACAACAAATGTATGTATACCGATGTACTATTTATGATATCAAACACTATAAAAAATTAGCAGTTTTTGAGAAAAAAAAGCAATAACCATGTAATAAAATAAGTTAGTAATTATTATAAATGGTTTAAACAGTTTATTAGTCGTTTTAAAAATAGGGCGCAGTCAGTAGGATTAACAGTATAAATAAAAAACCGTGTAAACAAAATACTCGGTCCAGATTAGCCCCGACATCAGAAATGGGATGATAATTAAAATTTTTAATAAACGGTTTGTGAAAATCGACCCAAAACTTCATTATTCTTCCACCTACTATGAAGGAATAACGAGAATGACTTGTTTTGAAATTAAATAATTGCATATTGACTCTACCTTGTCATCTCGGGGAATGACACCTCTTCTACTGGACCCCAACGCGTTTCTCGTTCCATGGCCGTATCCCTATTTTTTCTCATATCGTTAAGTTCTCTGTAAAAATTCATGAATTTTGATATCAAGCATTCTATATCATAAATTAGCAGTTTTTGAGAAAAAATAGAGCTAAAACTGTCTAATTTCCAACCCAACTAGTAGTACCACTACTATCACAGTAAATCACGGTCACGGGTATAGCTGTTAATGCGATTTCACGTTTTAGCCCAACTCTAGTAAGTGACTCCTTCCTTAGTAATTTTTATTCAATGCTTATAACAAAAATAACTTACTTGTTTGGGTCATCTTCGGTGAACAATTGCAAAAACGGATTCACAATATCGGAAGGCATTTCGTCCATGTTTATGAAGCGATACTTCGTGATCAACTGGTTCACTTTTTTGCACAGCTCATAATCGACGGGCATCCTCATCAACTGAACGAGGAACTTTTTGCCCAATTTGACAGTTAATTTTTCGCCAGCTATAACTAACTTCCTTATAATCGGCCAACACGGAGCCATATCTCTGTTGCATATCACTTCGAAAATTGTAGAACCTTAAAAGCAAAATTATTTTTTTCTACACTGAAAAAATTATAAGTAATTTTACAAAAAAATATAGATACCTACATTACAGTATATTTTTAACAAAATGCAATTTTGCAAAACGGTTTATTAATATTCAATGATTATTACTAAACGATATTAGATTCACAATAGGTTTTGTGAGTTAAAAAATTAAATGTATATCAGAAATACAATCTTGTAATAAAATTGTATCCCTCTAAACATACTCGCAAAACTTGTGTGAATTTACCATAATATATTTAGTAAAAAACGACGCCACGTCACGTAACGTCTTGTGAAGCTGATGCGAATTAAGCAATCGATGGAGAACGTAGCTAGAGGAAAGACGAAGAACATTTTAATCTAAGTAGTGTTAACTACTTAGATTAAAATGTCTAAACTTTTTTTTAGGCATAAAAGCTAAGTTTAGCTTTTTGCCTAAAAAGCTTTTTACCATCCTTTTACTATCGATAGTTGCGCCTCGGTGGTACGAAAGTACTACCATTGCACGCAGGCCGCTATCTCCCGTTCCGGACTTAATATCTAACCGATACTTTCCGACAAGTCGGAATTAACTATCTCTGCGCTGTGGTTGTCATTTTGTGGATCTCCCAAGCTCACCTGATGATGGAGTAGGCCTCCGAAACCGGTAGTGAGAGCAGGTTGATCCGCATTATGACAAACACAGCGTAGAATTAAATTTCTATATTAGCAGTTAAGTGGCAAGAATCCTTATATAATTTTATTATATACCTCTACTGCAAGAAATTTGTTTTCTATTTTATATTATATTATGTTTATATGTAGTTTTTGTAAATCTACCAACTCTCTTAGACCAATCTGCCAACTCTCTTAGAAAATACAATCTCCATTTATTATAATTATTTGCATGTTAATTTTAACGATTTTTTAATGTAAACATAATTGTTCCATGATCTCTCTATATCAACATATCTCTATGTAAAATAAAATCACTAAATCACCACAATACACCAAAACACTTTTACTTTTACACTGGACGCGCGTTTCGCTAACTATGTTAGCATCATCAGCAGATGATTATAAACTAAAGTACAATCTACAAGTTGAGCGTTTATATACTCGCTCAGTGGGCACCGAGTGGGCGTAGCAAAATCTAGCCAACCGAGTCAAAGCCCACTGAGCGTAACAGTTAGATTTCCGCCACTAGAGTAGTAGGAACAAAGGACTTGAAGGAATTGGACCGTTGTTTCTGTTCATACTATCTTTACATTTATTAATTCTGATGCTTTCATATGCATCTAATTGCCTATAATTTGAGACTTGTTTAATTAATTTTAAATTATTAAGATCTATACAATGTTGTTTATCAACAATATGTTCGGCAACGCAAGATTTATCCGGTCTACCATATCTTATCTGAGCTAAATGTTCTTGAAATCTAGTTAATACTGATCTTCTGGTTTGCCCAACATATTTCTGATTACAATCTTTACAAGAAATTTCATAAATACCCGACCTTTCCAGTGGAGGTGTTTTATCCTTTGGATTACCTAATAATTGTTGTAATTTATTATTAGCACTATACACAAGTTTATAATTGATATTCTTAAAAATTCCTTTTAGACCACGGGATAACTCTCTATCAAACGGTATCGAAAAATATTTAGACGTATCTTTCTCCACTTGAAAAGTCGAATTTTCAGAAATCATTAACCTATACCTACGTTTCCTAATTAATTTATCAACTAGTGAAGGAGAATATCCATTACACTCAGCTACATTCCTAATGTAATCTCTTTCTATTTCATATCTTTCGTTGGAAAGTGGGAAACTAAGTAATCTATGAACTAAGAAATTTAAACTAGCCATTTTATGTTCAACACTATGATGTGATTCATTAGGAATATATCTGCGTGTGGTCGTATTTTTCCTATAGATATCAAATTCCAGGCAATTATTAGTATTTCTAATAACTAATACATCTAGAAATGGTAATCCGTCGTTGAGCGAGTATATAAACGCTCAACTTGTAGATTGTACTTTAGTTTATAATCATCTGCTGACGATGCTAACATGGTTAGCGAAACGCGCGTCCAGTGTAAAAGTAAAAGTGTTTTGGTGTATTGTGGTGATTTAGTGTTTTTATTTTGCTGTGTAACACCAAAGGTTCCAACCCTCAACTGCAATATCTCTATGTATTATGAATTCTTTCAGACTGTGTTTCGGAAGACAAATTTAATAGAGGACCAGAGTAGAGGACTCTACACATCCATAGTCTCTAAGCTAGTTCTTCCAGAAACAATGGAGTTTTCCAGTTTTTTTTTGTTTGTACAATGGAGGACGATGTTGAGCATACTCTGTTCAACTGCCCACGTTGGGACAATGAGAGAAAGTATTTTGAGGTACAGACTGGACAAATATTCACAGTGGAGAGCATGTGTGCTGGACTGGTTGGCGGTGAAAAACTGTAGATCGCAACACATGTTACGGTTACGAAAATAATAAAGAAAAAGGAAGAGCAACACAAATAAGCGAGGACAGCCCTCACGCTGAAGTAATGCGAAAACGGTTTCCAGCATGAGTGGTGTTAGACACGGGGTGGTTTTTTAGTGGGTAGTGAAGAGTGGAAGAGTCCCACTGAGTTAAAAATACACTTATAGTTCACTTACCCAATAACGGATATTGCTTTATTCCAATTTCTAACAGTAAATAATCCACCGATTCCTGAAATGAACCCAGATCGGTTTTTTCGAGACACTCTAAAACCGTACTCACACCCTCAGTCTTATCAATTTCAAGTATTTCATCGAAAATTATTGAAACTAGATGTACCAGTTCGTTTTTCATGTCTGTAATTGAACAAAAATAAGTATTAATAAAAGCCGGCGTTTTGGGATATTTTTATTATTATGAATAATTAAGCTTCATACAATTTTATGTCATATGTATTTTATTTTTCAATTTTATCTCAATGTTATAAAAACACTCATGGAAAGTACAGAGTGCCCCAATTTCGTGTGAAAGAAGTACTTAGGTACAAAGGTACTTAGGTACGAAGGTACTTAAATACAAAGATGTGGTGCTACATTTTTATGAAACTAAAGATGTACAAAGAAAAAAAATATGTGTGTAAAGATATTATACACACACATATTATATACAGGGTGAGTTTTAAAAAAGTGCAAATATTTTTAGAAGTAGTATATTTCGACCCCAGAAACACGATTATTTTTTTTAAAAAACATAATTTCGTGATAATATGATAACATAAGTAGTAGATTAAAATTACAAGAAAGAAAATCTAGAAAAGATCCAGTGCTTCTCAAAATTTAAGCAAAAAATTATTTTTTTTTAAATTTTCAAAGTAGTCGTAACTCGGTTATTTTGGACTTATTTGAAACGGTAAAGAGAAAATATGTTTTTTATCGAGATCTACCAGCTCTGAAAATATTTGCACTTATTTAAGACCCACCCTGTATAGAGTTATTTGCGTAGAATTCAGTGGCATAACTAGTTTTCGCTGGAAACCGTCATGCGTCATTCTTGAAATATGATCCAAATTTATGTTTTTTTTTTAAATGAGATACCTTGTATATTATATTTTTATTTTATTTTCGTTGTGAGCTTCCTAAAAATTTAATATTCAGTTATTTTCATAAACAAGGTAAAAAATCATTATTTAACTTTTTAACATAGATGGCGAGTTTAAATTAGGTAATCAAAACAACCGAATAATTAATTCTACATCAAATTTTCGTTATTGGCTATTCCACATAGGGAATGCAATCCCGCAAATGCGGGATCCCTCTGATATTCAGCAGGATCAAAATTGCGGGATTTACCGTGCGGGATCTGCGGGAACGACACATTACTACTGGGTAACCGAATCGATTCCAATCATGATCAAACCGCTTCGTTCCGGGCCGATGCGTCACGCTCGGAACCCGGGGGATTCCCCTTATGGCTTGGCCATTAAAAATAAGTGAAACAAACAGGTTAGTTGTTAGATTTCTTTCTGGCGTATGTGCGTAAGTGAAGAAAAGCGTTTAACAAGTACTTGTGGACAATTTCGTCGAATAAACTGCCGGACATAATTATCTGAAGAAGCCAAATTTTAGGGTAAATTTAAAGTTGAATATCTCTTGAACTAAAAAAGATTTTGGGATGCGGTTTGGACCAGTTTGTAGATACATCTATTGTGATTAAGATGCTATATGGTTTTCGAAAATATATTTAGTGAATTCTCGTATACAGGGTGTTTTATAAGAGTGTGCAAATTTGGTAAAGAATCTTTTTTACCGCAAATTTACAATTTTTAAAAAATGAAATTTTTACCAAGTACGACTAATCTGTATTGAAATTAGAAAAAACAATTTGATCGGTTTTTTAATTTTTTTTGTCTTAAGAAAAATACGAAATTTTTTTCTTCGAAAAATATGCATTTTTAGTCATACGTATGGTTCTAAATGGTACAGAAAGCTTTGTACATTCTGCATATGCCAAAAAATTATTGATTTATAAAATAAGTAGATAAATTATAATAAAATTTAAGTTTATTTAATACTAAATATATTTTTTGAACACTCTGTATACATCGGTCCAAATTTCTGTACAGCTAGTTTAAGATACACGCTATATCAATATATTGAGGGCCTATGCAAAATGTACAATGCCTTTTGTACCATTTAGGACCAAATGAATGACTATTGTTTACAGTCCCGCAATTTTGCGAATCCGCGGGATTGATTGCTTTAATCCCGCGGGTTTGCGGGATTAAGATTTTGGTGCATTCCCTAAATCCACACTAGTTTTTGTGCGTGAAATTAATGCACAAACGCATCAGAAACATCAATTAGTCCGATTGATAGATATATTGATAACACAAGTTCATTTTCAAACGGTTAATATTTAATAAAAATAATACTCTTTTAAACTAGGTTGATTTATGTTAAAGAGTTAAATAATCCATTTTTGCCTTATTTACGAATATAAGTATAGAGTATATTATATTTTATAGAAGCTCATGACAAAGTATCCCATTTAAACAACATAACTTTGAGTTATATTTCGAAAACGACAGCTTTCACCAATCTAATTCGCCCTGTATTTCAGGAACTAAGAGGAATCTGACAGATCTGTGTGTAGAATATTTAGTTTTATAAAAAAAGTGGCACAGTGATGTGAAAACCGCATCTTTCTACCGCTTCTCATAAACGAGAAACCCTGTAACACAGGAAAATGGGTCACCCTGTACAGACTTTACCACAGAACACAATGGTTTTCAGTTCAGATATGCGATGTCAAATGTTCCATCAATAATGTGAGAAGAATTATATTCATATATTTTTGGTATGATAATGCGAGATATTTTTTTTACAAAAGTTTAAAAATTGAAAAACTATTACAAACCTCTTTTAGCGAATTCTTCTGTAAAAAACTTATAAACTTTTCCAAAAAAACTAGGATAAGTCTGGGCAAATCCGTAAGCCTTCTTCAATTCTTCATTGGATAAATCTCCCATTTTATTAAGTCTGCAAGTCGGTGATTTCAAAGAATGGGTATTCTTACACCAATTCTTGTTGCAAGAATTAGTAAAGAAGAAATTAAAACAGAGACGTTTGAATATATTAGGAACCTAAAATGACAATCCATTGTAACCTAATATTGTTTATAGAATGGAACCGTTGATTGAAAGAATTGGGAAAATACGCAACCTAATGGGCGAATTTGTGACAAGGCTGATTTGATTAGTATTGTACGGTGGAGACACCAATCATTCGGCGGCCAACGCATAAAACACTTATTTTCTCTAATTCGGCCAGCGAAGGCATATCGAAGGCGGTGTGGAACTGAAAGCGACAGTGTTGCCATATTAAAATGTGTAATATCTGTAATATGTTTGACGAAAATATCTTTAGATGAAACATCCGCGTTTATGTATTGAAAATTTACTTCTGTTAAACATAGAATAAACAACAAAAATAAAAATTCTTTTATAGGTACTGATATGTCGTATGACGATTATTTACATTTACCATAATATTTTACCATAATAAATTTACACATGAAATAATAGTACCAGAGCTAGCAACGTCGGAAAAACAAGTATTTTAAGACGTCTGGCTCTTTGATATATCTTTTACTATGCTCTCTAGAACAGCATGCGGCCCGTCTGGCTGCCGGTAAACGTTGCGTTCCCTACTGCGCATTGAAGGAAAATCCTATATTTTTATTAGTCCTTTAAATTCTAGTATTGAATATAAATCGAACATCTCTTCAAAGCGCAGTGAAATAATTCTGGTGATTAAAAAACAAAAATTTAATACTTTACTATCAGAATATAAACGAAAATAAAATAAAAAGTCTTTGTCCTGACCCGGATTCGAACTCTGAATCATCGGTTCGTGGTCGGAAACTCTACGCGCTGCGCTATGGAGAAATGTTCGGTTCATATTCAATACTAGAATTTATAGGACTAAATTAATAAAAAAATAGGATCTTCATCCGATGCGCAGTCGTGAACGCAACGGGTATCGGCAGCCAGACCAGCCGCATGCTGTTCCAGAGAGCATAGTTAAAAGATATATCAAAGAGCCAGGCGTCTTAAAATACTTTCTCGAAAACGTTGCTAGCTCTTAGACTATAACAGCTATCTTCATTTCCAAGCCAACTCTCGTGCAGTTCTTTGTTTAATCATATAATATTATATTAAATTGCTTAATAACCGTATTATTAACGTACTGCACACAAAAACCGTAAATGTACGGATTTGTCAGTAGTCCTGGCAACACTGCCTCCGGAAACCCCTCACTCTGTCGACTGAAAGCTGAACTACGGTACAGTATTATTTATCCGCTGCGCGGTAAACGGCGCAGAGATGATCTAAGTCTCGGACAGGCTGACGGTAACGCCAGCTACATCCCGAACAGGTTTTCTGCCACGAAATCGCCCATAAGGTTGCGCATCTTTTTATTTCTTCAATCAACGATGGAACTAAAATATGGGTAAAGAGTCAATTTACAGCGTTGCCGTTTTATTGATTCAGTTGATAAACTATAAAAAAGTAATGTAATCATTATACAGGGGAAGCACTTTTGTATAGAGTTAAATTGTGTGCAATTAACTAATTTTGATTCAAAAAATACGTAGTTGTTCTATGCCACGGAATATTGGAACTTCTTGTATATTTTGTAGGTCTGCTTTGGAAAAAAAATTCTAATTTTTATTTGTAAAAAATTCTCTAAATTTTTTTTTTCTCAAAAAATACGGACTGTTCCCCAATTGGAAGTGTTCCTAGTTTTTTATATCAACTTTAGTACATTTTAAAAATAAAAAATTGTAGTAATTTCCGGTAAAACAGAAATAGGCTAAAACTAATTGAATTCGTCAATCAATCCTGATTTATGTCATATTAGATAAGAGATATAGGAGTGAGCTTTAATTAAGGGTTAATTTTTAAATCTCCCGCCTCGAAAGAAATCAAAATGGAGGTAATTGCAGTGTTGTAATAACATCTAATAATCTAATAACTTTAAATTAAGGTTATTAAGTTAGTAAATTGACTCTTAATAACATAAATATAGAGTTAGTTACATCATTGTAGTTGATGTTTTTCGGGCTAGTCGATCCACTTTGTGTTTTCTGTAACCAATCGTTTAATCTATTAATTTTAACAATCTCTGTTCCCATAACGCTACCTGACGCACTAATGGGTTCATCCTTACATTTAAAAATACTCTCTTGCTCCTTATCGATCCCTATTGTACTAAAATTAAATAAATATATTACTAAAACTTCTACCTGTATCTATAGTCCGTCCAGCACTTGGATTATATTATAGTCTAGACAAACTATACTTTACTGGGGATTCAATATCACCACAAAAAAAAAATTGTGTGTGCACTATGTGCGCATATTTGAAGTGAAACTTCTACTAGCAGCTATTAAATTGAAGGGTTTGAAGGATATATATTTTTTCAAGAATGCTTTTTATAAACTTCAAAAAATTTAGAGTTAAAAGTGTATACTATTCTAGCTTTATAATTTTATAATGTTTTTTTTTTTTAATTTTTATTATAAAACGATAATTCTATTATCCGGCCTGATAGCTGTGGTCATTAAACGAATACTACATCTATACTTCTGACTCTATGAATAAGAAGATTAAGGAAGGAGCATGCTATCCATGTAATCATGCATGGTGGGCGGAAAAAGGACTCTAGGGTGGGGATCCTTGACAGTTCTGTTTGACGATTCATTTGACACATTTGAATTTGATTTGAAATTTTGTTGATTTGTCAGTCTTTACGTAGCTTCTTTTATGTTATTTATTATTTATTCCACTACTGATAGTTGTATAATTAGCAAATCTAGATGGAAATTGTGGCAGAACTTAAATTAACAGTGACACTATCGCGATTTATCGAAAAAGACTCTAAAATAGTTGGTTGTGTAGCGTGCGGTAGATCTCGGTAAAAATCGAGTGAAATAATGGAACAACTTTTCGCTAGTAAGTGACTATATAATATACATACGTGTAGTAAACCGATCATTTATGAAATTCACTTATATTAACTAAATTATATATTTTTATTGCATTTTAGCTTTTATTTATTACTTGTCAAAGATTAGATGTCAAAGAATTTAGATACGTCAATTTGACTTACCTACTTCAGTAGCGTATCGGATGTTTATGGTTATAAATAATTATTATAACTTATCTATTTTAATTAGAATTTTATATTTTTATAACAATTTTAATAACTACCAACATTTATTCACAACTTAAAATAAAAAAAAATATTGAGTCTACTCCACGTCTACCCTACATCATAGTCAAAGTTTTACATTTTTGAAATAAAATTAGAACGGCACTGATAAACCGGAATTTAAGTCGGCCATATTTGAGGCCCATCGCGGTGGACCTAAGATTTTTGATATGCTCCTTCCTTAGTCTTTTTATTCAAAGTTCTGACTACTACTAACTGCTACTAACCAACAATTTGTTTTGTGTAGTCTGTGGTCTCTTTTAGTTTAAATGTTTTGTTCATTATTCATGTTGGAGATTTATTTTTAAATTAATGTTAATCACAGAGTGTCCCAAATAAATAAAAAATATCAAAGTTGTATTTTTTTAAATGGAACACCCTGTATATTATTACATTTTTAGTTTCTACGATTAAAATAAAGGTAAATTTGATTAAGGTTTATTATACTTAAACCTTACCGTTTTTGAAATATTTTCAATTTTGTGAAATTGCAGTAAAAATTTTAAAGCTTCATTTCTCCAAGGGTATCAATGTTTTTAATACTAAATATTTAATGAAGTTTATTTATTGATCAGTTATTGTGTTGCAATAATAAAAATAATACTACCTTATACAGAGTGTCTAAAAATTTATTTTAAATAATTATTAGCTTCAAACGGCAATAACTTCTTTAATTTAAATGGAATGCCCTGTATATTTTAGGAGAATCAGATGCACAATTAAATTGTCTATCAAATTGTATTATACCATTTTTTACCTATCCCTTCAAGTTTTCGTAGAAAATGCATTTTCTTATAATTTAGGCCTCATTTATCAATATATCAATGGAATATTGACATTTTAGATTGTTTTTAAAGCAACAAATGTACAAAATGTACAGCCCATTTGTATGCAAAAAGAAAACTATTTAAATCTTTATAAAAGAGTATACCATTAATTAAATATAACACCATTATTTCCGCCCATATACTAATTAATGACATACTTAATTGTGTTCGTTAATAAATTATTATAAATAAATGTGGATTTTTGAGTCAGAAATCAATATAATAATAAGTTATCAAAATAAAGTCTTTGTTGTTATAAATAAGCATTTATTAAAAAATGAAATATCATTTTTAAGGTGTTACTTTTTATCACACTGTCTAATGCCCATACAAAATTCAGTTTTTTAGTATTTGGAGCAATTATTATTAATCAACGCAGTCAGTTAATGTAGTTTGAATACTGGAATCATATTAATTGATCCTCTTTAACAAATATTTAAACAGTTTTTTTTTATTTTTTAATGAAATAAACGAATTATATCGACAATATTAGTATCTGTACTCTTTAAAAATTTGGGACATCTTTAAAAATAATCTAAAATGTCAATAGTCCATGGGTATATTGATAAATAAGTTCTAAATTACAAGAAAATGCATTTTCTACGGAAACTTAAAGAGATAGGTAAAAAATGGTATAATATAATTTGATAGACAATTAAATTGTGCATCTGATTCTCGTAAAATATACAGGGTGTTCTATTTAAATTAAACAAGTTATTGCCGTTTGAAGCTAATAATTATTTAAAATAAATTTTTAGACACTCTCTATAAGGTAGTATTATTTTTATTATTGCAACACAATAACTGATCAGTAAATAAACTTCAGTAAATATTTAGTATTAAAAACTTTGATACCCTTGGAGAAATGAAGCCTTAATTTTTTAATGCAATTTCACAAAATTGAAAATATTTCAAAAACGGTAAGGTTTAAGTATAATAAATCTTAATCAAATATACCTTTATTTTCATCGTAGAAACTAAAAATGTAATAATATACAGGGTGTTCCATTTAAAAAAATACAACTTTGATATTTTTTACTTATTTGGGACACTCTGTATCTTGTAAAATTATTTTTAAATTGTACCTCTAATAGTCCTTCATCGAACCCAAAACTTACAATTTGTAAAAATCTCATCGTTTAGCTACAATACTCCGTGTCGTATGTGGTGAACAACCCTGTATAGTAAAACTTTTGATTACTTCTTCTATGTTCTTATATTGTTAATGGAGTAGAGCCAAGAGCAGACTTGTCAACTAATTAAGTTGTATAGAGATCCTACAGTCCTACAGTGTTATGGGATATCCGTAGTACCTCATTTAAAGTGAAATAAAAAAAAGCTTGATGCATGGTTAAAAATTGCAAAAAGTATATATTTGAAAAGAGAAAAAGTTGAGAAAAAAATGCGTTATCTAATAGGGCAGTTCCAGAGGGAACAAAAGAAATGCAAATCAGGTACTAGTTTAGACGAAGTGGATAATTCAAAATGGTTTGCTTTTAAGTTATTAATGTTTTTAAAAGACAGAAACACACCACGAGAAATAGCCGAGGCAGGTATTGAAAAGGTAAGCTAATTGAGTTCAACTATATATAGATCTATCTTGTAGGCTATGGCGGACTAAAACCCGCTTTTTTTCTCGACTTTCTTTCTCTTTCTTCGAAAATAATTACGCACGCCGCTGCTGCTAGCAGAACCTCTTTCTCGCCAAAACGATTCATGATTACGAAAATTATAATGTGGACGGCTCCCGGTTTTTTAGCATGTGATATGTAGCTTGTTAAATAGCAATGTTATATAACTTGTTACTAAATGTGGACCCTCCTTAAGCCGAATGGGGTAACTGTGGCAACACTGCTGCTATCACTTTTTCTCTCATACGTCACGCGGCCGTCATGAATTGAATTTTTACTCCCAACGCGCGTAAAGAAGTTTCACTTCAATAAAGCCTTTTTGTTTCATTTAAAATAGTATTTGAATCTATACTTACCTCGCTTGTAGTGAAATGACTGAATCTAAGTCATCCTCACGCGGACTTTGGCGGGGTACTTCGCCCAAATCCCCTACCGAGGTGACTTTAGTTTTATTCAGTTGAAGATCGACTGAAACTGATAGATTTTTATTTGTTTTCTGTCTAGTTGGAGGTCTCTTCAGAGGTAATTTAAACATCGAGTTCGTGGAATTTACTTTCGAGGATGGCTGGCTGAAATATAACGCATAAAATATTTACGTTAAATTTTTAATATACATAAATATAATCGATACCACATAAACTTGTAGTTACGTCATCGAGTGCGCGAATATTAAATACATTGTTGCCAATAATGGACATATTCAGCGGCGGGCTGAACTAATTGAAATTTAAATGTCCCGCTGGCGATTGTAGGTGGTAAGTTTGCTGTAAAAAATGTCAAGTTACCATATTTATTTATTTACTTCCTGACATTTTGATTTGTTTTGACATTTTAGTGTTGTATTACGAGTTTTTGGTTTAAGCGAATTGTGTTATAGTACTTTAGGTTTAAAATAGCAGACCTTACAGTCGAAAATCGTTCATTTTAGAACCTCTTTTAGTGCAAAGATGCCGACAACGATTACAGATAAAATACACGAAGCACAAAATATGCTAGAAACACTTAAACGGGCGTCAAATCAAATTGGACTACGCATAAATTATTCAAAAACAAAACTAATGACCAATCTTGTTAGTGGAAATGTCTTGGTGGACGGAGCAAATATAGAACAAGTATATTGATATAAATATCTGGGACACGAAGTAACAATTGGTCGCGATAACCAGACAACGAAGAATAGGACTAACATGGGCAGTATTCGGCAAACTAAGATATATGTTAAAATCAGATCTACCAATGTGCTTAAAGAGGAAGGTGTTCCATCAGTGCGTTATGCCAGTACTTACATATGGCGCAGAGACACTTACACTGACGAAAAAATCCATAGAAAAAATCCGTTTAGCCCAACGAGCTATGGAAAGAGCAATGCTTGGTGTATCTCTAAGAGACAAGATACCCAACACAGTTATAAAACAGCGTACACGAATAACAGATGCTATATATCTGCTTAAAAAACTCAAATGGAACTGGGCTGGGCATATTGCCAGATAAACGGACGATAGATGGACCAGGCTAATACTAGAATGGCAGCCAAGACAGGATGCTCTCAGAAACAGAGGCAGACCTCCGACAAGATGGTCAGATGACTTAAAGAGATTTAGGGGAAACTGGATCCAAGTGGCACAGGACCGAGAAGAGTGGAAATATTTGAGGGAGGCCTACGTCCAGCAGTGGACACTTCAGGCTGGTTGATGATGATGATGATGATGATGTACAAGATGCCGAAGCAGCTTAACAGCCGTTGCAAAAAACTCATCGCAACCTTATTAGAATGCTTTGAACGGAAAAGCGGTAATGCCGGTGGTCAAGCATAATCACGTGACTAAAATTTATATGGTATACTAAGTATAACTTAAACTCTACTACTACTGTTAAAAACTTTAGTAGTTAATAATTCATAAAGTTCGACCTTTCAGACAAAATATACCGAGTGTTTTTCAAAAGTGGTTCATCCTTATAACTTACTTAGTCTTCTGTGATTCCTAAATGCTTGTGTAATATCATTATTTTAAGAAAAGATTAATATAGTAAACGCCACGAATGTTTGGGAGTGATTCATCACTTGATGAAGTTAGAATCGACATGCGCGCTATCATTTTTACATTAAAAACGTAAATTTTTACCGCAGACGTAGGTTTTCAAAGGCATGGTCTAATCATCTGCCTGCGCTCCTCCTACTTATTCTAAAATGTTAGCGTGATTGACAACGACGATACTATATCGCGTTTCTTTAATTGATTCGTTTTTGTGCGTCAGTCCATTGGTGTGCTTGCAGTGCGACCAATGGGGCATTTCAGTTTATATTTATAACCAAATATATGTTTTGACAAGACTTTGACAGTTAAAACAACAAATTACAACAGATTATATATTGATTATTATATGACTTGAAACACCACGGCACTGGAATTAAGTTTTATGTGACCTTGAACAGATTAGTTCACATGGTAGCGACCGATGAATCACTCCCAAACATTCGTGGCGATTACTATAGTCAATTTAGGCAATCAATATCACTCTACTTATAGGCTTGGTGCATTCTCCGCCGGTGCTGCCACTATCGAAAAATATCGTAAACAACTGATATCGATAAATAAACGGGTATAAATAGCGAATATTATACGAAAAATACGAATATTATACGAAAAATGTATTATATAATTATTCTAAAATGTATTTTTTTTCCTTTCTTGGGTATGAGGTTTTTTTTTATTAATTGAAAATGGAAACTTTTTTTTTATTATGCGACGTTTCGCCTCATCATGGTGGGCTTTCTCAGGCACTTTATTCTTGAAGCCGCAGCCGCCTTGCTACCACCAGTCTATATAGAAGAATGTGCACATTCTTATCTTATAAAACATTTAATCATTGTTGGATTAAAAAAAGCATACTAATAATATTACCAAATTATATTTTATTCTCTCATATGCCTATTTAATTTTTTTTGATTGTGTCACGAGCCCTTTGTTTACTCACTTGTTTCGTCGAACTGCTTGAATCCGTTTTTGCTTTTGATCAAATCGGTGTGAGAATATGTGAAGCTATAAAATGTTGATTCGGGAGAGTTGAATATCGGGGAAAGTTGAGTTATTGAAATTATTGCACCCAACAACGCCCTAATTACGCTCTCCTTTACGCGTTAACATTTTTTCGGCAATTTTATTCACATTTGAATTTGTCACAAGACAACACGACACCTAGTTTGGATTCTTTTTCACTTTTTTTTACTACCTGAAACAGCGTTACATCACACAAACCTTGTACCTGAGTGTTTTGTAGTTTCAATAACTGCACTAGCAAAGAACTAAAATACTTAAAAATTATAACAAAGCCACGACGATTTCAATAATATTTTACTGCGATCACCATAAAGTGTAACCGGGACGGCGTGAAACACATAGCGAAAATTTCTGATTTCTGCCGTATACAGCGCTGCGGTCGGAATTTGTTGAAATCAACTGAAACGCACCAAGCCTATAAATAAATTTAAAACAACTTTTTTTAAAAATTAAATTTTTAGGAACAAACGTTTGAACACTATTCCATCTGCAGAAAAAAAACTATTTAACTTCTAAAAAACAATTTACCTGCTTGAAGTACTACTGATGTCGGATCCCGAGTCTACCCTCGGAACATATTCTACCCAACTATCACGTGAGGTTAATCTTATCACATTATCTTTAAGAAAGCTTCGGATTGGAGTTGTCCATTTCTTAAACTGCTTTTTCTTGATAGAAAGCAACCTACTATTACCAGCTAATGTTATAGAGAAATTCTTGCTGGACTTCTTCTCAGGAACTAAAATAAGTATTATACAAAACTAACATAAAATAATTAAATTTAAGTAATAAGACGCACAATATAAGTTGCGGTACAAGCTAAAGCAGGATCTATACCGGGTGTTTCTCAAAAGTAGCTCACCCCTATAACTTCTTTATTTTTTCAGATAAACAACCAAATTTGGTGTGTTAGTATACGACATAAATCCACTAACCTTTAGGTATAAAACCCAGTAAATTATTAAAGCAATAGCCTTTTTAATTTGTACATAAGTTATAATGATAAATATAATAATAAAAGTAGGAAGATTTTTGAGTTTGAAAGTAAGAAATAGTTCTTTTTTACAAATTCTCTGTATGTAGTGTTTTCTTTAACATATACTGTTTTTTCTCAGGTAAGATTTCGACAGACGATGACAGAAAAAAAGCAGATGACTTCTATACCAATCCATTTATTTCACTAAAAAAAGTTTCTAATATTTTTTAAGTTAACTATGGATGGGTTTAAATATTAATCCGTCATGCGTCGTCTCTTGTTGTTTTCAACCAGTTTTATTAGTTTATTTAAAAAATGACAGATCATATTTCAATATTATTGGTTTGACGCAACGATGAACGACAAACGGACGCCTATGCGTATGAACTCGACTTAAGATTTTTGAGAATTGTCAAACTCTTGCCAAATTATTGGTTATAATTTTGTGTCAAATAGAAATGATAAATATTTTGCATTTTGGATTGTGTTGTTACTTGTGTTTCGTGTTTTTTAAAGTTAAGTGGAGGAAAACTAGAGGGAAAATTAAGTTTTGACCCAGACCATAGTTAGTTAATATTCGGTGCCCAGAGACCGCCAGAGACAGTTTGTCAGAGAGATGTATTAGCCACAAATAAAGTTTGTATACTGTCTAGTATATGATACCAAAAACTGGAGTGTCTGTAAAATAGCAGCACACGATAGGCAAATAATAATCATATTGAATAATTATATTGATAAACGTAACAATAAATGTAGGAAGTTGCTTGAGCTTGAAAGCCAGAAATCTTTTTTGGTATGTGGTGTTTTTTTTAAATAAGCCCTTGCTTGTTTGTATTAACACATACCTACTGTAATTGTTTTTAGTAAAATAACACGATTAAATTTTCTCAATTTAAACAGTTTTTTTTCACAATATTTTGAAGTAATCACTTGTCACTCAAATTTTAAATATATTAGAGTGTATTCCGTTGCTTACCTTGGTTATGGTTTTATGTTCCGTTTCTATGGGTTTCCTGAAAGTTTTCTTATTACGGAACACGGTTCCTGAACAATTCGGTTATAACCAAACTAACCAGCACGAGAAGGCTGGGTTTTCTGGTTTTGTTTGACAATCAATGTCATTTATGTGACAGAAATCAAGCGAATATTGAAAGTTCGAGTGAAATTCTCATTTAATTTCTAAAATTTGTAATAATATTTTGTATTTACATCCAAAAGCAATGGAGGTAGGAAGTAAAGGTAAATAAATTTCATTAACTAAGTAGAATGACTTTTTAGGACCATTTAAACTTATCATGCAGCCATTGTTTCTTAAAGTCAGGAACATTTAAAGAAAACATGAAAAACAAGACAACAAGTAATCGTGAGTGTTTTGTAAGCTATCAAAATATAAATATTGATTAGATTTGTTTATTTATTATTGATCTGTTTTAATATTGGACCTGCAAATCTTCACTTGAGCTGTCTAACGAGTTTAACAGTTTATTAATAAAGTACTTTTCAATATTAAACTCCATTGAAAAGAAGAAGCAAACGTAAAAACAGAGATTAGGTACATTAAAAATGCATAAAAGATAAATTTTATAATAGAGGTATTGAAATTTAGAAAACTTCAACATTTGACGTTTCCAGAATTTTCCCAATTTTTTCGCTCTTTACCGTAGTTTACCGGTCTGGTTCGCCTGGTTTTGCAACGGAATACAGCCTTAATTTTATGCTATGCGTTCCAGTTGCACCAACTTAATTCTTTGTAAAATAAAATAAACTGATTTGAAAATAAAATGACAGACACATCTATCACTGTCAAGGATCTTGTCGTTGGACAGACTATAGACATTTAAAAACCCTGTAACTTTAGTATTTAACTTTTTGCGGTACCTTGTATATTTTACCCAATAATCGACCGTTCCCATACATATCAGCGACCCTGTACATTAATTTCCTGCTTTGCGTTCCAATTGTACCAACTTATTTTTTGGTAAAATAAAATAAACTACTTTGAAATTAAAATGACAGACACATCTATCACTGTCACGGATTTAGTCGTTGGACAGACTATAGTACATATCACATTTTTTAAAGATTCTTTTTTGATTTGGAGCTTTTTATAGGTTCTTTTTTGATTGAAGATGAACAATGATGAAAATATTTATTTACCTTTTTCTGTATCTACTTTAGTACATGCAACATTTGGCTCTGGTTGACAAGGCTCTTCGGTATAATTAGGAGAATGCTGATGATTCGAGATTTCTGGTAAGCCGCTATCGCCATCTATGTGATTGTTTACGTCATCTATATCTTCGAAATAAGAGGCGCCTTGAGATTCGCTACACTCCATATCATAATCCCCTACGGATCCACCATTTAATAATGATTCTTCTGAATGTTTTATTCCACTATCTAAAATTGTTTTTATCATATGAAAATGAGCAAAAGAAACATTTTGCTGGCGACATACCTATTGTAATCGCAAAACATTTTCCGATGCACGTCATCAATCATATCGACATTGACAGTAAAGTCTATAAACCTGAGTAAATGAAATTTTGGCAAAATTGTTTAAATTTATTGTATAATTTAAGATACCGAGCAGCTCTTCATTTTACTTTATAGAGCAAATGATTGTAACAGATATTTTATTTAGATTAAAGCTGCAAAAATTAGTTTAAACCGAATTTTATTATCGCTATGTTGGTCACATTGTGCCGCTTTCAGCAAGGTTGTCCTTTATTATTTGACAATTATCCTAATGCCAGTCATTATTTTCTATAATATCGTGTTGTTGTTGAATCTCTGTGAGTAATTCTCGTTTTTTTGCCTATTTTCATAGTCTTTTTTAAAAAATTGTACTTTTAAGCACAAACACTTCTTTTAAGAACTAAATTTTCGAGTTTTTGTATTGCATTTCTCGAAATTGTGTGTTGAAAATATGCCGAAGCATTTAAACAGTCGAAGCAAAGAGCTTGAAGCTTCCCTGATAAACTATTTTGAACGAAAACGGAACAATAAAGGTCCTTTATTACCCTTGACTGCAGTTAGAGAAGTAAGTTTGATTGATAAGCACATTACACCACTTTCAAAGTTATTTCTACGTTAGTTTTTATTAAATTCTGTGATTATTAGTTTGTGCATTAATAGCGCCCTCTTACTTATTTATTATTACCTCTTATTGCGTTGTAAGATGTACATCAATAAATAAATTAATTACCCATAATAAAGCTTAAAATAATATTCATAATGGACTAGTTTTTGCCAATATGTAATAGTAAAATAAGCTATAAAACAAATAAATCAATTAATTACTAAAATATTAGTTATTAAATTAAAAATAAGACGTAAAAATATTTAAAACAATGATATAATAAATATATTGTTTGTCACTTTTAAATTAAGATTCATCTCATAAATCCATCACAATCTGGCAGCGCTGTGGCCATCGCTTGTCACTCAAAGTTGATCACGTACATCGGAAATTATTTTGCGATTACCATGCAATTACCATACACTAAAAATGCCTTTTATAAACTATTAAGTTAGGTTTTTTTAGTTTAGTTAGGTAAACAATTTTATAGGACTCAGTCGTCACCGTTGCAACATTTTCAAATTCGCCCTGTATTTCAGGAACTAAGAGGGCTAGGACAAATCTGTGTGTAGCATCTTTAGTTTCATAAAAAATTGGTCAAGTGCGAGTCGGACTCGCGCACGAAGGGTTCCGTACCATTCATTATCTATACCACATTAGACACTATATTATTATAGACTTTTTTCCGATTTAGCTGAAATTTTGAATGCGCGTATAAGTAATTTAAAAGAAAAATGAAGAAACACATTACTAAAAATTGTATTAATCAATAATAAACATGTAAAAAGTAAAAATAAATATGTAAACATATGTAAAAATTAAACAAAAAACGATTAAAAAAAAGTCGCCTTGACCAAGGATACTATAGATATAAGGATAGTTCGATTCCTATCTTCCTGCACTGTCAGTTTTTTTACGTCATCTAAATTCTTGGCGCTAAAGATTTTAGACAGTGACAGTTATTTTTGCATTTGACGGACGAGCGCACAGTGCGTTGGAAGATAAATTTAGCGGGACAAAAGTGTTTGGTTAGAAATAAGCCAAAAAATGTGTACTGATAAGAATAAATAGTAGACATTCCAATTGATACAAAAATGCATGAATATTGTTTGTATTTCGATACATTTTTATCAACCAAATTTGGGCGTTTTCTGCTCAGCAAGGCAAAGATCATACGAAAACAAAATATTTACAAGTGCATATACATATTATTAGAAAGCCAAATTATGTTGAAGATTGCCAAAGGTATGTACTTTTCTACTGTACGTATATTATTTGTTAAAATCCTTCGTGCCTTTGTTCTGTAGATATCAAACTTTCACTTTTTTTTTCAAATATCGATATATTGAATGATGTAGATCTTTTGAGTTACCAATAGTTACCAACACAGGTAGTCACAGTCACAGGGAGTTCAAGCTTAACAGGTGAATGCCCAAAAAGATTCATTTCAATTGGATAGCATAAAAACAAAACAACTCCATCAAAAGACACTGAGTTTAAAAAATTGTCTTGATACTTACTATATATGAATTTACAATTACCGAGTGTTAAAATTAAAATTAAAATATCTATCTTATTTATTATTTTCAAAATAAAATATATTTTTTTAAAATAAATATAGAGGGTGTCACAAGATTACAAATTAATTAAAAAAAAATGCTAAAGAGTTTTTTGATATCATAATTTTATGTATTTGGCAATAGTTTACAATACGGTTTTTGTGTGTCATGTAGGAATAATATCATAGTTTTATTATCTTGTATTTATTTATTAATAAATTAAGTTGTTAATAAATAAATAAACTTAACCATATAGTTGCTATATATTAGACCATTTGCCACGTTCTTAGATTTTAAATCCCAAACATTGCTCTTGAGATTTTGTCCCGCTAGAATAACCATCCGCCGCATTGTGGAGCGCTGGTCAGCTCGTGACATAGCATCCCACGGCGACTACGACAGCGGCGATTCGACGCGATCGAACAGTCTTTTAGAATATATACAGTCCTTGGCCTTGACTAGAATTCGAACCTGCCTTACTACGGCTCCAACGTCATAGCAGCGTAAAGTCCTAATGCCTTTAACCACGCGGCCACCGAAGACTTGAAAGATTCTGTATAAAATTCTTACTTAAAAGATAATGTTTTTAGTATTTGTTCTTATAGCGGCAACATAGATACATTATCTGTAAAAATTTCAACTGTCTAGCTATAACGGTTCATAAGATAGACCTTTGTACCAGACGGACGGACGGACAGCGAAGTCTTAGTAACAGGGTTCCCGTTTTTACCCTTTGGGCACGGAACCCTAAAAAAGTAGTACTACTCATAAACGAGAAACCCTATAAAACACATGAAATGGCCACTAAATTCTACATAAAAAATCACACTGTACTCGTTTAGGTTTAATTATTTCTCCAAAGGCTTGGTGCATTTCAGTTCATTTTAAAAATTCCAACCGCAGCGCTCGAACGGCAGAAATTAGAAGTGTCGGGTATAAAGTATTTCACGCAGTCCCATTACCGTTTATGTCGATCGCATTGAAATAATATAAAAATCGTGGCTTTGGCATAATATTTAAGTATTTGATTTTTTACTAGTGCAGTTATTGAAACTATACAACACTCAGGTACGAGGTTTGAGTGCTGTTTCGGGTAGTAAAAAATCAGTGAAAAAGAACCCGAACTAGGCGTCGTGTTGTGACAATTTCAAATGTTAATAAAATTGCCGAAAAAATGTTAACGCACAAAGGAGGGTGCAATTAGAGCATTGTTGGGTGCAATAACATTCAATAATTCAACTTTCCCGGATATTCAACTCTCCCGAAACAACATTTTATAGCTTCACAGTTTCTCACACCGATTTGATCAAAATCAAAAATGGATTCAAGCAGCTCGACGAAACAACGAGTAAACAAAGTGCTCATTACATAATCAAAAAATTAAATAGGCATATACTTTGAGAGGATAAAATATAATTTGCAATATTAATGGAATACTTTTTTTAATCAACTAGTGCTTAAGTGTTTTATGAACATCTTCTAAAATTATAATTATGTACCTTTAAAAAAAAAGAGCACCTGTGGCTCCGTGGCTGAGGCTATCACTTCGTGAGCGAATGGTTAGCATTCATCAGCAGATGATCATAAACTAAAGTACAATCTACAAGTTGAGCGTTTATATACTCGCCCAGTGGGCACCGAGTGGGCGTGGCAAAATCTAGCCAACCGAGTCAGAACCCACTGAACGTAACAGTTAGATTTCCGCCACTAGAGTAGTAGGAACCAAGAACTTGAAGGAATTGGACCGTTGTCTCTATTCATACTATCGTTACATTTATTAATTCTGATGCTTTCATATGCATCTAATTGCCTGTAATTTGAGACTTGTTTGGTTTGGTTTGGTGGAGAGTATCCATTACACTTAGATTATTTTAGGAATGTAGCTGAGTGTAATGGATATTCTCCTTCACTAGTTGATAAATTAATTAGAAAACGTAGGTATAGGTTAATGATTTCTGAAAATTCGACTTTTCAAGTGGAGAAAGATACGTATAAATATTTTTCAATACCGTTTGATAGAGAGTTATCCCGTGGTCTAAAAGGAATTTTTAAGAATGTCAATTATAAACTTGTGTATAGTGCTAATAATAAATTACAACAATTATTAGGTAATCCAAAGGATAAAACACCCTCCACTGGAAAGGTCGGGTATTTATGAAATTTCTTGTAAAGATTGTAATCAGAAATATGTTGGGCAAACTAGAAGATCAATATTAACTAGATTTAAAGAACATTTAGCTCAGATAAGATATGGTAGACCGGATAAATCTTGCGTTGCCGAACATATTGTTGATAAAGAACATTGTATAAGTCTTAATAATTTAAAATTAATTAAACAAGTCTCAAATTACAGGCAATTAGATGCATATGAAAGCATCAGAATAAATAAATGTAAAGATAGTATGAACAGAGACAACGGACCAATTCCTTCAAGTTCTTTGTTCCTACTACTCTAGTGGCGGATATCTAACTGTTACGCTCAGTGGGCTCTGACTCGGTTGGCTAGATTTTGCCACGCCCACTCGGTGCCCACTGGGCGAGTATATAAATGCTCAACTTGTAGATTGTAGTTTAGTTTATAATCATCTGCTAATGATGCTAAGATGGTTAGCGAAACGCGCGTTCAGTGTAAAAGTAAAAGTGTTTTGGTGTATTGTGGTGATTTAGTGTTTTATTTTGCGATATACTAGCTATTTAAACGCAAGTATTTTTATATTCCGGTTGTTTACATATTCTCCGCCGGTGCTGCCACCATCGGAGAATATCGTAAACAACTACTTACAAATACACGGGTTTAAATAGCGAGAATACGAAAAATGTATTATTTAATTATTCTAAGGTATAAAGGTTTAATTATTCAGGGCATAATTGGAGCTATTTCGGCTATAACGAAATTTTTTAAAGGTACATATAATTATAATTTTAGAAGATGTTTATAAAACATTTAATCACTAGTTGATTAAAAAAAAATTACCATTAATATGGCAAATTATATTTTATCCTCTCATAGTAATATGTCTATTTAATTTTTTGATTCTGTAACGAGCACTTTGTTTACTCACTTGTTTCGTCAAACTGCTTGAATCCATTTTTGCTTTTGATCAAATCGGTGTGAGAAACTATGGAGCTATAAAATGTTGTTTCGGGAGAGTTTAATATACGGGAAAAATTAATGATTAAATGTTATTGCACCTACCAGCGTCCTAATTACGCTCTCCTTTACGCGTTAATATTTTTTCGGCGATTTTATTAACATTTGAAATTGCCACAACACAACACGATGCACAGTGCTTCGAATATATCGTCCTATTGCTGCCAAAAGTCACTAACTAGTCACTAAAGATTTCTGGCTATTTATGTTTTATTTTAATACCAAATAGTTACTAACTATAACATCTTTATGCAATGCAATTCATCTTTAGACGCATTTTTCTCGGAAGTAATAAAAAGTAAGTTAGTGACTTTTGGCAGCAATGGGACGATATGGCTCTAGAGGACAAAAATCCAAAATTTCTCTTTTATTGTAGGCAATTTATTCAAACTAGGTTTATTTGACACAAATGATGAGTACTCTCATTGTACTAAATGATGATGTTCTTAGTCCCACGTTTATGAAAAAAAAAATTTATAAATAAAAATGTTGGAGCTGTGTTCCATCTAAGCAAATAATAATTTATAGTATGAAAACGGTGTAAGTATTAAATAAATCCCTGTCTTAAAAAAGAATTGAAATAACATTAGAACATGATTCCTACAATATAAGCCTAATATAAGATAAAAATGTTTTTCTTTAATGAAAAAGAAACATTAATGTTATTTTTAATTAAAAAAAAACTTAAGATAATATAAATTTACTTTAGGACAACAAAAAGCATACATCGTAACTACTCTGATTCAGAAGAATCACTGCTGACAGAATCTTCCAAATTTATAGTATCCAAATCACAGGTACGGTAGTATCCTCACATATAAGATATTTCTGTACATCATTTTCTAATATGTTACTTTTTCGTGTTGTTACTGTTCTTTTTGTTGGTATGAGGGGTTCGGATGTTAATAGTTACTTCTTTAATAGAGCATATCCATATATTATTTTTTCCTTTTCTTGGGTATGAGGTTTTATAATAAATTGAAAGATGGAAACTTTTTTTATGCGACGTTTCGCTCCAACATAGTGGACTTTTTCAAGCACAAGTGGTGTCTCATTTGACTGGAAGGTTCATCAATATCTAATAAAGAACACGTTTTGAAATACAAATAATTTTGAGTTCTTGTCCTTATGATCAAGCCAAGTATTAACCAGATCGGCATTGCTTATCAATTTTACTCCATCTAAAAAGTAATATAAAATAAAGTTCGTCGCAAGCAGACGCAGGTGAACTATACAAAAATTAAAAGTGTATGAATATGACAACAAAAATATTCAATAAATACGATATGTTTTTTTTAAATGCCTTTTTGAAGTTTGAAAACGTAACATTTTTATACCCATTTAAGAATCATCTTAAAAAAATAAATAAAAACTAAACAATCACGAACTTGTTGAGAAATAAATTAAAGTACATACCTTGTTTAACAATATCCATAGTGGCTTTCAATTAAGTACGTACCGTTTAACCCCATAATATACAGAACTACTATGAATGTTATTCTTTTCACTGATAAGATAATGACCGCAAAATTTATTTTTAGTGAAAATATTTGCTATTTTATAACAATGAATGAAAAATAATATACAGGATGGTTGAACATTGCTATTAGTATAAAATTACATATTCAGATATTAGTAAATTTTAACTTATTTTTCGATTTTTGTCCATGGGACGAAGCACTGTGCGACGCCGAGTTCGAATTCTTTTTCACTTATTTTTTACTACCCGAAACAGCGTTACATCACACAAACATCGTACCTGAGTGTTTTATAGTCTCAACAACTGCACTAGCAAAAAAGTAAAATACTTAAATATTATGACAAAACCGCGGTTTCAATATTATTTTAATGCGATCAACATGACGGCGACATGAAATAGGTATTGATAATTTCTGATTTTTTGCCGTTAAAACGCATCGGTCGGAATTTGATGAGATCAACTGAAATGGACCAAGCCTATATAGCTAAACACAGCTTACTACATTACCTAATTGGTCATCATCATTGAGTTCATAATCGGTAAAGTCATCCTCATCAGAACTATCTATATAACGACGCCCAGTATTAGGGGCATATTGCCCATAGTTACTTCGAAAGGAACCATGGGGATTAATGTGTGAACTACAATAAGTCATATTGTCCCTGGAATTTAACTCTTTATATTTTCTATAATATATAATATATCGTTAAGTAGTTACCTGAAGCTCGCTATCGATGGTGTATAGTCACTCTTATTATTAATTGTAATGTGTCTTTCAGGACTGCAATTAAATATATAAAATTACTACCTAATACCCTTGTATATATATTTTTAAAGTAGATCAACCTAAGACGTTTATGGACTAAGACTACTAGATGGCAGGACCGGTTTCCCCACAGAAAAATATTTTTTGTTACTCTGAATTTTGAAGCTACCAATAAAAACAGAGAAAATAAAAATCGATAATTTTCGGACTGTGCCAATTGGTTACTAATCGACCAGATAATTTTTATCTATAAGATATACTATAAAATCTGGCAATTATACAATTCGACCATTGTAAATACCCGACAAATTCTTCAAGGCCGACAAGGCCGATGCTTCTCACTGATAAGAAATAAAAATGTTTGTTTAGATAATTTTCGAGGTATTTTTTCCTTCTGAATGCACATTTTAAAGTATTTTATATTCTTTGTCCCCTTGACCTATTATCCTGGTCGCACGTATGGAAGTTCTGTTTCTTCTAGTTTTAAAAAAATGTTCTTATTTCTTTTTTCTTCGTAGTTGTCGTGTAAAATTAGATTAATTTATTAAGTTTAATTATAGTGTTTAGTGTAGCATGTTAGTGTAGTAATGTTTTTATAGTTTATTTTGTGTTAAGTAGTAGGCGAAGGGATAATTCTGTTATTTTTTTTTGTTTGATAAATTAGTATGTTTGATAATTTGTTCAGTGTAGAATACACGAATAAGTAGTTGTGTAGTGTTTTTAAGAGATTATATTCGTTTATTTTGTAGTTGAGTAGTAGGTGAAGGGGTATTTTTTTTTTGTTTTTCTTGTAATAATTGTAGTAGTTCTATTAAGTATTGTGATAGATACACTATATCTTCCTTCAACTTCGTTGAAAAGTGCGTTATCATATAATCTTGATTTTCTGGTAGCAGAATATACGAAACAAAATCTGATCAAATTTATTTGAAATTAAATTAATCTAGCCTTATTAATCAAATTAAACTAGTCAAATAATAATAATAGTTAGTTTCAAAATACTATACAGGGTGAGTTTCCTACGATGTTCTCTATGGGTATCTCGGAAACTATTGGAGATAGAGAGTCGGTTAATGGGGAAAGAATTGCAGTTTTGTGGGGTCATAAATATGCGCCTTTCGGATTTTTGAAAAAGTTTATCGCTTACTAGATATTTCGAAAAAAAAAATGTTGGCTATTTTAAAACTTGTCCCTAATTCCATTATAATCTATTTTAGACAAAAAGTTGTAGATAATCACATACCTAATGAGTTTGTTTTCTGATTTTTTCTAAAGCCTATAATTTTTGACCATAGTTGGTCATGACTTCATAAAAATCGCCATTTTTAAGCTTTTCGGCGATATAGGTATATATGTTTTTTTCGAAAAATTACAGTTAGATACAGAGTTATAGTTATAGCCAATTTTTTTCTTTCTTGGCTAATTTCAATTAGTTAGCATGGTATTCTTACTCTATTATGATTTATAACATAAAAACATAGAATATATTATTAAACGGTTCTTTACGATTTACATTACGCAAACTAAAACTTCATAATATCACTACCCCATACACTTAAGTTATTTTAAAAAATGTTCTCCCGTACCGCCTCTTCGAGGGGGCCCATGCAATTGGTCCAACTCTTCCGATCCCTGAGTTTGTATAATTGTGATATAAATCATTTTTAACATTTCTTTCACTATGGGGGGGGGGAGGTGTCATAATGAAAGTCATGTTGGAACCACCTTATTGATGCGCGACTATCTAAATTTAACTTTTCTAACATGTCTTGAAAAACGTTCTCTAAAAAACGTTCACCGGTCAACGTATCCTGGAAAATGTATGGCCAAGAAAAGTTGAACCAACAACCCTACACGCTTTTCTTCATTTAAAAAATTCATATTTACAATTTTTGTTTAAGCAAGTTGCAATTTTTTGAATGTAAAGTTTTATGTTTTCAAAAAAAAATATCGTAAAATTCATAAAACACTCAGTTTAGAATAAAATAATCTAAGAATGAAATGATTCTTTTAATATATTATTATTTTTATTTATTATTAGTTTCTGCATTAAATCAAATTAAAGAAGGTATGTAACTTTTTCTAAATATTAATTAACAGTAATTAGCATTATCATAAATTATAAAAAATGTACCAACATATCGAAATAATAATTTCTTTGTTAATACGGTTTAGAATTTTTAAAATAACAGGCAAAAATAATCCACAATCTACATAAAATAAAAATTTCGTTTAAATTTCTTAATCAGCTGATCACTATTAAAGATGCAAAAACCCGGGCTATATTATTACATTACTCTGAGGAAAATAACGAAAATAATCAATATTTTTGACTCCGCCCCGAAAGGTTCACGATTTGTCCTCCAGCTGGCAGCACATTTTGTCTAGCCGGTTGACCAACTTAAAGAATATATAAACAAGGCTAATACTCAATAGGCGGAATGTAATATAAAAACATAATAATAAAAATAAAACACATTTAGAGTTCATAAAAGATGTTCAGTGAATGTCATAGATAAATGAAACAAGTTTAGATTGGAAAGTGCCTTTGAATAAGAAGACTAAGGGAGGAGCATATCAAAAATCTTAGGTCCACCGCGATGGGACTCAACTATGGCCGACTTAAATTCCGGTTTATCAGTGCCGTTCTAATTTTATTTAAAAAATGTAAAACTATGATGTAGGGTAGACGTGGGGTAGACTCAATATTTTTTTTTTATTTTACGTTGTGAATAAATGTTGGTAGTTATTAAAATTGTTATAAAAACCTATACATATCTAAATTCTTTGACATCTAATCTTTGACAAGTAGTAAATAAAAGCAAAAATGCAAGAAAAAATATATAATTAGTTAATTTAAGTGAATTTCATAAATGATCGGTTTACTACACATATGTATATCATACTAAGGGCTGGCAAAGGTTAGTCTTGGGTCGAGATTTCCGTATGTAAGAAGAGTACAATGCGTTTATAATGTACTGAACAAAGAGAGGACAGTAAACACGTTGCCAAACGTATGAAATAAACCGAGAAACTGTGCACATCGCTAAGAGACGTGGAAGGGGATATAACAGATTTGTCGCAGTTGACCGGTCGACCCAATCAATACCTCTGACCTCTGTCACTACTTAAAGGTCTAGGGAAAGGTGTACGTCATGCGTTCAGCTTCACGATTTAATTACGTCTCGTGATACTTAATTTGTTTATTTATTAACGAGTCTTTGTAATTTTCCCTATAGCTTGAATTTTTTTAAGTGCAAGCTAGAAACACTTGCATTTTTGGTAAAAATAAGTGGAATTGAGTGGGTGTTCGATAGTGGTCGCGCTATTAGAACTCTGAATTCAAAAATCGATATCTATTAGAAATAATAGATTGTAGTTTTTTCAAGAACTTTGTTAATACTTCTACTGTATTTTCTTTGTAGACAGTATGTGAAAATCTTTATCAATAAAAAAATTACACGATTGCTGAAAATTGCTATGCTCTAAAAGTAAATGGTTGGATTGTTTACAAGTTTTGAATGGAAAAAACAAACTTATCGAATTTTTCTTATGTAAACATATTGTAAAATATCCGATCTTGAAAATAAAAAAAAGTTTCAATATCTAAAGTGGTTCTTGAGGCCTGTTATGTGTTAAAAAGTTGAGTTTTAAATTATCGCGATTACTGACGTTTTCTCGTTATAAAAAAAATGACACCCTAACGATATCCTTATAATTCCATTTTAGATGCTCAGAAACATTACAAGCCTAATGATTTTATCTAGTTATCTCTTGAAAAAAGTCTTTTAAAAATAAGCGGTTTGCGATCGTGATTTTACTTTACTTGATAGGGAAAAGCGTCTCGGCAACGCCGCAACAGCACACCGTCGCCCCTCGCGTCGGTCGGTCGCATTTCTCTCACTCCGACTTAATAAAGGTGGGTTCATACTTCGAGTATTAGCCTTAACCTTAACCTTAACATTAACCCTAAGAAATTAACCTTGAGAACTTAAGGAAAGGCCGTTCATACTTCTCCTACTTGTCTTAAGAAAATAATCAATATTCTCGTAAGAGCTTGCGCTCATATAAAACATATGTTTTGAACTAACCTAAATTTACAATTATTTTTATTATTTCTAATACTAGAGAAACGAATTTTTACATTAATACTTTCTAGACCAAAAAATATATGGTTTATTAACATTTATAAACCGTCAAATTCAACATGTCAGATATTATTTCGAGAATTCTTAAAACTCTTAACTTTGAGCATGCGCGATTCAGTTTTGAATTAGCATTAGCCCTAAGAATATAAAATATCCCAACCTGTTAGGACTAAGGCTAATGTTAGGACCGATACAATGAGAACATGAACGCTAGCGTTCGTTAACGTTGATTCATATTCTTGGGGTTAGGACTAATGTTAGTGTTAGGGCTAAGATCGGAAGCATGAACCCACCATAAGATCCCTATGCGATTTACTTCTACATATGTAAATGCCGACCCAAAAGTAACAGTTGCCAGCACGGTATATTTATCCGTTGCGTATCTGAGAGACAAAATTTTACGACCTACATCAACAATGCTTTGAAATAAACTAAATCAACTGATCAAGCGAATCGCTCGCCGCTTGCTACTTGCCATTCATTACCGAAAGAATATGTGCCCTGCGCACGCAACTTACTGCTTGTCGCTTGGCGTTAACGAGTACTTACAACAAGCGACGGATGAAAACCGAAAGTGATATTTCGCTCGAGCGATCACTCGGTTATTGCAATCGCTTGAAACTCGAGTACTCGGTTATTGAAATTAATCGGTGTTTCCCATGCCTACCAAATTACATTGTCCTTATGGGCACTTTCCAATCTAAACTTGTTTCCCTTATCTATGCTGGTTGTTAAAGTATCACATTTTCCCATAACTATTATCACTCTTTCTGCCTTTCTGTAGCACTGAACTAAATCATTTTGTGCTTCTTTAACACTTTAAGCTATCACATTTTCCGATAACTATTATCACTCTTTCTGCTTTTCTGTAGCATTGAACTAAATCATTTTGTGCTTCTTTAACAGCCAACAATATGACATTAATTAAAGTTCTATAAATAACAATCTGTCAAAGATTGAAAACGACATTATATTACCATAGAAACACGTTTTGATTTTTAGATAATTTTTAGGCTTTAGAAAATAATCAACCCTTTAATCAACCACATTTTCGCGTTTTTTTCAATTTTCTCTAAAACGGTACGGAAATTTGAAAAAGTATAAACAGGATTAACCATTTTAAAACATTGCATAGAAGGATGCATTTTTCTCCAAATGTCAATAAATAAATTTTTCTCTTGTAAAGTATGCCACTTTAAAAACTCAAATTAAAAAGTATTCTTTATTTTGTTTACGTTCAATCTAACCATATATGTTTACTGATTCTGCCATTGATATCACACACAGCAAAATAAATTTTAATTTAAATACCTTTGGAAATATACCGTATGATCGAATAAAAACGGCGTCGGCGATGGCTATGAAATGAAGATCGTTGTTATTTTATAAATATGTAAATTTATATGGGAAATGTCATCGATTGTCATTTCATAGCCATCGCTGACGCCGCGCCGTTTTTACTCGATCATATGGTATAAAATGTATGTATTTTTTTTTTCAATTAAGTTCATATAATATGGTGTAAAAATTAAAATTATTTTAAATCACTATTCGGAAAGTTTATCAAAAGAGTCAAGGCCAACAGGAAAAATCACTATCAGTAAACTATATCTGATTTTTATTGACTTGAAGCATTATACTTTGTCAGCAAAAGCCAAAATATTGTACAATAAACAAAATAAAACTATCTATCTTCTTTAATTTTGTTAGTGAATGTTAAAAATACCTAGTAACATATTTTAAAGTTTTTAGCTGTGTATCTTAAACACATCAGTGGATCTGATACTGTTTGTTAGTGTTTCGTAACACTAACAAACAGTACAGTACAGACTAGTTATAGTATCACTCTTATTGTGTTTATCACAACAATAGTTAATTGCAGGTTTTAGAAAATTCCAATAAATTTCAAATTTCAAATACCTTAATATATCCTGATCACTAAATGCATCCTCATCTTGATTGAATGATGGGGGCTCATAATCGAGCTGTTCCTCCAAATCGTACATATCTATAATAAAACCAAAAATAGGTTTTATATTTATAGAACAAATAATAATTAATACACCAAGTTGTAATATAACATTTAAATAACAAAGAATAATAGTTAATAATTTCCATTACTAGATATTATAAATTGTATTCAGTTGTTCTAAATTGAAATAGGTAGTTTATAGGTTGCCAAATTCCAAGTTACAATTATATTGCTAAACAATTTGTAATAGTAAAACATATATTCTAGGTTGCTAAATTATGTAGTTTATATACTTTTGTGGTACACCTACTTTTGTTATTAAATTGTTTTCTATACAATGTATTGTAAAACTTTGTTTTGTACATTCTGGACTATGACAACAATTAAAACACATTTTAAATGAACTGGTTTTACCTAACTTTATACTTTATACACAAAATTAAATTAGAATAGTTTACCCTCACCTGTTAGTGTCTCACCTAAAGAACCTGAATCTTTTTGCACATGACTTGAAAGATTCTCCTTAGGTATTAAACGGTTCGGTTGGTTAAAACTCTGAAAAGTTTCTAAAAATTGTTTAATAGGTTTAGTTAAAGGTATTTTTACAATGCATGTTGAATTTTGCTCCATTTAGCATCTTTTTCATAGTAGTAAAAATGAACAACTAAAGACTGTTAGTGTGAAAATATTAAGTTATTGTAGTAGATTTTTTGGAGAATATAACGCAATTAAAGTTAAAATCGAAAATATGCATGCGAAGGTAAAAAAACGGACCATAGAAAATACAAAATACCTACGGATGTTGATAACATTTATTTTTCAGGGTTACGAAAACGTTCTTCGTCCTTCCAAGGATTCTTGATTCTTCCTTTTTAATTTCTGTTTGTTTTATATACTTAGGTTTTATAGTAATGGACTCAATGGAGACCACAGATGGAGACTGAATCATATTATAAACAAGATCATCTCGGATCATATGTAAAGTTGTATATGTCAAGATCATGGAAAAAAACTGTCAAAGGCCAACTAGGATCAATAAAAAATAATCATTTAAATAGGTTATTTTCTATGATTTAAATCAAATTTAAATCCTTTGATCCATTATTTATTGATTATTAATTTGTATATAATTTTCTACGGGATGATTGCAGTGTTTAAAAAAGGACCTTATGTGATCTAGGAAAACGCTGAAAAGAAAATAAAAACAGGTATTTTAAAAAACATGGATACAAACGAATATTACCAACAGGTAAATTTGATTTTATAGTTTTGTGTTGATTCTCAAAAAGATGATATTTATTTATTCTAGCTCCTAGGTATAAATCAGATGTTGGAAGTTTTATCTGATGGGCCTGAAAAAGATGAGCTTCTTGGTCTAAAACAAAACATTGAAGAATTACTTTCCCTGACAAACGATAGTACTGGACCTAAAGATACAAATACCAATGAAATTGATGATGAATACGCTCTTTTTATGGTAAAAATTTTAGCATTTGTGTTATCAAGTTTTTACGTATTTCTCATATACTTTTACAGTCAGAAATGGAAAAGGAAGGAGCCGTAAATATAACAGATAATGATTCAAATAATGGCAGCAAAAATTCAATTCAAACTCAATCTTATAAAGAGCTCGAAGGCAAGAAATTCAGGGCACCGCATAAGCACCAGTGGGGCCAAATAGTGTACCATAATGCAATGGTTTGTTCAGTACCTAATGAAATCCCATTAAATAATGAATTTGAGGTAAAAATTGCTGAATTATTTAAAAAATCAAAACCATACGACTAATGTAATTAGGTTCGTGTGTTATTTTTAAACCCTACCCACAAAGAAATGTTACCCTGCCCATATTATTTCGATCTGGAACGGGACTGTAATTTCTCTGAGGAACAATGTCATTTTTCACATGGAGAATTAGTACCATTTTCGAGCTTGGAGGATTATATCGAACCTAAATTTGAGCTCTTGGTTGTTGGTAGCGCTGTTCTAGCAAAACAATCTAATAATTTATGGTATAGGTAGGTAAATAAGCATGTTTACAACATCTAGGAATAAGTGTAACTTTATATGTTTGTTTGCAGAGCAAAAATTAAACATATTTCAAAAGATACCTGTACAGTTAAATTTGACTCGAAAAATTGTGATAACAAAGATTATGAAGAAATAGTATTTGAAAATATACTGCCTTTAGTGAATTCAGAAGATTATAGTGGAGATGATAGTGATAACAGTGATATTGAGGGTAAAATTGTGTAATTTTCTTTACTATTAGTTAACTGTTGTTATTATAGGTGATATTCCTGATAGTGATAATAGTCAATTGGCAAAAGAAAGAGAAGATATAATTAATATGAGTTTGATGAACACTCCAGATACTCAAGCTCTTGGACAGTGGGAGAAATACACCAAGGTAGGTTATTTGTTTTTATCATATGACTAAAGAATACATGTAATGCATTTTCAATTTTTTAAGGGAATTGGTTCAAAACTGATGGAGAAAATGGGGTACATTGTAGGTGCAGGGCTGGGTAAAGATGGTAGTGGTATAGTGAAGCCAGTAACAGCCCTAATCTTACCACAAGGAAAATCTCTGGGTATATATACCGTCATAAACAATAAAAACAATTCAACCCATTAAAATATTTTTTCAGATTTTTGCATGAATTTGAAGGAGCAGTGCAACAATCCTAATTTATTCAGTGCCGAAAGGAAAGTTAAAGCTTTACAGAGAAAGGTAGAAAGGAGACAGAAAAGGCTAGAAGAACAACAGAAAAAAAGGAAATCAAAAGAAAAGATGGATGTTTGTGAATTTATTAATTTTACATTGAGAGGTTCAAAGGTTTGTTTTTTATATATTTTAGTATTTTATTTACCTATGATTTCGCTATATTTCCTATGATTTCGCTAGGACTCGCGCAATACTGGTTGCATATTATCTATATTGATCTTTTTATTTATATTTTTCAGTCAAAATCTGATAAAGAGGAACAAAACGAACAACAGTTGAAAGAAAAACTGAAAAGTGGTACCGACAAAGAACTAAATGTAGCTTGTTTCACAATAGAAGAAAATATAAAAAAGGAACAAATGTAAGTATACAGGGTGTTTAGTATTTTGGAGCAGAAGCAGCACTTTATACTTAAAACTGTCGTAAGACTGACCGTTTTCATTTTTAGGGCTATTGATAGATTAAGGAGGGTTTTGTCAGGTTTGTCAAATACAAGTACTTCCCAGTCAGAGAATATGGGTGAAAAATTGAGGGAAAAAGAATTTGATTTGAGGAAAATGAAAAATCAAGTATTACTTGTTAAAAACGAAATTAATAGGAGAAAAAACAATAAACAAATGTCTATATTTTAACTCTTGAGCTTATAAATGTATATTTTATTTTAATTGATTAATGGTATTATTATATTATGATACATCTCAATATTTCACTGGAATCCTTATAGGTATATAATACAGTTATTCGAAAATATGTTAAGACAAGATGTAATGTTAGGAATATTTATTATAAAAGTAATAACCTTTTTGTAATATACACTGTTTATAAGTTAAATATTATTTATTTATAATATTAAGTAACTTATTTGTATTATAGTCTAATGAAACCACGATTTTGAAAATCAATAATCAAAAGTTTACGCGGTTTTTTGTGATTTTGAAATTTTTATAATTTTCTTTTGTCGAGTAGTTCATTTGTACCATATAAAGGGTTTGAGGTTTATTTCTACCAAAACCAAGAACTGCATTATTGAAAAATTTTCATTTATTATGTAAAATGATTGTTTTATTAAAAATTTACCATATTTGTTTAATGAGCGTGCAAAAATCCGTAGCAAAGATTGACAAAAGAACTAACTGTTTAAACAGTTGCCTATATGTCAAGAAAAGAATCACAAAAAATGTATTTTGGTTGTAAAAATTGAATGCGTGTCCAAATTTTAAGCTTTTTACACTATTTTAAGTCCATGTAGGGCAAAATGGTGCTTGTCAGATATAACACCCTCCGAATTTGGCATTTATTTATATATCAGTCGAAAGCATACACTTCAATAAGAATTTTAAGCAAAAAAAAATTGCGGATGAACCACAAATTATTGAAAAATAAATAAATTAAAAGTGCATTTTTAGGTTATGGTGAAGTTGTATAAGCGTGTAATTATTGTAAAATATGACGATTATATGCATTTTTTATTAATATAAAGGTCAGAATTAATCAGTGAGAAGCATTAATAAGTCATAAGTCAAAAATAGAGTTGGTGATATCTTTTGTAATATTTGCCTGATCGATTTACTCTTTCGATTCAAACTTGCCGCCGGAGCCGTCTGTCACCATTTGTTGTTACGGATGTAAGCTGTGTAAGCATTGTTGCCAAAGTTATTTATTGTTTGTATGATACATAATACTGTATGATCGAAAAAAAACGGCGTCCAGTTGGCTTTGAAATGACGATCGATGACATTCCTCATATAATTTTACATATAAAATGACAGCGATGTTCATTTCATAGCCGTGGCTGACGCCGTTTTTTTTTCGATCATACGGTACGTTACATGATACAAAAAAAGAGTTGAAACCGAAAAAGTTTTGATTGCGTTGGTTTAACCTTTCGAGTGAGTGTGTTAATCTTTTGTTTTGTTTTTTATTTTAATACGAATCTGATTGCTTTCACTTGATTTTACGTGCCGGTCGCCGGACGAACAAATCCTTATACAGTAGCGCTGTCACGATAAGAACAGATTATAAGTTATTTTAAAATCAAGACATTGAAAGCACTCAGATTCGTATTAAAATATAAAAAAAACAACAGATTAGCCCCCAAACAAGTTGAAACCAACGCAATCAAAACTCTTTCGTGCAACTTTGTAGTTATAAATAGTCAGATCTCGTAGGCAAAATATCAGCTATGGGTAGTCACAACCAAACCTCATCACTGAGTGCGCCGAGACGACAACCATTCATGCCATGAATTTTGGTACGAGTGATATTGGAGATGGAGAACTACCCTCTATAAAACCGTCCCAGATACTGGCTTTTGTCAAAGCCCTGGGACTGTATGATGAGTTATGATTCAAGAAAGGGGGACACAATGGATCTGTAAGGTCGAAGTGATTAATCCCCCTCCCACTCATTCTAAATTCTAAAAAAAAATTCTAAAGGAGCAGTTCCTCAGGCGATCGCCTTTTCTTGATTTTAAAATAATCTGTTAACGCGAGTTTTCTTCCGACCAGCACGTGTTTTTTTAATGAACCTTTCAAGAAGAATGAATGAATCTGGCAACGCCGACAAAATTTGGAGGAGTTTTCGCATAGAAAGTAGCCTATTGTAGCAATAATTAAATGTTTATTTTTTCATTAAATTATGGATCATCCACACTTTTTTTTGGCTTGAAATACTTATTTCGATGTATGCTTTCGAGTGATATAAAAAAAAGTTCAAAATTCGGAGGGTGTTATATCTGACAAGCACCGGGCAAAATAACTGAAAACCATGAGATATCTAAGCCTGCTTTTACCTTTCCTTTTGGTAAGTTCACTTTTTCTGTTATCAGTTGAGTTTTTAAACTTTGTTTATCACGTATAACCATATCTAGTTGTCGGCATACTTTTAAAACCTAAATTTAATGTTTAAAGTTATGAATGTGAGTATCTTGATACATTTAATACATGTACCTTATAGTTATCATTCGTATCTCGCGTTCAATTGGCAAAATCCAACGGAAAACAACTAGTAGTGGACAATCTAACGGATCCAAAGGATCTCAAGAAACTTCTCAGGACCAAAACCAACGTTTTAGTTTGTTTTTATAATTCAAACAAAAAAGCCCAAAATGTCTTGAGTATTCTTCAAGAAGTAGCCAAGAATATCAAAGGTGAAGGTGTAATTGCAACTATTAACTGTTCAGGGTAAATAAATACAATCAAATGTTATATTTTCTCACTATAACAACTATCTATTTTAGTGAAGCAAAAAAGATATGTAAAAAATATAAAATTCCAAGCAATGAGTCTTATAGTGTGAAACATTATAAAGATGGAGAGTTTAACAAGGATTATGATAGAAGATACAATGAAAAATCGATGACGAACTTTATGAGAGACCCTACTGGAGATCTACCGTGGGAGGAAGATGATGCTGCAAAGGATGTTTTTCATATACCAGATCCAACAGTAAGTAAGGAGTTAAATAAAATGTTGTAGTTTTATCATAATATAAGAGCATGTATAGTTTGTCCAATGAATCGAGGAAGATTTTAGCAAATTACATTGTACAAAAGATGACAGAAAATACTATTTGCCTGTGAAGTAAAATGGCAGACACAACTGTCACTGTCAAGGAGTCTCTCATTGGACAGACTATTTATTTATATAACCTGGGCCCTGGCTTTCTCGTAGAAACGTAATATATTTTTTAAAATTCAGTACAATAAATATTTTCTACACTAGTGAACAATGTTGACATTTCTCTATACATATTCTGGGTTTATAAAGGATATTTACTGTTTTTTGAGATATACAGGTAATTTATTTATTTATTTTTAATTGAGTATTTGGGGAATAATTTTTGTGCGCCTGACAAAAATGAAATAAATAATAATTTTAATTTTTTCTCTGCTTTTTTTATATGCTGTTTCCTTAAGCTATGTGAAACTCCATGATGTGAATTTGTTATTTAAATTAAATAATTAGTCTGTGGTTTTTACCCACCTGATTCTTTATTACAACTTTTATTATCCATCAATGTCATAAAAAAAACAGTCAAAATTTTCGCGCAGTAAATTTAATTTCATATTTCATTACATCCGTCAATTCCCATCTTTCCATTAAAAAAACGAAAAAAAAAATGAGAAGAAACATATATAAATTCTTTCAGGTCCTGGTAAAATTTCTAAAGAGAGAGCCCAAGCCCATTTTGATCATGTTTTACGCTCCTTGGTGCGGATACTGTAAATCTTTGAAACCCGAATATGCTCAAGCTGCTACAGAATTGAAAGATCACTCTGTATTAGCGGCGGTCGATGTTAATAGAGCTGAAAATGCAGTGTTGAGAACACAGTACAATATTAGTGGATTTCCAACATTATTGTACTTTGCGTAAGTATTAATTTATACTAATATATAAAATCCTTAAGTGACTGATTCACTGATTAATCACGATCCTGCTCAAACCAATCAACGTAAGGGTACGAACATAGTGGAGGCAGGTTTCTGCTTTCCGGCAACCAGCGCCGTCTCTGGGGACCTATTCTTGACCACATATCGCTCACATCTCGCATCTCCGAAAAAGCCATATAACAATACACGTGATGCGTAACTTTGCGTATATGCCGTGTATTGTTATATGGCTTTTTCGGAGATGCGAGCAGGGTTCGGAAGTAGTTAATTAAGAGGAAATTTACCTGATTAACTAACCTAACCTAACCTAACCATATCCAAACGCCGCTCCCCCGCGCCGGCGCCGCACATAGGGGGTATTTGGTCTATAAACCTGGCCAAAAGTGAAATATTTTTATTTTCATTTTTTATCTTAACTGAATACAAATCTATAAATACTAAATGTAAGCGCGTTTATTAGCTTTTTTTAAGTTGTAAGTTGACTATCAAATAAATAATATATTTCAATTATTATGAATTATCTTGAGTGTATTCTGAATATTTCTAAGATTATAAAATAGTGGAATTGTTTGTAGTGCTTTTTTTGCAAATTGTTTATAATAACTGTCATCATGAATACAGAGCCAGCTTTGTTTGTTTGCTCTGTTCTGTTTTATGCCATATTTTTATTTTGAAACGTTTCCTTCTATTCTATTTTTTTATAATGTTTTATATTTAAAAAATTAGTGGTATTTTTATAAGGTGTAAGACTATTTGGCAATATTCCGCATGGAAATTAGTATCCGTTCAATGCTTAAAGTCTCCAGCATTGGAATATGCACAAAAATCTTGCCAATATTTGCCACTGCCAACAAAAACATTAACTTAAATAGATTCTTAAAGGAAATAGTCTTTACCCTATTAACACTCATGCTCGCTCAAATATCGTCTATAATAATATACAAATTACTTTCTTGTTCTAGCATCCTCATCCAATTGCTTGGTTTTGCACAGAATCGCCCTATTTGATCGGTGGAAAGGGTTTCAGAGTAGAGGAAAAAATATTGTGTAGGAAAAACAAAATGGGGTTCCATATTACCAACCTCTCCTCTAATTAATAATTAATATTACTAGCAAAAAAGCAAAAAAATCATAAAACATAATTTTGCCCAACTTTTAGTTCTTAATACCCCCTGTGCGCCGTCGGCGCGTGCAAAAGCAGAAATAAATAAATTTTCGTTCCGGTAAAAGCGAGAACGCCGATGAACGCTGGTTGACGGTGCCTGCCTGCTTTCACTGTGAACTAGCCGATTTGATAACACGCTTTAATTTTTCAAGGTTATAAGCGCGAGGCGGCGCGGCACGGCGCTACTATGTAACCATATACAGGGTGTCCCAGAAATAAGTGCAAGTATTTTAACTTAACTGGTAGTATAGTTCAACCCCAGAAACACGCCTATGAGGTTTTTTCTAAATAATTTTTTTTTTGAAAATTCGGAATTTTTTGAAAATATTTTTGTAATTTTTTTGCAATTTTTTTTAGTTTTTATTTAAAAAAAAATAATTTCTTGATAATATGGCAACATAGGTAGTAGATTAAATTTACAAGAAAGAAAATCCAGAAAAGATCCAGTGGTTCTCAAACAAATCTCGAAGTATTGGAAAGAATGTGTAAGGACCAAGAACTATTGACTACAATAAAACGACGGAAAGCAGCATATTTTGGTCATATTTTTCGAAATAACAAATATAGTTTCCTACAGCTGATCGTTGAGGGAAAGACTGAAGGACGACGAGGCATCGGGCGTAAACGGTTTTCCTGGTTGCGGAATTTGCACCAGTGGTTTAATATAGGAGAGGCCAGTGCAATTATCCGTTTGGCTCAAGACAGGGAGGAATTCCAATTGATGGTCGCCAACCTCCGATGAGGAGAAGGCACATGAAGAAGAAGGTTCTCGAAATTTTAGCAAAAATAATTTTTTTGGAAATTTTCAAAGTAAAATAACTCCATTATTTTGGACTTATTTGAAAAACGATAAAGAGAAAATATGTTTCTTTTATCGAGATCTACCGCCCTTTAAAATACTTGCACTTATTTCTGGGATACCCTGTTTATAACAATACACGTGATGCGTATACGCAAAGTTGCGAACGATGTCAAGAATAGGTGCCCAGATTGGCGCTGACTACCAGTAAGCGGCAAACCTGCTTGCACTGTGTTCGCACACTAAGAAGCTCAATTTTGGCATACAGGTTGATTCTAGGGCGTAGAAGTTCGATAAGAAGGGATTTTTCGAAATTCCAGTTCCAAGGGGGTGAAACCACCCCTCAAATATTACAATATTTTTTTATTTCAAGTTTCCGAAAAAACGCTTAAACACGTATATTTTATTTTGTTTTTTACATATTTTAAGATTTTTTAAAAATATATACAGGGTGTTTCGAAAAATCTGGTCATTGATTAATCACGATCCTGCTTAAAGCGCTTGACGTAAAAAGCTGATTTTTGGAAAACGGATTGACTTTAGGGTGTAGAGGTTCGATAAGAAGGGATTTTTCGAAACTCGAATTCTAAGGGGGTGAAATCACCCCTCAAATATTAGAATATTTTTTATTTAAAAACCGGTGAGTTTTTCGCAAAAACTCTTAAACACGTATATTTATTTTGTTGTTTTACATATTTTAAGATTTTTTAAAAATTTATACAGAGTGTTTCATGAAATTTGACCATTGAGTAATCACGATTCTGCTTAAACTGCTTCACGTTTAAAGCTGATTTTTGGCAAACGGATTGACTGTGTGGTGTAGTGGTTCGATAAGGAGGGGTTTCTCGAATCTCAAATTCCAAGAGGGTGAAAACGCCCCTCAAATATTACAACATTTGTTATTTAAAAAACGGTTACTCTTTCGGGAAAACGCTTGGACACGCATAATTTATTTTGTTTTTTTACATATTTTGAATTTTTTTAAAAAATCATACAGGGTGTTCCAAAAAGTTGGGTAATTGATTAATCACGATTCTGCTTAAACTGCTTGACGTAAAAAGCTTATTTTTGGCAAACAGATTTTTCGAAAGTCAAATTCCAACGAGATGAAACTACCCCTCAAATATTACCAAGTTATATGTATAATAATATCGCCATATTGTTTTAACATTGAAAATGTTTCTGTTATCCTATATAAGGGAGCCCAAATCGAATTAAAATGCTACATTTGCCACACCATGACGTCATATATACAAGGGTTTAGGAAATCTCGGCGCAGCGGCGGCATCGGCAGTCGGCCAGCGCGCGCAAAAACCATTACATCGCTAATTGTTTATTGATATATCTTTATTAGTTTAAAAGCAAAAAATATGGGGTTTGCTTTGGTACCTTGTCAAGACATAAGCGAAACTTTTAAAATGTTTCTTTTTTTCATTTAGGCTTTCGTTTTTCGTTAAATGAAAGTTATATTAAAAAAAATCTATTTTTAAACCAAATTTTCGCATGATTGAAATGAGTTATTCATGTTTAAAGTTTTTTTTGGTCATAAGCGCTAAAGAAAATGTTTTTTTGTAAATAATTATAAAAAATTACTCCCTACGAAGACTTTATTGTGTACTGGATCAAAAAATAAGTAAATACTTTAAAAACAATCACACTTTACCATAACAAAAAAGTAAAAACATGTCATGGCGGAAGATATTCAGGTGGCATTTCACATATTTATCTATTAAAATCGAGATTAAAATAATAAACTTGCGTAACATGTTATACATGAGATAGAAAGTTTCAGAATCGATTAATACGCAATACGCTACGCAGTCAACTTGTTCCTATGCGCGGATGAGCGTCTTCAAGACTCTTCCATCGGCCAGGGTCACGACGCCGCGCGCCGCCGAAGAGGAATCGGCCTACGTTTGGCTAAACAGGCTGGACACGGTGGACTACGATATTGGCGAGTCTGAATATTTATAAAAATTTGCAAAGTAAAATATGTTGGAAAAATAATTAATCCATACATAATATATAAAAGCTCAAAGGGTTTTTTTCTTGCATCCATCCCGCCGAAACCGCTTCACCAATCTTGATGATTCTTTTTTTAAATGAAAGGTATATGTGTGTAGATTTGTTATGAAGTATTTTTATAGTGCTTAATGCCTATTTCTTTGTGTAAAACGACTAAATAGTAAAACATACCTGAAAAACACCTACACACCAGAAATAAATTATACCTCCAGATATACCTCCAGAAATAAATTATTTGTCATTGTCAGTGGTATGTCAGTTAGATTATATATTAAGATTTTAGATATTTTAGGAGTCAGTTCATACCGCCAGCTTTAGATACATAAATATTAGCACAAAGGTTCGCTTAAACGACATTAGCGAATTAGCTACACAAAGAGATTTTAGGAAATTCATCCTCTTAGAGAGTAAAACTATGTCGGAACAGTTTGTTGTATGAAAATTCCTTTCTATTTGGTCTAGAAGAATGAAATCCTACAAAAAGAATTAGAAGAAATTTTTGAAATTCATCAACCAAATGGGTAAAGTTAGTAAAAATTTATATAAAACTTGGTGACCTCTGGATTATACCCATAAAAATTGGCACAAAGATAAAGCGAATTTATGAAATTTATACAATTAGGGAGTAGAATAGGGAATGAAAGTTTGCTGTACGAAAATGCAATACTATAACATTATAAACCAGACAGTATAAAATTTTATACAAGGGTTTATTTAGTGACATCATAACGAAATATATCTTCCTCAATTATCCTTCAAAGAATATAAAATAACCTATAAAGAGAGTATTAGTGCTCTTAATAAATAAAAAAAAGATGAAAAATAAAAAAACATCTATGCTCACTAGCTCTCTATAAAGAAGTAAAAAATCATTTAAATCAATGCATGAACGATTCGAGGTGTAACGCGAACGTAGTCGCGGGAAAAAGCTAGTAATTTATTAAATTATTTTATTTAACTGATTAATTTTCATTGAAAAGGAATTTTTGTAATTCGCCACTATATTAATTAAAAACTAAGAAACTCATATCAATTTTAAGTTTTGCGATTTTGACTTATACTTTTTACAAAATCTAAACACATTTTAAAAGAAAAAAAGCTTTTGATAATATTTGTGTAGATTGACTACAAGTTGTATAACTTAAATTTCTACGACCGGTCTACCTAGCTGTCTGCAGCATCGCCTTGTGGTACAAACGTGGGCCTGTTAATCTGTGACGTGACGCACAACAGCCAAGAAAAACAGAAGCGTGGCTAAGAATTTAGTAATTTAAAAAAAAATATCTTTTAGATACAGTAGTAGGTATTAAAAAGTTTTGTGTTTAAATGGGGTTTGCCTTTAACAGTTAAAAAATTATATCGTAAAGTGTAACTTTCCGTAAGAATTCTTTATCTGTCATCGATCATGATCTGTCATCATGTTAACCTGATGTTTTGTATGTTATTTTGTTTTTTTTGCTTGTTTGTTTTACGGATAGGTGCGATCGCATAATTATTATTGATAATGTTTTATTTAATGTTAACATTACTACTTTTTCAGTGAATCTTTAAATCTGTTGTTTTTTGTTAAGTTCGTTATTTAAACATATGTATGTAATACACTCATATTAACACTAATCATATTTTTACGTTTTTATTCATCATTTTCAATGCCCCCCCCGGTTGCATCTTTGTAAAGGACTGTGAATTTTTTCTCATGCTGACATAAATGTCAGAAAATTTTATCCAGTTTGTATGGTAATGGAAATTCTTGCTTTGCTTTATCATCACCATTACAAATGATTAATTCGACGCGAACGAAGTCGCGGGTACACGCTAGTATTAATTATATGTATTGATTCTTCTTTTCACTTATTAAACTGAGGTGTATCTTTCTTAGTAATGGTTCGTTGAAATTCTCGTACGAAGGTGAAAATAAAAGAGCTGCCCTAGTGTCCTTTATGCAGAATCCTACGGAGCCCAAAGAAAAAGTACAAGAACCGGAATGGTCAGAGAAAGACAATGAAATTGTTCATTTAACAACAACGAACTTTGATACAGTGCTTAAAGATGAGGCGTCGGTGCTGATTATGTTCTATGCTCCATGTATGTATATATTCATTTATTATTTAACCAAATAAACTTTTAGTCGCGTGATTAAGCTTAATTGGCGCAGCATTGCCGATTTATATATTTTCTTTTATTTAAAATAATTTAGGAAACAAAAATGAATTAATTATAAGCATATAAACAGTTATTATTTACATCAACGAAATTCAACTTCCTAACAGCACTTAAGGGACACAAAGGGCCATTACTACCGCTTTCCCGTTCAAAATATTCTAAGAAGGTTGCAACGAGTTATTTACAGTTGCTGTTATGCTGCTTTGGCATCATGTACACTTCACACTAACAGAGGTTCTAAAAAGAACAATTTTCGACTGCAAGGTCTGCTAGTAAAAATGTTTAAGCTTAAAGTATCACAATTAAATCAAAACGTCGTAATGCAAAACTAAAATGTCAAAACGAATGAAAATGTCAGGAAATAAACAAATAAATGTGCCAACTTGACGTTTTTTATAGCAGAGCTACCACCTGGAGGAAATTTAAATTATTCCAGTTAGTTAACCCGGCGCCGAATATGTCCACGGTTGGCAACAATGAATTTAAAAATCGCGCCTTCGATGACGTAACTAAAAGTTTGTTTGGTATCGCTTATATGTTTGTTCACTTTTTGGTTACCAATAATATCCTTATCGTCTTTATGTGTTGTATAGGGTGTGGCCACTGTAAAAAAATGAAACCAGAATATGAGAAAGCAGCATCGGAAATGAAAATAGCAGGGGTAAGTAAATAAATTAAATATACCAACCTGGTCATCCTAAATTCGTGCCTTTTATTTTAACGTTAAGATAATGATTGAAAAAGGATTTTTTTTTTGTTTTTAAGAAACTTTATTATTTCATATTGTTATTTCATAGATTCCTGGAGTTTTAGCAGCCGTAGATGCGACAAAGGAGCCCAATATAGCTTCCAATTATAACGTGAAAGGATACCCAACTATACTGTATTTTTCTTACGGCGAAAAATTGTATGACGTAAACGTGAGGGAAGCACAGAAAATTGTAGAATTTATGAGGTAATCCCTGGTTATTTTTATTATATAAGTATTTTTATGCATGATATATAAATGTTCTAAAGAGATCCTAAAGAACCTCCGCCGCCACCACCGCCAGAAAAACATTGGAGCGAAGAAAACACCGAAGTAGTTCATTTGAACGATGAAAATTTCAAGCCTTTCCTGAAGAAGAAGAAACACGTTTTAGTCATGTTTTATGCTCCATGTAAGTATTCAAGCTTTTAAAGAAATACTAACGTTTCTAATAATATTATTTTCAAAATATTGTTATTTTTTTATTTGTTTTTTTTATTTTCTCATTGATTCGTTGCTATATTACTATACTTTATTTAATAACGCAGATCACGTAAATAAAGGTTTTAATCAATTTTATATTGTTGGGTCATTTGAACTACTATACAATTTACTCTGATTCTACAAAAATTCTGCAGTTTTTCAAATGTTATTAAACCAAAAAGGTTGCCTGCTAGCTATTTTACCAATCAGGACACTTTATTATTACAGTAATATTAAAATTAGTTTGAAAAAACTAGTTTTCGAAAACCATAAAAAACAATCAAGATTTCTCTATTGCAAAATATTGAAAAACTTTTGTATGATATCTTGTTTGGTAAATAATTAAATTTGCAGGGTGCGGGCATTGTAAGAGAGCTAAACCAGAATTTTCTGGAGCGGCAGAACATTTTAAAGACGATCCTAAAGTAGAATTCGCCGCTGTAGATTGTACCACACAATCGGCTGTATGTAGCGCGTTTGACGTCAAAGGATATCCGACCATCAAGTATTTCAGCTATTACAATAAGGAAACAAAGCCGTATAGTGGTGGACGCACGGTAAGTTACAGAATTGTACAGTCTGTCCAAAAATGTCAGCTAACCATAGACTTAAAATAAAATATAGACTACACTATTTACATCTCAACGCAGTCAAACAATCTTTTTTGTACACATGTTTACTTCTGGGTACAGTCGACCGAGCCTTCCTCGTCCAGCCTATGTTGTCACGTCTTTAATATTATCAATATTTTTTTTCTTGTTACACACATATATTGAGATATTAATACTACAGTTTAATAAAGTAGGTTTTAATATTCCATAGATGTATTAAATAGTCCTTATACTACTAAATTATAAGTCGGATACTGTTTAAAAAGGATAAGTTCTTTACAATATGACAACACCGATTAGAGGCGAGGGAGCCTATTCATTCATTTATTACCTTGTAGTACGCGTCGCACGTGTGCGGTAAAGCTTTGTTGCCGCTTTTCTTAGCTTGTAGTCCTTAAGTGTTTATTTTATTGACTTTTTCTGGTCAAGAACTATAAAATATAGTTCGCCAGTGCCAAATTTGCAAGAAATTTGACTTAAATAATCCATTTAGGTCTTGAAACGACTTTCGACCGGTAGGCAACTCTCAATTTACCTATTAGGAGTCAGTGGCGTTGTTGTAGAAATGCGCTTATTTAGATAATATTTTAGAAAAATGTAAAATCTGAATTTTTTCTCTTACATTACATTATTTACTTACTTACATTGTAACAAAATCATAATTATAACCCTGTTAATAATTAATAATGTTTTTATTAAAAATATATTCCGGTTTATTCTAAAATTATCTTCAGAATCTAAAATAACATACAAGAATTTTAAAATGATATTACATTATGAAACAATATTTCTTAATATACCGGATCGTCTCAAAAGTGGCTCACCCCTAATAACTTTTTTATTTTTTCAGATAAAAAAAAAGATTTGTATGTTAGTAGGTATATGACATAAATTAGGATTTATTGACATATTTAATTGTTTTTGGTCTCTTCCTGTTTCACCGAAATGATTACATCTTTTGATTTTTAAAGGCACCCTCGGTATATTGCTACTTTATTCGATAAAAAATGACACTCTGAATAGAATGACATATCATATGTCAACTTTTGACATTGTCGCTTAAAAACAAATCGTATTTTAAATTTCAATCCAGGGTGTCATGGTGTTGTTAAAAACACTAAGTTTTAATCAAGGAGCCTTGGAAAAATAGTTTTGATCGTCTAATGGGTTTCGTGTCTTGTCTAGGCCGGTTAAAAGATGTACAAATCGTATTTTTAATCATACATATGTCAATTTTTTCAAGTGGAACAAGGGTGACTCGTTAGCATATTTGGAAAAAGCATTTTTTATGAATATATTGATACCACACACTTGATATTTCGAGTCAAATTGTCGTTATGAACCGCGTGTTACAATTACAATTAAACCATATGCGAAGTTGACATATGATATGTCATTCTATTCGAAGTGTCATTTTCTATCGAATAAAGTAGAAATATACCGAGGGTGCCGTTTAAAAATTAAAAGTTATAGTCATTTCCGGTGAAACAGGAAGTGACCAAAAACAATTGAATACGTCAATCAATCCTAATTTATGTCATATACTAACAGACTAAATCTTGTTTTTTTATTTGAAAATATAAAAAAATTATGGGGATGAGCCACTTTTGGGACGCACCCGGTATAATAAAGACAGTACCGAGTTAAATAAATGTACTTTTCATTTTATCCACTTCCTATCATCTTCCTTGCTTTAATGGAACAGATTTATGTTTTCTCTAATTTACATAATAAGACATCACTTAACCAGAAAAAAAATTACAACAATCATATTTTTTTCTCTCTCCCTGTCGCCGATTCTATTATATCTGTGGAATAGATCCTGTTTTGATTAATATTAGGGGTTGTAAATGTTTGACTAAAATTGATAATTTATTATTAATTTCAAAAATTACGTAATTTCGATTATAAAATTTCTTCTATAACGTATTTTATTATTTTTATCCTTTTTGGACTCTTAAGATGTTTTTTCTAAACTTTTATTTAAAAAACGTGTCCTAAATCTTAATAAAATATAAAAAAGTTTAAATACGATATATTTTTAATTTAATTATAGCTTCATTAAAATAAAAAAATTACCCGGCTATGATACGGAGAGTTCAGGTGTACTTGAGAAACGAAAGACAGTGTTGTGTTTCTCGGCAGAGTCGTCAGGGAACGACCGTTACGACAGAGACAATCTATCTATCGCTCGTGTCGCACTCGTTATAACCTAAAACAATAACACAACAATAACAAGACCACAACAAGACATTGTCTGACCGCATGTTCCAGCTTTTTATGAATGAGATGCTCAGTCTATATTTTATTTTCAGTCTATGCAGCTAACATATGGGATAAACAAGTAATATTTTTCAGTGTACAGGAATCTCTCGTTTTACGCCGTTTCGCTTATACATGTTTGCATTTTTGACACCAGTGACTTAGTTTACGCGGTTTTATTCGGTTTTATTAATTCCATATTAGATAGAAAAGGTTTATGGGTATGCAACTCAATACGAGAACAAATCGAGTTGTCGAGTTATAACATCCGATGGGACACGGCAACATAGATATTAGCTACGTATGTCCAGAAATTGAATCGCGCAGATACCAAGTCACTGCCTGGGGAGAGATTTAATGATTTGCACCCTTTTTTTGACTAATACGTTTGAGATATGGTGGTACCATTTGATTCTCGCAACAGATGTCTCTGTTGCAACTTGTTTAATGCGTTCGTGTGCCGGCGGTACGGCACCCATGTTTCGCTTCCATATTACATGGTGGGGATTATTATTGCTCGGTACACTACAAGTTTCGTTTTTGTGCTCAAATCGTTATTGTAGAAAATCCTGTCTTTTAATTTGCAGAATGCTCTTGAGGCGCTGCTAATTCTGTGCTGAATTTCAGAGTCGATATTTGCCTTTTCCGAAATTAAACTGCCGAGGTAATTGAATTCCGCTACATATTCCAGTAGTTCTCCGATTTTTATAGCACTGTTATGATTTTCCGGGTGAGTGCACATGATTTTAGTTTTGTCGATGTTCAGCTTAAGGTCCAAAGCCTCGTATGTCCAGATTTGTATGTGTTCAGCCTTGTATTGAATCACATATTGCTGAAGTCACTGAAGAACTCAAAGAATTATAAGAGTGAAACTGAAGAACGAAATGAAAATATGTACTCCTGGCTCCACAGGAGTTAACATTGAAAACTCTACACAAATATCTTACCATAGAACATGATTTTACGAAAAAAAAACTCATAGACGTGTTTCTGGGATTTAAATATACCACCACTAAAAACATTTGCACTTATTGATAACTCACTCTGTATAGTTTATGTAGGTAATAAAAGGTTTGTTTTAATTTAGGAGGTATATTCAAGAAATACACACACCGGAAAAATCTAGGGATATCATTTTATTAAAGTTAAAAATAAATGTTTTGAATAAACAACCACATATTTGTAGGCCGATTCTTTCTACTTCGATTAAAACGAAGTAGTCACACTAGTTATTTCTAAATTTGGGATATTTGCAGAAGTGTTTGTGCATTTTTTGTCAAATGTATAAAAAGCACCTAGCACAATTGTTCGAATTTAACCTGTACTGGCTATGTTTTTATGATAACTGGCCAGAATTCATTCAAATAACTCTGTTTAGTATTAACCGACTTAACAGAGACGAAATGCTAAGGACCATGGGTATGCTTGAAGCTGGAATGCGCCAAATCGACGTAGCTAGAGCATTAAATACAACGCAAACTGCAATATCGCGATTAAGTGCGCGCTACCGTGAAAGTGGTGATGTTGCTGAAAGGCACACAAGGCGACATCGCATTACTACCCCTCAGCAAGATCATTTTTTACAATTAAATGCTCGACGCCGACCGACTCTTACAACACCAGAGCTTAGTTTAATTCTTCAGGCAACACATAATGTAACCGTTAGTCCTGACACTGTTCGCAATAGATTAAGAGAGGTCAACTTAAGAAGCAGACGCCCCTCGAGAGCTCAACCCTTAACGAGAGGAAATCGATAGGTACGATATTTGTGGGCTCAAGATCATGTTCAGTGGTCGAATGAACAATGGGCCAATGTTCTCTTCACGGATGAGTCACGCTTTGGAATTCATCCGGATTCGAGAAGGCTTAGGGTATGGAGAGAACCGGGAAACCTAATTCGGTTGGATCATGTTCAGGAAGTGCACCCATATCAAGGTGGAACAGTTATGGTCTGGGGAGGAGTCCAGTTAGGCCGAAAAACCGATCTCGTTTGAAAGGTTTCTAACAGGAATCACATATCGTGATTTAATTCTTGAGCCTGTCGTGTTACCATATGCCAATGATTTTGGGAGAAACTTCATTCTCATGCATGACAATATTATACATACGGCCTCATACAGCCAGAGTGGTAAGTGAGTTTATCAATGCTCATCAATTAAACATCTTACCCTGGCCGGCACAATCTCCTAACCTCAACCCCATCGAGCACGTATGGGACGCGGTCCAAAGAAGAATTTTGAGAATGGGTATGCCTCGTAAAACTCGTAGGGATCTGGTTCGGGCCGTGAATGCAGCCTGGCAGGCTGTACCTCAAGAAGAGATCGACAACCTGATCAGGAGCATGGAGAGACGATGTAGGGCTGTAATGAACAGTAGAGGAGGCCATACCCTTTATTAAGTAAAAATGGTTTTATCTTTTTTTTAATTCGCAGTTTAGAATAAAAAAAATGTGTGTATTTTTTTGAGTTCAATAAAAATCAAGGTAAATGTAAGAATAACTTTTTTTGTTAAATTTCGCCACCCTTGCTGCATGATGTGTAATAATATATGTAATGTTACACATCTTTTTTTCTTCAATAAAGACGATTATTATTATTATTATTAATTTGAAAAATTCGGTAAATTTCGCATTTTTATTTCCAATACATCCTGTAAACTATTTGTTTATTTTAATTTTATTATATCAGAAATGCAAATAATAAAATTACTGACGATGGCTGGATAAAATTGTAATATCCCTAGACTTTTCCGGTGTGTGTATAACCTCCGCGTGAAACGAGGGACTCCTGTAATGATTAATTTATATTAAAATTACTAAGGGGACATTTGAACTACTCCATAATTTTATCAAGTCATTCTTTATAAACGCAGGAAAAAAAATCGTGGGTGTTTGGGAAGCTTTAATATATGTTTTGGTGCCTGAAGAAGCGACAATAAAGTCGCGAAACGTCGCAAAAACCTTGTTTCGTTTCCTTTCGAGCCTTCCCAAACACCCACGATTTTTTTTCTGCGTACTAACTACTAGGAACTAACAATAATCATAATGGATTACTTATAATTGTTAAAATCACTTATTTGTTCTCAAATGTGTGTTGCCTAAATATTGTTTTATTTTTTAGACTGCAGACTTTGTCCAGTATATGTCGAATCCGATGGCTATAGCGAATGCACCACCCGCAACACCCCCGCCACAGGAACAGTGGGTTCTCGATCCTTCGGTCATGAAATTGAATGATAAAAATTTCAAAAACGAACTGAAAAAGAACGGCATTGTACTCGTAATGTTTTACGCACCATGTAAGTAAAATAGTTCGTACTAAAACATTTTCATTCCTTGTATCTTCTCAAATACAAATGATTTAACAAAAAAATGTCTTACGAAAAAAAAACGGCGTCAAAGATGGTTATGAAATGAACATCGCATTTTATATTGTGACGACTTTTCTGTCATTACCCAAACAGAAAGAAAAAAGTATCCGTTGCTCAGGGTTAGAGTAGAGCTGGGTTCGCAGGTAAGGCTTCTGGCTTGCGGTGACTTTCTAATGTTGTTAAATATTAAACTAAAAAATGATAATATTTAGGCTGCAAAGATTTTAATATTGATGTTAAGTATTTATATAGATATGGTCAAAGACAGTAAATAGGGCGCCACTTACTTTGTTTATGGAAAAGGTAAAGTAAGAAACCAAAATGAAAAATATTTTAACACAAAATAGCTAGAATAAAGTAATCAACAGCAATAAGGGTCTATTTATGTTTATCAAGAATAAAAGTCAAAGATAACTATACTACATTAATCATTTATTTAAAAACGAACACAAGTACCAGTTAGTTTCAATGATCCCAATAAAACTGTAAGTTATTTTAAATAAATTCGAATTTAGTAACAGTGTTCTTCGAACTATGCTATTTAATATAAAAAACACGTGAAATTTATGTATGTATTAATACGATGATGTTTGGAAACATGTCGTGTACAAAAACCTTCAAGAGTGAACACGTGTTAATGATTTTCATATAAAATATCATAACAAAGTAAAACTATACTGTTTGAATCAAATTTTAACTTATAACGTTAACTGAAAGTTAATTTTGACTATGATATATGGGATAAATAGTAGTACCTTGTGTATCGAACTTAGGACTGATCTGTATAGTTCCCTATGATGTTGTAAACAGGTAGATAGGTAGTCTCCAGACTTGCAAGAAAAAACTTTTGTCATTTAAAATAATCATTGATCATAATAATCTGAATTTTGCAGGGTGCGGCCACTGTAAGAAAATGAAACCCGATTACGTTGCAGCGGCCCAACAACTCCAATCCGAAGGCTACGACAAGTGCATGGCGATTATAGATTGCACGGAAAACCCAGACATAGCCGAAGAATACAATATCCAAGGTTTTCCCACCATCAAACTATTCAAAAACGGAAAACACATAGCGGACTACGACGGGAAACGTTCCGTAGACGACATCAAACGATTTGTCAGGCAGTATTACAACAAAAAAGATGAACTTTAAAAACCTAACCCAGAAAAAGAGAGAAAAACGATGTCAATTTTCATATTGAAAACTTTCATATAACATTTCATGTCATGAATCTCAAATAAAACCTATATCTATGCATTCCGTAAGTTGTATGTAAAGTATTATATCACAAGTGTTGATGTTTTTGAGGTACACTAGATGTAATGTGTGTAAACATTTTTTTTTTCAGTATTTTTTGATTATTTAAGCTAAAACAGTTTACGGGACATTTGAACTACTGTCTTTTTTTATTAAAATCTTGTATTTTTTACGGTCTAAAAATTAAAATAATTCAGTCTATTCATTTGTTGCAAATGTACAACAATTATTAGGTACAATTATATTATTATGTTACTAAAATTTATCTGGAATCTCTAAAATTACGTTCTTTACTATATTAATCTCATAATATAACACTAAAAATACAATATAAGGGTAATAAGTACGTGTATTACAAGAATTAGGTGTGCTACTTACTTTTTTGAGATTTCTTTTTGTGATAATAGAATATTTATAGGGAATATTCTTTATGCAAGAGGTTTAATTTATTTTTATATTCGAATATTGTAAATTTTGATGAATGTTTTTCGTTTTACTTGATGTATTTTTATTAATAAAAACTAATCAAGATTATATTGGAAATTTTCATATACCTCTGTGGGTATAAAATATCGCGGTTTAATATCCCTGTATAGGCTTGGTGCATTCTCCGCCGGTGCTGCGACCACCGGAGAATATCGTAAACAACTAGTATATAGCGAGTATACGAAAAAAAACAATTAACTCTAAGTGTTAGGAAGTATAATTTGTGAAAATTCTAAAAATAAAAAAGCAAATATTTTGATATCGTCCTATTGCTGCCAAAAGTCACTAACTAACATTTTTCCGAACAACCAAATTCAATCACTAACTATGTTTTGAATCGGAGAATCGATTGCAAATGTCATTAACTACGATTTCTGGCTATTTATGTTTTATTTTAATACCGAATAGTTACTAACTATAACATCTTTATGCAATGCAATTCATCTTTAGACGCATTTTTCTCGGAAGTAATAAAAAGTAAGTTAGTGACTTTTGGCAGCAATGGGACGATATCTTCAGAAGGTCTAACTTTTAATTTATTATTCCAGTTAAAAAAAACTTTTTAGATGCAGACAAAACTATAGTTCATTAGAACTCCCAAAATAAAGAAAGAAATTTTTTATCTCAGTTGTAGTAAAGGTGTTTTTCCTTAACACGACAGTACAGGTTTAAAAATAAAACTACATTTTAGAAAAGTGCATTAAAGAATCTTGTTTGTATACGTGTAATCAACATTGTTAATAATACACAAATATCTTAAACTATCACAAAAAATTAAACTCTATATATCACTAGAAATAAAAAACATGGCTACGTAGCTTATTTAGCTAGGCTGATAAAAGTCAGATCGGTCTCTAAATTATAAATATGAATATAAAATATTCGTTCTGACTTTTTTCCAAAGTACATCATCCAATCTTATAATAGAGAGAACTATGTACAAAAAAATACTATAGAGTATAAACAAAAGGTATTTTCTAAGAAACACTTCTTATTTGGTTAGTCATATGTTTCTTTATATGATTTCTATACATACATATAGTCGACTCGTATATACTTTAATCATTAGAAAATTATACAGAGTGAAAATGAAAAAATGCGAAAAAGTTGATGAAGTGGTTTCTTCTTTAATTTTTTTTATTTTATATGAAAAAGAACCGTTATTTGTAGCTGATTTTTTCGAACTTATTCATTTGCATGCACCCTGTATATACCCAAATAAATATATCAGAAATATTAGTCCATATATTTTAGAATATATTATTTCTACATCCGTTATCAAACTAATGCAATATTTTATCTCATCTCAACATCACTAACTCTGTAGTGTAATATAAACATGTAAAACAAAATGAAAAATAAATGTGTTCATTTGAACTACTAACATACTCTGGAGACCAAAAGGCACACAAAATTTTAAATATTCTTTGCTTTTTTATGGTTACTGAAATAACTGGTAACAAAAAACCATTCAGCTACATAAAATATGTACCTAAATTATTAAATTATTAGTTTAGAATATATACGAGGTATGTAATCAAATAAACCTTTCATAATCATATATTAATTTAACTCTTTATTACATACCCGGTATATTCGTTTCACTAATACGAGTATTTCTATAGCCTGTATAACCATCGTGCAACGTTACGTCATATATTGTTTTACGTAATAACGACATAATATCGTAAATTACTTCAGTCTGTTTCTAGTAACTGTCTCTTTATTTTTGAGGTTATGATCCTATTGAAGGATAACGATCAGCGTCAAAACTAAACATCGATTGTTCTGTCTAAATACAAATAAGTTTGTTACTAAAATGTTGCTTACTAGAACCGGTATGTGCGAATTATGGATTGAAACACATCCAAAATGAATAAGAAACAAAAGCAGGGTTTCCACATGCAAGGATTACTGGCGCCAGTTTTCGCCACTTTATTGGCGCCATTACCCGTTTCCCACAGGTCTATAGTAAATTTAAAACTGGCATGTCATTACGTTCAGTTTTGTGAGATTTAACATCTTGTTATGCTCTAGGGTGTAAGCATTCCTAATACTTCGAATTTTGGCCTTTGCGAAATTTACATCAAAGTTGCTGAGAGAATCAGATATGACACCAACAATTCTTCTTAAAGCTTTATCCCTTTTATTTCGGTCCTTATAATCACTTATTTTATTGTTCCATAAGCAAGGATGTTGTTCGTAGGCTTCCAAGAACTTTATTATTAATTCAGTAGACTACTTTTTTGAAACAAACGACATTTTTACGACTGGAGATGCTCGCTGTCTTGTTTACACACAAAACTGGCGCCAAAACGTACAGAAGCGTTGAACTTTAAGCTGGGTTTCCACATGCAAGGATTACTGGCGCCATTCAACTGGCGCCAGTTTTATTGTATGTGGAAACCTGTAAAATCGATTGGCGCAAGTTTAGTGGCGCCACTAATTCATGTGCCAGTAAAGTCCAAAGCTCCTGGACTTTTTGGCGCCAGTTTTGTGTATAAACAATACAGCGAGCATCTCCAGTCGTAAAAATGTCGTTTGTTTCAAAAAAGTGGTCTACAGAATTAATAATAAAGTTCTTGGAAGCCTACGAACAACATCCTTGCTTATGGAACAATAAAATAAGTGATTATAAGGACCGAAATAAAAGGGTTGAAGCCTTAAGAATTGTTTTTTTTTAGAAATTTCGCAAAGGCCAAAATTCGAAGTATTAGGAATGCTTACACCCTGGACCATAACAAGGTGTTAAAATCTCATAAAACTGAACGTAATGACATGCGAGTTTTAAATTTACTATAGACCTGTGGAAACGGGTAATGGCGCCATTTAATTATGGCGCCAATAAACTGGCGCCAGTAATCCTTGCATGTGGAAACCCCGCTAAACATACATAACGTACTTGAAATTTTCTAAACAATATGAACTAATACGTCCTAAAACGGATGTTACATTAGTAATGATGACGTAAGGTTCAATGATTGTTGTACATACCATATTTTTAATATTTATACATACTAAATAAAAGATCCGAGATATCTAAGGGTGATTCTACCTGCTATAATCATGCAAAGATATATGCCTGCCCATGCAATTCGTGTGGTTTACATCTACATAGATATCACTAAAACAAGAGTATAAGTATTAATATATAGTTAGATTATGTGAAGTTCAACAAAATGTTATACAGGGTGTCCTTGCCTGAGCTTACACTAGAAGTTTGTATAAAACTTGAATATTTAAATTAGAGATTTGTGAGCATGAGATTATATATCAATTCTGAGACAATAATAAAAAAATCTCCAATAAAAATATGATTAGTCTTTTAGAAACTTGTAATGCAAGGCAAGCTAGGGGCATACATATACAGGATGGTTCATGAGGGAATGTCAATATTTCAGATACAAATTTCATTACTGAATATTGATACTTACGTACCTGAGGTATTGACATTTCTTCATGAATCACCCTATAGAAAAAAATAAATAGCCTTGTTGAGGCTAATGAAATGACTAGAAATACTCCTAATTTTAAGCAAACGACTTCAACAACTTAAATCACTTGCCTTAATCTATATACAGGGTTGTTCACCACATACGACACGGAGTATTGTAGCTAAACGATTAGATTTTTACAAATTATAAGTTTTGGGTTTGTTAAAGGACTATTAGAGCTACAATTTGAAAATATTTTAAAAAGATACAGAGTGTCCCAAATAAGTAAAAAATATTATAGTTATATTTTTTTAAACGGAACACCCTGTATATTATTATATTTTTAGATTCTACGATTAAAATAAAGGTAAATTTTATTAAGGTTTATCACACTTAAACCTTGCCGTTTTTGAAATATTTTCAATTTTATGAAATTGCAGTAAAACTTTTAAGGCTTCATTTCTCCAAGGGTATCGAAGTTTTTAATACTAAATAATTACTGAACTTTATTTATTGATCAAATATTGTGTTGCAATAATAAACAAAATACTATCGTATACAGGATGTCTAAAAATTTATATTAAATAATTACTAGCTTTAAACGGCAATAACTTGTTTAATTTAAATGGAACACCCTGTATATTTTACGAGAATCAGATGCACAATTTAATTGTCTATCAAATTGTATTATACCATTTTTACCTATCTCTTCAAGTTTTCGTAGAAGTAGCATTTTCTTATAATTTAGACATCATTTATCACTATACCAATGGAATATTGACATTTTAGAATATTTTTAAAAATAATCTAAAATAACAATATTTCAAACAATACCAGATACTAATATTGTCGATATAATTCGCTTATTTCATTAAAAAAATAAAAAAACTGTTTGAACTGTTGTTGTTTTTTTTTTTGTTAAATAGCACCAATTAATATGATCCCAGTATTTAAATTCCATTAAATGACTGTTTACATTGATTAATAATAATTGCTCCAAATACTAAAAAACTGAATTTTGTATGTGTATTAGACAGTGTGGTAAAATGTAACGCCTTATAAATTTTATTTCATTTTTTGACGAATGCTTATTTATAACAACAGAGACGTTCATTTTCATAACTTATTATTGTATTGTATTCTGAGTCAAATCCACATTTATTTAGAATAATTTATTAATTAAAACAATTATTATTACAAAGTATGTAATTAACTAGTTGTTAGGCGGAAATAATAGGCGGAGTATATTAATAACTAGTAATAATTGGTATACTCTATTACAAAGATTTAAATAGTTTTCTTTTTGTAAACAAATGGGCTTGCAATATTATTATTTTTACCACCTGTATATTTTGTACATCTGTTGCTTTAAAAAAATCTAAAATGTCAATATTCCATAGGTATAGTGATAAATGAGGTTTAAATAATAAGAAAATGCATTTTGGTAGCATGCAAGAAATAGGTAAAAAATGGTATAATACAATTTCATAGACAATTAAATTGCGCATCTGATTCACGTAAAATATACAGGGTGTTCCATTTAAATTAAACAAGTTATTGCCGTTGAAAGCTAGTCATTATTTAATATATTTTTTTGAACACTCTGTATAAGGTAGTATAATTTTTATTATTGCAACATAATATCTGATTATAATATTTTTTACTCATTTGGGACACTCTGTATCTTGTAAAATTATTTTTAAATTGTAGCTCTAATAGTCCTTCAACGAACCCAAAACTTACAATTTGAAAAATTCTAATCGTTTAGCTACAATACTCCGTGTCGTATGTGGTGAACAACCCTGTATAACTTATTCCTCATTTATTTAAATATGTGACAACGTCAACTATTTTATTCTAATCTCATGAAAACTGTTGAATAAATCCACTGATTAAGTTGAAGTAACATATCGAACATACTAAAAATGCATTCATAATTTAGAATCACCCTTAGAAGTAGGTATTTAAATAATTTCACACATCACTTTTGCAAATACAGAGGGAATATCCTTTTGGCAAGGAAAATAAAACGAAAATATAATATCATTTGTTCGAGACCAATGTAATGTACTAACAACTAATTTTTGTCATGGAAAAATAAAAAAAAACGACAATTCGAAACAAAATAAACTCCAAATACTCCTTTTCATTGCTACCTCGGATTTCAGCGAACAATAATGTGTTTTTTATGATGGAATTACCAAAATGTAGGATAAACTATGCTGTGGAAAGTTCAGTAAAATTTATATTGTAACCAAAATTTGGTTTGGTTTAACCACGAAAGGCGCAAGAATGTATTTATATTTTGTTGTTCTTCTTCTTCGTTCTCAGCCAGGTTCCATCCAGTGTTGGATATAGACCTCTTCTAGGTTTGTCCATGCTTCACGATCTCTAGCCAATCTCATCCATTATCTTCCTATCACTGTTCTGACGTCATCAACCCATCTCTTATTATAAAACGAAAATATTATGCTCTAGTGGACTGATTTTGATGATGAAAAAGCCGTACAACTTCGCGTATTTCATATCATAAAATCGAAAAAAAAACGCCGTCGCAGTGGCCTTTGAAACGACAATAGACGATTATTTCTGTCCATAAATAACCCCATCATAAAAAACGCATCACGGTATACTTTATATCGAAACCTAGACCGAAAATCAATACACAATAAATACAACGACTAATTCTGCGTCTTCAAACTGCTACAACTGTGAGAATCCTTGATGACGGGTGCTGATTCCCGCCTGATGTCATCCTTCAGGTGACCAGTTTTGTCCTTCGTCCTCAAAGGTACGCTTTCGCGCCGATTGGGGTTGTTGATGTGGGAGATAAATGTGGCGCTAGAGGGCGTGGTCGTCGTCGTCAAAGATGCGAAGTCTTTCTTGTTGGTCACCTGAATTTCGTGAAACGATCATGACGTATGCATTTGCTGATAAAAGCAATGGTAAAATTCAACACAGACCTAATTTTAGCATACTGGTATTTAAAGTAAATTGAAGTATTAGTTAGAAGCCTGTTAAAAAGATTAGGAAACTGTAAGAGCATTCATACTTCTTAGATTAATATTCTCAAGAGAGATCTCAAATATATAAATGACAAACCTTAATGCAAAAACTAATGTAGCCATGATATACAGACCGGACCACCGTAGTAGTAACATAGGCAGAACCGGACGAATTAGCGTATACCCGTCCGCCGGATAAAAAGCAGGCAAAAAAATGCGATAAAATAATAGGTCGATATGTGATAAGAATTTCAGAATTTGTATTTATTCGTGTTTTAATAGCCGAAACGAATACGTAGATTCTCGCGACAGTTCTCGTGTAAAATTTATTTTTTAAGTAAAATAATGGATGTTTAGGAAGTTCGTGAGAAAATTCAAATTGTAAAATGGTATTTCCAAAATAGGTCTTATCGGGATATACAAACAATTTTTCCACAAACTTTTGTAAACAGGCCAACTCCATCTTTACCTACTATATCAAGAGTTATTAATAATTTTGAAACACATGTGTGCGTGTCCCCACAAAAACACAAAAGCCTAATGTGTTGATTAATGAAGAACATGAGTTAAAGCAAGTGTTCGTTTGTGCTACCGCGGATCAAAATCCCACGTTTTCAAGTAATCAAATTGCTGAGGTGGTTGCCCTGCACAATGCCCGTATTGTTCAAGGATATTTGAACAATACTTTTCCCAACTGTTTAATTAGTAATTATTAAACTATTTTGTGGCCCGCTAGATCACCAGATCTTTCTCCCAATGATTTCTTTTTGTGGGGTTATGTAAAATCCAAAGTGTATGGTCATAATAGGGCTAATAATCTGGATGAGCTTCAAGTAAAAATACGAGAGGCTTTCCAAACTATTAGCCCTAATATGTTAGCCAATGTCAGACGGGGATTTTACGACCGCCTAGGCTTCTGTCTAGTACAAGAAGGTGGTCTTTTTGAACACTTGTTATAACTTTTTTTTATTTAGAGTAATATTATAGTTTTTTTTTGGGTTTAGAGAATTTATTTATTTTTAGTTTTGGTTTGTAAACACACTCAACTAATAAATATTTAAGTATTTTTATTTTAAATGTTACCTTAAGTGAAGGTAAACACTTAAAATGAAAATAATAAATACATGGCACTCCTCGCGTCATATTCCTAGTCTGTCACGACCGACCCGTCCAAGCACAACTGCAACTGCGTATTGCCTGAATAGCCGACTAGCCGGCAGTGACTCTCGAGTACGAACGCAAAACGGGTAAACGTAAATTTGTCCGGCAACTTGCAATGTTACTAGTAGCCTGGTCTCTCTCTCTCTTCTCTGTATAAACCAGATGTAAACAGACACATGCTAGGTTGTTACTTATTTGATAACAAAGCTTATTAATAAAGATCGTATATAGGAACATGAATTAAAGTAGGCGTGCACTTAATCAAAATATCTGAAAAAAGCACCTCGCAATGTTGCCACGGTTACTTTTTTACTAGACTTTTGACAAATCGCAAATGAAATTCGTAATTTTGTCACCGATTTTTCACTTCAATTTTAGTTAGAATATACAAATATGGTTTTATATCAACATATTACACAAACCACGTGATGATGACGTGCACGCCAACTTTTACTGATGTCCCTATAGAGTCGATGTCTCTTTTTCTCGCTAGACAGACTTTACTTAAAACTATATATATAGAACAAGGTTGTTATACAGGGTGAGTCTTAAATGCAAATATTTTTAGAGGCAGTATATTTCGATCCCAGAAACACGTCTATGAGTTTTATTTGCGACATTTTTTTTGGATTTTTTTTAAGTTTATGTTAAAAATATCTTGACAATATGACAACATAGGTAGTAGATTAAATTTACAAGAGAGAAAATCCAAAAAAATCTAGTGGTTTTCAAAATTTATGCAAAAAATATATATTATTTTTAATTTTCAAAGTAAAATAACTCGGTTATTTTGTACTTATTTGAAAAACGGTATTTAAGACCCACCCTGTATAGGATTACATAAATACATTAAAAAACCTACCTCTTTGAATGAATTAATGGCCTTGCTCATCCACGGTGCCCAACTATGTTTTGCCAATTCTTGTTCTGTTGCCCTCAGTTGATGTGTTAAATTCTGAAAAATAAAATGGTTATAAAAGATACTTTTATTAAATACAACTTAATATTTAATAGAGTAATTTGTGGGTAAATGATTTAACCTTTTGCTTAATTTTTTTTTTCTTATACCGGGTGCGTCTCAAAAATAGCTAACTTTTTTAATTTTTTAGATAAAAAAACGAGATTTGGTATGCTAGTATATGACATAAATTAGGATTGATTAACGTATTCAATTCTTTTTGGTCGCTTCCTGTTTCACCGGAAATGTCGCGTATGATTCTGATTTTTAAATAACACCATCGGTATTTTTTTATTTTATTCGATAGAACATGACACTCTGAATAGAATGACATATCATATGTCAACTTTTGACGATATATAAAATATTCAGTTACATACCTGATTTCGACATTCGGCTTCGACATGTGCGAGTTTGGTCTGCGCAAGTTCTAGTTCTAACTCTCTTATCCTCTCTTCGTTCGAAGCCTGATCTCCAAGACCCGCGTTTTTCTTCGCTTGACTATTTTCTTCGAGAAAACTCGAACAGTCCGGGCACGATGACATTTTAATCTAATTAAAAGTTAATCAACATTATAATCCAATTATTTTTTACTACTTACCATTAAGGTTTCTAATTCTTGTCTAGCTACACTAAGCTGCATGTCCAATCGCTGCCTGACTAGCTTGTAATCGTTGACGACTTGAGCGTTGTTTCTTTTTTCTTGATCCGCACCATCAACCTATAGAAATCAGATTAAGACTATTTTTATTGTTCTATATCTCTGGGTACTACGTACCTCTCTCTTCAGTATCTCCTTCAACTGCGTTATCTCGTCCAAGAGGAGTTTCTTCTCCTCCTCCAGCCTCTGGACGGTGACCTGTAACTTCTCCACCTCGCTGGCCTCCCTCTCTTTGCGGTACTGGGCCTCTGAATCCGAAGAAATTATTTCCCAACCGTCTAACAATTAGCAAAAAAAGTGTCTTTTGTTCCTTTGGTCTATGAGACCGCTGACGTTATTTTTATTTAGTAGACAAGTCAAAAATAGCTAATTTTTTAGGAACACGCTAGCTAAATCGGTTGGTTAGTTTTAAGTTTAGTAGAATTAGAATATTGGTAATAATAAAATGGGGACTAATGTAACAAAACTACTTTCTGAGCTACTTTTTTAAGATTCTAAGCAGGGAAACATTAAAATATGTTTTGACATTGAAAAGTCAAATCATACTTTAATAAAAAAAATTAATGTCACTTTTTGTATACTATTTTAGATTTGTGTTCTTTTTGAAAGTTTGTTTTTGTAGTGTGATAAAGTTAGTGGATAAATACAGGGTGATTCTTAACCTATACGCATAAACTTGGGAAATTATTCCTGATGACAAATAATGACTAATAATGAAAAAAAACGTTAGTAAAATATTTTTAGATTCTGAAATAATTTGAGTTTTTTTTCACAAAAATGTATCAACTTTATCAGTAAATGCACATTCAATTTAACGTTTTTTGTTTTTATTTCAAATAGTTTGCGTATAGGTTAAGAATCACCCTGTATGCATTATGACTAATAAAAGTGTTATATTATAATCTCAGAGCTAGCAACGTTTTCGAGAAAGTATTTTAAGACGTCTGCCTCTTTGATATATCTTTTACTATGCTCTCTGGAACAGCATGTGGCCTCTGGAACAGCATGGCAGCTTTACGTCTGGCTGCCGATACCACTACTGCGCATCGGAAGAAGATCCTATATTTATTATTAATTTAGTCCTATAAATTCTAGTATTGAATATAAATCGAACATGTCTCCATAGCGCAATGCGTAGAGTTTCCGACCACGAACCGATGATTCAGAGTTCGAATCCGGGCCAGGGCAAAGACTTTTTTATTTTATTTTCGTTTATATTCTGATAGTAAAGTATTAAATCCAGATTCGAACTCTGAATCATCGGTTCGTGGTCGGAAACTCTACGCCCTGCGCTGTGGAGACATGTTCGATTTATATTCAATACTAGAATTTAAAGGACTAATAAAAATATAGGATCTTCCTTCGATGCGCAGTAGGGAACTTAACGTTTACCGGCAGCCAGACGGGCCGCATGCTGTTCTAGAGAGCACAGTAAAAGATATATCGAAGAGCCAGACGTCTTAAAATACTTGTTTTTCCGACGTTGCTAGCTCTCGTACTATTATGTGAAGCTGTCTGCAATAGGAAAAATCTTGTCCTTAAAAGAACTCCACAACACTAAAAGTATGAAAACCTCTGAAGTATGTTCCATATTTTCAAAAAACAAGGTATATGTTATTTAAAATAGTTTTTTAAACCGACTTTTATTCAGCGAAATATATATTTATGTTAGGTAACTTAATCACTTTAAACATTATTAGGTAATTTACCTTTGGATTTTTTCTTTCTTTAAATAATTAATACACTAGTAAATATTATCCAATAAATAATTAATATCCGAATAACTATTATTTTCTCTAATTTATATATTTATATTTTCTATTTTATGACATAAAAATGACATATGCACAAAAGAAAGACAGATGATTGGTTAGTCAATGTCAAAGACAAAGATAGTCAGATAGTCGAATGTCTGTAATGTCTTCAACAAAAATGAAGCGAATTTACTTATCCACTAAGTTTATAAAATCTAAGGATAGAACCTAATCCACACTGTAGAGATTGCTTTCATATTTACTATATATTTTGATATTACGAAAACCTACAACTGTTTGGTATCTCTTATCTGAGACAAAAGTCCGATCACAATCTTACTGTTTAGGTCACTTTGATCATCAAGCTATATTTATTTTAATAACTGTGGAAAATCAGAAAATATTTTCGAATCGAATAGAAGCAACAAAAACAACAATTAAAATGAACTAAGACGCAACATTATCCCATTTTATTATTAAATTATATATATTACATTAAAATTACCTTTTAGCACTATTAAATTTAAATTTATTGCGTTCATATTCATGACCAACTCCATGAACCAAGCACTACTAATATTTTTTAAATATTATAACAATAACGATTAAAAACACCATGGCACAACTACTTTTTAAAATTATTAACGTTCCATACGAAAACAAATTGCGTGTTACTTTGATAAGAGACAGATAAATATGAAAAAAATATTGTCGCTGATAAAATCCCAAGTATTAAAAATAATTTAAAATACAGGGTGGCCCATCGAAAACGTTCCGCAAGGCATAACGGCCAGGTTTTTTTTTTCAAAAAATCCAAAAACACGTCAATTTTGTTTGTGAGGGGGACAACTTTTGCCCCAAAAATGGTTGCAAAATCTTCAACCCTCTAAGCGGTCATCCCCCAACTTTTTTCAAATGAGTGGCACCGCAATGAGTAGAGCTTTCTATTCTCTATATTTCCCCACTTCGTTTTGAAAATCGGTCGAGTTATTGAGAAAATATGAAGGATTGAAATTCGAAAAGTTTATTTAAAGATTTATCAGAGTAAATGAAAAGGATAAATTCCTTCGACCAATTTGCTGTTTTTTCTTATTAGCTTTTTTCGGGTTCTTGTTATTACCGATTCCGAACCGTCCTAGAATTCTGCAGCGCATACGCAAATGAAATAATGTCTTCATATTTCCTTCTGCGCATACGCATCACAGTTCTAGGACGGTTCAGAATCGGTAATAACAAGAACCACTTGTCACAAGGTTGAACGATCAGGTGCGGTAGTTGCTAGATAGCTGTTCTGTGACTTGTGCGTTGAAGTTCTTCTCAATATCGTTAAACTGACCCACAATAGAATTTCCAAAAATACCATTTTGTGTGTGCACCTCGTGAAAACCCCTGGGGTTGTCCTTAGCCCAGTACCGACATTTGTGCCGATTAACTACACCGTTCAAAAAGAAAGTACACTCATCCGAAAAACACATTAAATAGGAAATTATTATCATTCGCCACTCGTTCACTCATAGTTTCACAAAATTGCAAGCGACGATCAAAATCGTCTTCGTTGAGTTCTTGTACCAACTGAATTTTGTACGGGTGGAACTTGTGTTTTTTTAATATCTTTTGGACACTTGTACGATTCACGCCGGTCTCATTGGCTAATTTTCTTGTACTCAGCGTACTATCCATAGCAACTTGGCCCAATACGAATACCTCCATAGCTTCAGTTACTACAGGATTTTCCCTCTGCCTCTTTTTATTCATAACGAAACCAGTTTCGCGAAATTTTGCTACTAACTCGCGAATTTTTTTGCCATAAAGGTGTTTGTCAGGATAGCGTTCATTGAATATGTGCGCAACCCGACACATTCATTATTTTTAAAATAAAGTTCGACTATTTCCACTTTTTCTGCAAGTGAGTACACCATAATTGTTAAAAAGTTTAACGATATTGAGAAGAACTTCAACGCACAAGTCAAAGAACTAGCAACTACCGCACCTGATCGTTCAACCTTGTGACAAGTGAAAAAATGCAAAATAATAAGAAAAAACATTTAGAAACAATGAGAAAACACAGCAAATTGGTCGAAGGAATTTATCCTTATCATTTACTCTGATAAATGTTTAAATAAACTTTTCAAATTTCAATCCTTCATATTTTCTCAATGACTCGACCGATTTTTCAAAAACGAGGCGGGGAAATATAGAGAATAGAAAGCTCTTTTCATTGCGGCGCTACTTGACCATACTTGACCCCCCTTCCCATTTGAAAAAAGCTGGGGGATGACACCCCCGCTTAGAGGGTTGAAGATTTTGCAATCATTTTTGGGGCAAAAGTTGTCCCCTTCACAAACAAAATTGACGTATTTTTGAATTTTCTGAAAAAAAAAATTGCTCTGGCCGTTATGCCTTGCGGAACGTTTTCGATGGGCCACCCTGTATATAGATTAGGGTGTCCCTTATTTAGAAAGTTGATAATTTCTCTCACGACGCACGCCCTATAAATTTTTAGGTTATTGTAAAAAAAATAACAGACCATTGTAAACCCTTAATATTCACAATAAACCTTGCCCCAAAGACGATTTATTTACCATTTAAATTATGTCAATTACATATTCTTGTACAGAACTGAACGCTCTACAAGAAAGGTCTCTTACGATTTTTCGATAGACCTAGTCCTTCAAAAATTATTTACGGTTAAAATTAACCACTCGGTAAATTCATAAATTCTTCAATTTTTTGGAAAAAAATATGATTATTTTTGAAAAATTTAATCTATTACTGTAAAAATATACAATTCTGATGGTGTTAAGGTTGGGAATTAAGAAAACTTCAAGTCTAATGAAGTTTATAACCATTAAGTAGAGCTGATTTATTTTAATAAACATTCATCAGTTGGATTTTGATAAATTCACCGGCAAAAAAAACCGGCCACTAAAAACTAGTACCAATTTCGAAGTTAGATTTCTCGCGAACCACTCATTAGATTTTGATGATTTTTTTTTTAAATTATAAACTAAATTCTTCTTAATGGATGCTACATCAGAAATTTTTATTCCGAATTTATTTTGAGCATATATAGGGCACAACCTTAAGACGAAGTTTTTTGCCCGAATTGCCCCAAACACCCTGTAGGATGCAGCAGCTATAGTAGCTATTGCTAAATCAAATCACATTGTAGCCTCATCTTTTGTGAGCATTTTGCTTTTTTAATCATGACATAATCTCTGTTTGTATTGGAGATACGCTGCTTTAAAACGAACGTCTCGGAAAAATGCTTCGCAGGCAGAAAGTTTTACGGGTAAATAATCAAGGCGACATAGGCGAAAACGGATTTATGAGTATCTGCAATATGACAACAACGGTTGTCAAATTAAAAAATGCCATTAGCTGTGACCTTTGAATAAGAAGACTAAGGAAGGAGCATATCAAAAATCTTAGGTACACCGCGATGGGCCTCAAATATGGCCGACTTAAATTCCGGTTTATCAGTGTCGTTCTAATTTTATTTAAAAAATCTAAAACTATGATGTAGGGTAGACGTGGGGTAGACTCAATAATTTGTTGTTTTATTTTACGTTGTGAATAAATGTTGGTAGTTATTAAAATTGTTATAAAAATATATAATTCTAATAAAAATAGATAAGTTATGATAAGTATTTATTAACACAAACATCCGATACGCTACTGAAGCAGATAAGTCAAATTAACGTATCTAAATTCTTTGACATCTAATCTTTGACAAGTAATAAATAAAAGCTAAAATGCAAGAAAAATATATAATTTAGTTAATTTAAGTGAATTTCATAAATGATCGGTTTACTACACGTATGTATATTATATAGTCACTTACTAGCGAAAAGTTGTTCCATTATTTCACTCAATTTTTGCCGAGATCTACCGCACGCTACACAACCAACTATTTTAGAATCTTTTTCGATAAATCGCGATAGTGTCACTGTTAATTTAAGTTCTGCCACAATTTCCATCTAGATTTACTACCTTTATACATCTATCAGTAGTAGAATAAATAATAAATAACATAAAATAAGCTCCGTAAAGACTGACAAATCCACAAAATTTCAAATCAAATTCAAATATGTCAAATGAATCGTCAAACAGAACTGTCAAGGATCCCCACCCTAGAGTGCTTTTTCCGCCCACCATGCATGAATACATGGATAGCATTATGCTCCTTCCTTAGTCTTCTTATTCAAAGGCTGTGACGGATGTGGTTCGTATTGTGGCTTTAGTTGAGGATGGCCGAAGTCAACGTTATATGTCCGATACCCTGGGTATATGTACTTCGAACAACAGTCCAGGATGCCTGGAATATGAAAACGGGAAATTTTACCAGGCTAGTGGGTTCCGGAACACAAATGCAATTGACGACCGCTTTATTGTCCTGAATACTTTACGAAATCGTAGAATTACAGCGTTTCAGAATCAACATCTGCTACAAGCCGTGCGTAGAACTCAAGTCAGTGAGAGAACAATCCGACGAAGACTAAAAGAAAACAGCTTGTCTGCAAGGAGGCCTGCCACAGGACCCCAACTATTACGTCAGTTTGCGCGTTTACGTGTGAATTGGGATATTGAGCAATGGATTAAAGTCCTTTTCAAGGATAAATCGCGGTTTTGCCGGCGAAGCATCTTTCCGAGATGTTCATTTTAAAGCAGCGTATCTCCAATACAAACAGAGATAATGTCGTGATTAAAAAAATAAAACGCTCACAAAAGATGAGGCTACAATGTGATTTGATTTAGCAATAGTTACTACAGATGCTGCACCCTACAGGGAGTTACAAAGTTCAGACAAAAAACTTCGTTTTATTGTTGTGCCCTGTATATGCTCAAAATAAAATCGGAATAAAAATTTCTTCACACAAACAGTATTCAAATTTGCTAAAACAAAGTTAAAACCAAACCAAAAACTTACCTTTGGCAGCGAGAAACTCTGCTTCGTATTTCTTCAGTTTCTTAACTTTAATATGGCAAGCGAGTTTAATCAGCTGTTTGGCGGCCTCTTCGCTTCGGCACTTCTTAGGTAGCGATACGCGGAAATATTTCAGGATTCCTTCGAAATCCTGCTGCAATAGGTCCTTTTTACAGGCCATCAGGAGGGCTAAGGCCATTTGGAAGAGTGTATCTATTCCTGGACAGATAGAAAAATAGCATATTTTTATTTTATGAAGAACAGAACTGTATAGTTAGATATAACTATATAGTTATTATATACAGGATGAGTCGTAAATAAGTGCAAATCTTTTTAGAGCTGGTAGATCTCAATAAAAGAAGCATATTGTCTCTTTACCGTTTTTCAAATAAGTCCAAAATAACCGAGTTAAGTTTCAAAATTAAAAAAAAAATCTTTTTTTTTTGAAAAAAAAATTGAGAGCCACAGGATTTTTTTCTGTAATTTGTTCCTCTATTTTAAATCTACTACCGATGTTATTATACACTCACCGGCAAAAAAAACCGGCCACTAAAAACTAGTCCCAATTTCAAAGTTGGATTTCTCGCGAACCACTCATTAGATTTTGATAATTTTTTTTAAATTGGAAATTCATTCCTTCTTAACGGATGCTACGTCAGCAATTTTTATTCCGAATTTATTTTGAGCATATAGGGCACAACAATAAGACGAAGTTTTTTGCCCAAATTTTGTAACACCCTGTAGGGTGCAGCAGCGGTAGTAACTATTGCTAAATCAAATCACATTGTAACCTTATCTTTTGTGAGCATTTTATTTTTTTAATCACGACATTATCTCTGTTTGTATTGGAGATACGCTGCTTTAAAACAAACGCCTCGAAAAAAGCTTTAAAAACGCAGAACGTAGGTAAGTTTAACCTGAAAACTAACTAAAACATAAACATTAAAAAAAAAGATAAAGAAATTTTAAGGGACTAATATCTAGTGTCCACTCGCCTGGTCAGGCCCGTTCCTGGGGTATCTGGCGCCTAAGTGCAGCAATATTTGGTGCGCCCTTTTTATATTTAAATCAATTATATATTTTAATCTTAATCTCAAAAATTTAAAGAATTTATATTCTGCGACAAACGAGCAATATGTAATTGGAAATGTAAAAAAAATATTCTAATTAAAGTATAAAAACATTTATTAAATAAATAAAATAAACAAAACCACAAATATTTAGTAACAAAAATAGTACCCTAAAGAAAAACTGACCCATTTTATATGAAATACATAAAAACAATAAACTAAAATTCGGAAATAATACACATGTACTGATTTCTTTCGAAAATCGACAACTATGAAACTATGAACCCTTCCCGGACACAAACGGTACATTGTGAGACAGGAAATTGTAGAGAGAAACAAGCCCTATAACATAGGATACAACATTTTAATGAACTAGGATATATAGAATCCAGAAAATCAATAAAATACAAAATATACGAAATAATATACATGTACTGATTTCTTTCGAAAATCGACAACTATGAAACTATGATCCCTTCCCCGACACAAACGGTACATTGTGAGATAGGAAATTGTAGAGAGAAACAAGCCCTATAACATAGGATACAACATTTTAATGAACTAGGATATATAGGATCCATAAAATCAATAAAATACAAAATATACGAAATAATATACATGTACTGATTTCTTTCGAAAATCGACAACTATGAAACTATGATCCCTTCCCCGACACAAACAGTACATTGTGAGACATAGGATCAACATTTTCATGAACAGTGCTTTCCATAAAATCAATAAAATGAAAAATATACGAAATAATATACATGTACTGATTTCTTTCGAAAATCGACAACTATGAAACTATGAACCCTTCCCGGACACAAACGGTACATTGTGAGACAGGAAATTGTAGAGAGAAACAAGCCCTATAACATAGGATACAACATTTTAATGAACAGTGCTTTCCATAAAATCAATAAAATGAAAAATATACGAAATAATATACATGTACTGATTTCTTTCGAAAATCGACAACTATGAAACTATGATCCCTTCCCCGACACAAACGGTACATTGTGAGACAGGAAATTGTAGAGAGAAACAAGCTCTATAAGATAGGATACAACATTTTAATGAACAGTGCTTTCCATAAAACGAATAAAACGAAAAATAAATAGATGAGACCAATGTGTTGCCGACAGATTGCCCTAGACTTGTTTATTCGGTGCGGCCAACGCAAAAAAAGACGCTAAGCGAACTTTATCCTATAATGGTTTAAGTATTTGTTTATTGGCAAGAAAGCGTATCGATTTTTTGTTACAAAGTACTGATTGACCCTTGGATTTTGCGCCCCCAAAATGTTGCGCCTACGTGCGTGCACGCACTGCACGCTCGCCAGGAACGGCCCTGCGCATGGTGAAATTTCTCGTTTCCGTATACCGATTCCAGGCATCCTGGACTGTTGTTCGAAATATACCCAGGGTATCGCAAACATAACGTTGACTTCGGCCATCCTCAATTAAAGCCATAATACGAGCAACATCCGTTACAGATGGCATTTTCTAATTTGACAACCGTTTTTGTCATATTGCAAATGCTCATAAATACGTTTTCGCCTATGTCGTCTTGATTATTTACACAAAAAACTTTCTGTCTGCGAAGCATTTTTCCGAGACGTTCGTTTTAAAACAGCATATCTTCAATACAAAAAGAAATAATGTGGTGATTAAAAAAACAAAATGCTCACAAAAGATGAGGCTACAATGTGATTTAATTTAGCAATATCTACTACCGCTGCTGCACCCTACAGGGTGTTACAAAGTTCGGGCACAAAACTTCGTCTTATTGTTGTGCCCTATATATGCTCAAAATAAATTCAGAATAAAAATTTCTGACGTAGCATCCGTTAAAAAGAAATTAATTTACAATTTAAAAAAAAATAATCAAAATCTAGTGAGTGGTTTAGATAAGTTAAGTTATAGTTTAGATAAATATAATAATAAATGGCGGGAAGTTTCTTAAAGCTTGAAAGTAAGAAATAGTTATTTTTTGGTGTATGGTGTTTTGTTCTTGTTTGTTTTGTATTAACACATACCGGCTTTTTTTAAATAAAATAACTCGATTAGATTTGTTCAGTTTTATACAGTTTTTTTTTCACAATATTTTGAAGTACAGCTGGTTCCAAAAAAATGAATACGACTCTTTACACATTTTTTTCGAATATTTGGGCAGTGTATATTTATGTGTCAAGTATTTTGACATGTTAAGGTTATTGTGACATTGTATAAAACAACTTTGCTTTTGACAAAGTGGCAAATAGATTTTTCAGAACGTCAGCATGACATGAGTAGAGAAATGGGGGACGGGTATCATAGAATATACTGCCCGAAATAATAAAAATATGTTTTAAATCGTATTTAATTTTATTGGAACCAGCTGTACATAATCACTTGTCACTCAAATTTTGAATATATAAATTTCCTTATACGTGTTCTAATCTTTGAATAAGAACACTAAGGAAGGAGCATATCAAAAATCTTAGGTACACCGCGATGGGCCTCAAATATGGCCGACTTAAATTCCGGTTTATCAGTGTCGTTCTAATTTTATTTAAAAAATGTAAAACTATGATGTAGGGTAGACGTGGGGTAGACTCAATAATTTGTTGTTTTATTTTACGTTGTGAATAAATGTAATAAAAATATATAATTCTAATAAAAATAGATAAGTTATAATAAGTATTTATTAACACAAACATCCGATACACTACTGAAGCAGGTAAGTCAAATTAACGTATCTAAATTCTTTGACATCTAATCTTTGACAAGTAATAAATAAAAGCTAAAATGCAAGAAAAATATATAATTTAGTTAATTTAAGTGAATTTCATAAATGATAGGTTTACTACACGTATGTATATTATATATTCACTTACTAGCGAAAAGTTGTTCCATTATTTCACTCAATTTTTGCCGAGATCTACCGCACGCTACACAACCAACTATTTTAGAGTCTTTTTCGATAAATCGCGATAGTGTCACTGTTAATTTAAGTTCTGCCACAATTTCTATCTAGATTTACTACCTTTATACAACTATCAGTAGTAGAATAAATAATAAATAACATAAAATAAGCTCCGTAAAGACTGACAAATCCACAAAATTTCAAATCAAATTCAAATGTGTCAAATGGATCGTCAAACAGAACTGTGAAGGATCCCCACCCTAGAGTGCTTTTTCCGCCCACCATGCATGAATACATGGATAGCATTATGCTCCTTCCTTAGTCTTCTTATTCAAAGGTTCCAATTGTACCAACTTATTCCTTTGTAAAATAAAATAAACTACTTTGAAATTAAAATAACAGATACATATATCACTGTCAAGGATCTTGTCGTTGGACAGACTATAGACTGTAGGGAAATTTGCGGTGAACAGGTAGTTCTAAAATTTTCGAAAAATATACAGGGAAATTTAAAAGAAAATGCACGATTTTCAACACCATTTTTTGCGAAAAAAAAACTCAAAGACATGTTCCTGGGGTCGAAATATACCACCCCTAAAAATATTTGCGCTTATTTAAGACTCACGTATAATATTTAAAAGGTGGCTAAATCTGACATATTTCCATGTATTGTTCTTTTGATAGTTAGGAATTAAATCAAAACTTACCTTGTAAAAGAAAAACATCAATAATATGGAACACAAAATATAGGGGAAATCTGGCAGTGAATAGAGTCAAAAACCATTGAGAGGCGAACATGTGAGTCTCAACTCGATGCTCCATGAAATGGTTCCACAAGGAGCTAAGTTGTTCTTCCATTAACCTTTAAACATCATAATCAAATAAGTAGGTATAGTTATTTTATAATTCCCTAAAAATCCCATCCTCGTATTTCTTATAGTTTTCTAGAGATTTCAATGGTAGGGGTTGAATTTAAATTACCCTGTATATGTACTTACTTATTTAATTGATATAGCCTTAAATATAAATTATCAAAACCATCCTTGTACAGATCTCTAAGTTTGTAATCGTACATGAGCTTGACCAAAACACAAAAAGCTTGTTCTTCTGGCATCTGAAAAGAAGATAGTAAGAAAAAATACATAAATCCCTGTATTTTACTATTATTAACTGATACCAACATCAAACACTTGATACCTACGTGCAATAAAAGCGTAGCAGCCAAAAAACTAAGTCCCTGACAATACCCCACTTCGGAATCGTAGACGGCGTATGCTTTGCTCACCCTGTACAAGGAATCTTGACCCAGTCCACCTGCTTCCTTGAAAAAGTCGTGAGCAGGAAAGGTTCGAGCTATGTCACGTTGAATTACGTTTTCGCAGCTTGATTCCTGCAAAGAAAATATACACTCTTATAAAAGTTCTGACTTTCATTACATAAAACAAATATTTTGACATTTCAGTGTTTTGTTTTCCTGACAGTAATTCCAGAAAGCTACAGTAATAAAATCTCCAATATGATTAAATATTAAGTTATTACCTTAGTTATTAAAACCCTGTATTTGTCCATCATATCGGTGTTTTCCTCGACACCCGCTAGACGTTGCCAAACTTCACCTCTTAAGGCTTCGGGAATTCCCAATTTCACTAAGCTGGCAAGCTGAAAAAATATTATTTATGAATAATTTCCGTAAATATAATAATAAACATGTTATTTCATAAGCTTTCTAGGTTATAAAAGCTTATCATTTTCTTTGGGTAAACACTCAACCGTATTCCAGACAGAAATCTTCTACAATGCGCGAGAGAAAACTACAGAAGAGATCTCTAGATTTTCTAGAGATCTCTTCTGTAGTTTTCTCTCCTTTGTTAGACTCAATATAACATTCTAACATATTATATTTCTCAAAATTTTCAAATTTACTCATTTTTTTATTATTTAAAATACACACACTTCAATCTGTTTAAATGAAATGTCACACATCCATCAAAGGTATGTCCCGATCACCATGACAACCGTTTACTTTGTTACTCGGCGCGGCCTACTATCTACTAAGTGGACATTTTAAGAAAAATTTGAAATGTTGAGGTTAATAGTGAAAATAAATATAGAGTGTTATATATTTTCGAGAAGCCCGTGCCAAGCTGAATAAGAAAATTTAAAAATATACAGGGGGTTCTATTTAAAAAAAAACATAAGTATAGTTAATATCTCAAAAAATATTTTTTTCGAAAAAAGTCTGACTACGCCACTGCATTCTACACAGAAAAGTGCCTTTAGAATGTATAATTCATTTTTCCGTGGTTGCTGAAATAAACAAACTATCGAACATCTTCAAAAAGTACAAAATTTGAGAATCCTCCTGTAGGTTCGAAACCGATCAAGAAAGCCACGATCCGTTTGCGCCATTGTAATTTTTTCAAAAAAAGAACCCGAGACTGCAGTATCAAAATTTGAATATTTCTCACGGTTTCCTAGATACCCTATAGAAACAACCAAAATGGTCCACCCTGTACATCAATAAATAAATAACCCATAATAACGCTTAGAATAATCTTCATAATGGACTAGTTTTTGGGCAATATGTAATAAGTAGAATAAGGTATAAAACAAATAAATCAATTAATTACTAAAATATTAGTTATTAAATTAAAAATAAAACGTAAACTCTTTAAAAAATAATATAATAAATATATTGTTTGTCAATTTTAAATTAAGATTCATCTCATAAATCCATCACAATCTGACAGCGCTGTCGCCATCACTTGTCACTCAAAGTTGATCACGTGCATCGGAAATTGTTTTGCGATTACCATAATTCTAAAACTACAAAGGAACTGCTAATGCTTGGCAAGAATAAAGTGCAGATTACAACAGGTACCTTGACAGGACATATGGCTGTCGAGGAATACCTGAACAAGCTCAATCTGCATCAAGGACTAAGACTTCCTTGCAGACTCTGCGAAAAAGATCCTGAAACAGCGGAACACAATACAGGGTGGCCCATCGTGAACGTTCCGCAAGGCATAACGGCCAGGGTAATTTTTTTTTCACAAAATTCAAAAACACGTCAATTTTGTTTGTGAGAGGGACAACTTTTGCCCCAAAAATGATTGCAAAATCTTCAACCCTCTAAGCGGGGGTGTCATCCACCAATTTTTTTCAAATGCAAAGGGGGGTCAAGTGGTACCGCAATGAAAAGGGTCGAGTCATTGAGAAATTATAAAGGATTTAAATTTGAAAAGTTTATTTAAACATTTATCAGAGTAAATGATAAGGGTAAATTCCTTCGACCAATTTGCTGTTTTTTCTTATTATTTCTAGATGTTTAGGCATTTTTTCACTTGCCACAAGGTTGAACGATCAGGTGCGGTAGTTGCTAGATAGCTGTTCTGTGATTTATGCGTTGAAGTTCTTCTTAATATCGTTAAACTTTTTAACAATTATTATAGTGTACTCACTTGCAGAAAAAGTGGAAATAATCGAACTTTATTTTAAAAATAATGAATGTGGCAATCGGGTTGCGCAGATATTCAATGAACGCCATCCTGACAAACACCTTTATGGCAAAATTGTTCGCGAGTTAGTAACAAAATTTCGCGAAACTGGTTCCGTTATGAATAAAAAGAGGCAGAGGGAAAATCCTGTAGTAAATGATGCTATGGAGGTATTCGTATTGGGCCAAGTTGCCATGGATAGTACGCTGAGTACAAGAAAATTGGCCAATGAGACCGTCGTGAATCGTACAAATGTCCAAAGGATATTAAAAAAACACAAGTTCTACCCGTACAAAATTTAGTTGGTACAAGAACTTAACGAAGACAATTTTGATCGTCGTTTGCAATTTTGTGAAACTATGAGTGAACGAGTGGCGAATGATAATAATTTCCTATTTAATGTGTGTTTTTCGGATGATTGTACTTTATTTTTGAACGATGTAGTTTATCGGCACAACTGTCGGTACTGGGCTGAGGACAACCCCAGGGTTTTTCACGAGGTGCACACACAAAACCCTCAGAAATTGAACGTCTGGGCTGGTATTTTTGGAAATTCTATTGTAGGTCAGTTTAACGATATTGAGAAGAACTTCAACGCACAAGCCACAGAGCAGCTATCTAGCAACTACCGCACCTGATCGTTGAACCTTGTGGCAAGTGAAAAAATGCGTAAACATCTAGAATAATAAGAAAAAAACTCAAATTGGTCGTAGGAATTTATCCTTATCATTTACTCTGATAAATGTTTAAATAAACTTTTCAAATTTCAATCCTTCATAGTTTCTCAATGACTCGACCGATTTTTCAAAAACGATGCGGGGAAATATAGAGAATAGAAAGCTCTTTTCATTGCGGCGCTACTTGACCATACTTGACCCCCCTTCCCATTTGAAAAAAGCTGGGGGATGACACCCCCGTTTAGAGGGTTGAAGATTTTGCAATCATTTTTGGGGCAAAAGTTGTCCCCCTCACAAACAAAATTGACGTGTTTTTGGATTTTTTGAAAAAAAGAATACCCTGGCCGTTATGCCTTGCGGAACGTTTTCGATGGGCCACCCTGTATATCACTGCGAAGCTCTGGATCGCAAGCGACGCTTTCTATTTGAGAAAGCAACGCTGGAATAGGAGGAATTATGCTCCCATCCTATAAAGGACCTGCACAAGATGGTGCAGGGTACAGGGACATAAAGAGGAGACAAATACAATAGGCTTTAGGGGTCGCAGTGTTACTGATAAGAACGGCTCCTTGAGAGTCTATTACGCTGTACTTTTGGGTCGCTATCAGGGGTCGGGTAAAGCAGGTATATGGCCGAAGGAAATATATACTATATTTCAGAAATCTGCCTAAGGCTTAGCCCGATCCTGTCGTGTTAAGCCACACCCAAAATTCCAAACGCACGTGCTTTGATCAAGGCTTGATTAAGGTTTGCAGAGCTACAGCATTTGCCATAAAATAGCGAGCAATTTGTTACAAAACCATATAAATTTTATATCACTATAATCACAAAAATTCAATCTATTTCCGTATTGTAAGAGAATTTAAAATTATGTCTATATATTCCAGAAAATTTAGTCCAAACATAAGGAATATTTTGTTTATGCTTGACCATCAAAATCTTAAAGATAAAGAAGTTGTCTAAAAATGTGCTACAATACGGATATAGTATAACCCTTTATCTTTAATTTCCTTCTTCATTTGCTTATTTTGCTACTTTTCAACGCTTATTTTGCTACTTTTTCGGACTGGTGAAATGGACTCTTAGAGAAATAAAACATAACTCACCTGCTTAGGTTTCTGATGAGTCTGCTTCCATTTGGTCAAAATCTCCGCCCACGATTCCAAAATATCTTCAGAGCAGTCTTTTGAGACTAAGCCAGTCCCACTCAGTAGGGGTTCATCGCCGTCTTAAAACATAATTTATGTAAGGATAAAACTCAAAACCAACCTAAAAAGTATTCAAACCTGATTGATATTCCTCCTTCGGTGTCAAGTTATCTATAGAAGTAATACTGGGCGATTGGATAAGGCTGGACAGGTTCAAGTTGAGGTTCAGTAAGTTCTTGTCGATTTCCCCGGAGGTCTCCATGCTCAACACTTCGTAGATGATCTCGTGTTCTCCGACAACGTTCTGTTATAAATAGTTCTGTTAGTTTTAATAGCAAAACGAATAATTTCTTAAAATTGCATCACTGTACTTTAACATTATAAACAATAAAATTGTGATGTTCTGTAATGCATAGTTCAAGTGAAATTTAACAACAGAAGGGAATAATACCACTAGGGGCATACAGTGGCGCACCAAGATTTTTTTACCCGAGAATAAAAATTGAAAATCAGTTTCTATAATAATGACTAATATTCAGTCTCAACGAATCGTGTATCAGATTTTAGAGATCTTAACGCAGATAAAGACATAATATAGATTGACAACTCTGTAAATTTCTTCGCACAATAATAGCGATTTCATGACAAAAGTAAAATTAAAATTCTAATTTTACCCCCTCCTATTAATCTCCTATTTTATTTGAATTTTAGCTATTTTCATAAGTTCAAATAAAAGTTGTGGAACGTCCAATTTTACATAAAAATAGTCTCTATAATTATTTTGCTTTTATTATCTCTATAATTATTTGCTTCTAGCTTTTATTGAAACGTTTTTTTCAAAGTCCTTACCGTTTCTCTGAAATTGAAAAAAAAAATAGTTTTATTAGGTAATTTGATATTTAAGTAGCTGGGATTAGTTTTAATTAAATAAATATGGCCCAAAATATGGATTCCACCTATTCCAATATTAAAGAACCTATAAAGAGGCTTAGGTTTACAGCAGATGACGACTTAGCCCTTCTAAGAGAATTTGTTGTTTGTTGCCCCAAACCCACTGGCAGACGTTGAACAATAAAGCACTGGAAATAAGCACTTTAACCCTTTAGTTTTAAAATACCTAGTAAACAAAACAATTTCAAAGTTAGGTTAAGTTTAAATACCGGATGCGACGCGAACAGAATTCTTTCCGATCCGATATCTATAAATGAAGAGAGTTAATACCACCTCACGTAAAGGAAATAACACCTGGCCTTATTAACGTCCATGCACGCTATTCGGTTTAGCGATATCTCTCTATTACGCTGTTTATTGTTATTTTACGCGAGTTTATTATTGCGCACAGGAAATTTTACTCGTTAACACATCGTCCTAAAAAACAATTTTCGTACCACGAATTAGAGATAAGATTTTTATCTGTATACATATAGTATACATAATCTGTGGCTCTACAAATCCTCCAATTTGACTACAATCATAGGCGGGACATTTAGCAATTATTGAATGTATATTTTTTATAAACAGACCCCCCACTGTAAACTTTCGACAATTTTGACAGTTCACAAATTCCAATTCACGAGAACGCCAATGGACGCGGAAAAATATAAACAATGCAAGTGCAAAGATAACACAACGACAATCTGGTGGTATCTGTTAAATTTTAACGTTAAATGGTAAACAAAGTGTTTCTACTTTTATCGATAACGCGCACATGGTAATGTTTTGCCGTTAATATTAATTACATTGTCGGATAACGATTTTTTTTGTAGGCGTTTGTGTGGTTTTACACGGTGATTAAAATTACATAGTAATTTAGAAAAAAAACGTTCTCGTTTGTATCAAATATGTTTTAAATTAATAAGTTGTTGTATTTTATAACCCTTACAAATCTATACTAATATATAAAATCCTTAAGTGACTGACTCACTGATTAATCACGATCCTGCTCAAACCACTCAACGTAAGAAACTCAATTTTGCCATACAGGTTGATTCTAGGGTGTAGAGGTTCGATTAAAAGGGATTTTTCGAAATTCCAGTTCCAAGGGGCTGATACCACCTCTCAAATATTACAATATTTTTTATTTAAAAAACGGTCAAGTTTCCGAAAAAAACCTTAAACGCGTATATTTTATTTTGTTTTTTACATATTTTAAAAATGTATACAGGGTGTTTCGAAAAATCTGGTCGTTGATTAATCACGATCCTGCTTAAAGCGCTTGACGTAAAAAGCTGAATTTTGGAAAACGGATTGACTTTAGGATGTAGAGGTTCGATAAGAATGGATTTTTCGAAACTCGAATTCTAAAGGGGTGAAAACCACCCCTCAAATATTAGAATATTTTTGATTTAAAAACCGGTGAGTTTTTCGGGAAAAAACTCTTAAACACGTATATTTTATTTTGTTGTTTTACATATTTTAAGATTTTTTAAAAATTTATACAGGGTGTTTCATAAAACATGACCATTGAGTAATCACGATTCTGCTTAAACTGCTTGACGTTTAAAGCTGATTTTTGGTAAACGGATTGACTGTGGGGTGTAGAGGTTCAATAAGGAAAGATTTCTCGAATCTCAAATTCCAAGAGGGTGAAAACGCCCCTCAAATATTACAATATTTGTTATTTAAAAAACGGTTAGTCTTTCGGGAAAACGCTTGGACAAGAATAATTTATTTGGTTTTTTTATATATTTTGAAATTTTTTAAAAAATCATACAGGGTGTTCCAAAAAGTTGGGTAATTTCTTAACCACGATTCTGCTTAAACTGCTTGGCGTAAAAAGCTTATTTTTGGCAAACGGATCTTTCGAAAGTCAAATTCCAACGAAATGAAACTACCACTGAAATATTACCAAGTTATATAATAATATCGCCATATTGTTTTTTCTCATGCTGGCATAAAGATGAGAAAATTTTATCCAGTTTGTATTAGAGGTGGGAATTCTAGTTCCTTGGGAGGAACTAGTTCCTTAGTTCTAGTTCCTCCAGAGGAATAGTTCCTTGAACTAGGTCTTTAGTTCACAATAGTTCCCGACTAACATTAACATCCCCCTTGCTTGCTAATGCGTTTCGTTATCAGTCAGAACTATTCAAAGTATGATCTGTATAATTTTTATATTGTACGGAGATATAACGAGACCTGTAATTGTGTATGTTAAAAACATATAGCTAAGTTTTATTGCAGATAAAAAAAATAAAAAAACTCAAATCAGAATTTAAAAAACTATATAATAAATCAATTGGAGCAAATATTAAAAAAATTGCATTTTTCCTCACTTAAAAATTCAGAATATCTACTTCGTTTTATAAGATATTTCTTAATTTTAGGGACCTAAATTGAAACATTCCCATAAACTATTTAAAAAACAAACTAAAAATCAAAAACAGTATCCACGACAATTTTCTGTGGTAATTAAGCCGCGCCGGCTGTGGCAATAGACAAGGCCGAATCCATCGTCGTCGCCTTGTATTATATCTCGGATCTGCCGACTGAATAGATTCCCGTGAACTAGTTTTTTAATAGTTCCTCTATGTCCGGATCCGATAACAAGCGGCTGGCACTCCCCACGCCTGCCTAGCATCAATCGCGCTGGCTGATCCATACGTAAACTAGTCTTTTATTTAGTTCCTCTAGTTCCTTTAAGTCCGGATCCGATAACATACGGCATACGGCTGGCATTCCCCACTCCTGCCTAGTATCGATCGCGCTGGCCCGATCCGTTCGTACGTAACCTAGTCTATTTAGTTTAGTTCCTCTAGGTCCGGACTGTGGTCCGGACCCGATATTGTACGGCTGGCACTCCCCACTCCTGCCTACCATTGCGCTACGCGCGCTAGCCGATCCATCGCCGTCGCGTATTATTCTATATCGGTCACAGTCTCGATCCCGGAATAGGTCCTGAGGAACTAGTTCTTTGAGAAACCAGAAACTATATAGTTCCTTTCATTCCCGGGTCGGAATAGTACATTGGAACTAGTTCGTTCACGAACTACACACCTCTAGTTTGTATGTTAATAAAAATTCTTGCTTCGCTTTATCATCACCATTACAAATTATTAATTCGACGCGAACGAAGTCGCGGGTACATGCTAGTATTCAGTAAATGAAAACACGGAACCTTTTTTAGATATTACATTCAACCTTCACCTTCAATTACAGCCTATTCATTAGACAGCCAGTCGATTTCACTAATTTTAAGGGAGTTTTTTGCAAATAACATTTAAATGCCGACTCTGAATAAAACGAAATTTTAGACGAAAGTACAACTTTAATCTTTAATGCCTCTTCAAAAAAATCTCATACAACTTATGCTTAAAATAATCTGGGGAGATAATATTAAACCTTCTCAAAATTTACATGAGATTTCCTATGTCCCTTATTCCGATGCACCACACGGTATAACATAACAAGTAAACTGATTATTTAATAATTCTTTACGTAAATCAAAAGTTCACTGACACCAAAAACAAAAACTTATTGTTTACTCATAATATTATTATTTAGATAAAACACTTATACAACGAATATTTACACAAGTTTATTTGAAACGATAAATGTGTTTTATACAGAGCGATCTGCAAAGGAAATACGTACGTGCTCTATAGTAAAGTAATGTCCAAAAACAATTAAAAACAATAGTTAATATGTGTTATTGTGTTGTCCAGTTTAACAAATTTTAACTCTGTAAGAATCTACGTTCAAGAGGCTTGAAAAAGACATATACTGTTGAAACGTCGTCATAAAATAAAAAAAATAATGAACAAAATCTAAAAACATCTTTGCAACCCCAACGACCTAAAGCCAAGAGTGAAAACAAAAAAAAAAAGAGAATAAATTTATACCGGGTGTGTCTGAAAAGTGGCTCACCCATATATTTTTTTGTATTTCTTAAATTAAAAAAAAAACGAGTTTGGCACGTTTTATGACATAAATCAGGATTGATTAGGGTATTCAATAAAATTGTTTCCGGTCACTTCCTGTTTCACCGGAAACAATTTTTGATTTTAAACGGTATTTTTTCGGTATTTTTTTACTTTATGCTTTAGAAAATGACACTCTGAGTAGAATGACATCATATGTCAACTTTTGACATTTTCGCATATGGTTTATTTGAAATTGTAACATACTGTTCATAACGACAATTTGACTCGAAATACCAAGTGTGTGGTACCAAATAATTTGTAAAAAATGCTTTGTCCAAATATGCTAATGAGCCACCCTCGTTCCGTTTGAAAAAATTGAGATATGATTAAAAGTACGACTTGTGCATCTTTTAACCGGTCAGGACAAGACACCAAGAACATTAGA